TAAGAGCCGTGTATTGCAGTAATCAAATCTGAAAGCGTAGATTAGTAAATGGGTTATTCAGACGAAGACAGGGCATGGCAAGAGCCTCAGCGCATACCAAGTGGACCCTGATTCGGAGCAAAGGAGATAGTCGATTTGAATTTACCGACGCAATCAGTGAAAGCCTTCTTGCTCTGGGGGGGAAAATTCCCGCCAACTGCCAAAGTGGATCATATGACACTTGGGATTTTCACAGGAGAACCCCCGGAAGTAGAAACTGGGACAAGCCATCTCTAATCGCTTCGTAGTCGGGTCCTCGATGGCAGGCAACGACATGGGGAATTTGGGGAGACCACCTTTGTACTGGAGCAGCCCGAGTCCAGTCTTGCCACGGTTAGCCGATGGGGCCTTGGTAGCAGGATTGGATCGAGAGGGCTGGGCGGGAGCAGGAGTGGGATTTAACCGGACTCGTTTGAAAGGCTCGGGCATACCAAGCTGAGAGCGGAAGGACTGAGAACCATGAGATTCGTCCAAACGCCGCTTGGGCTGAAACTCAGCGGGCTTGCGGATGCCCATCAAATCAAAAGGGGCCTCCAAGACCGTCATCTGATCCGTTGGAGGTGCAGGGGCATTCTGGAAGGCCCTCGCCATCTTCTCTGCCGCATTCAAAGCATCGATAACCCCTTCGAAAATGTGTGGGGAGAAGTTGCTGTTGCCGGCCTGAACCGTGCGAATCACCGTGGTGTTGTTTGCCACTTTCACCAGGTTAGAAAGGATCTTCTGAACCTCCAATAGGAGATGCACCACTGGCTGAGGGAACCCTGCAAAGCTATCATTGCACTCACGGGCACCATCACTCTCCAGCAAGGAGTCCATCTGGAGGAGGCACTTGCCGAGCAACGTCTTGTCAAAGTTCTGGACGATACCGCTGGCAAGGCAACGAAGGTTTCGAATAGCAACCAGCACATCATTCAAGAGAAGACAACGACCTTTGCAGAACAAAATCCCATCACCTAAGGCCGAAATGTCCTTGTCAAACGAGTCTGCCACAACAACGGAGGAAGAGGAAGCCAAGGACGTCTGCTCGTCTTTGACCAATTCAAACTCAGGGGCCTGTTGGTTGGGACGGAGAAACGTGACCAACGAAAGCTGTTTCTTGGCTGCACTGCCGCCCTTGACCAAAGAGAGACTGAGCCAGTTGAAGCCACGGAGAGCCTTCGTAAAACCGGAGTTGATCACCTGGGAACTCCAGAATACACTTCGGTCGCGGTAGTTCACGCTCTGTCGAGACTCTGTAATGAGAGACTCAACCCACGAACTCACGGCTTGCTGGGCAGGGGAAGGCTGTGTGGGAACCAGAACTGCCTCGAAGTCAGGCTTGAGTACGGCTGGGGTAAAGACACCATCATTGTAGTGACCGAAGAAGATCTGGTAACAGGTTTTGGTCCGGAGCATCTGGGTGGCATGCTGCCGTTCCGATCCGGATCTGGTGCTGGTGTTGGCTCTGATCATGGACTCGGTCATGGTAGTGCCAAATTCCCTGAACATATCGGGGAGATCCGATGGCATTCCACCTGGAGCACCAGGGGCTGGACCAGGCGGAGTCACAGGGACTGGGGCCTCCACCGTCGCACCAAGCTCTTTCCAGAGAGCATTCGAACTGAACTGGATAGTGGCCTTGACTAGGGCCGAGTCAAGGTCGTTGAAAGTCATCTGGATGGCCGAAGCCTGAATGGACCTAGGGTCCACGAGTGTGTGCTTGTCAGTCCACGAGGTGATGTCAACAGAATCCATCTGGAAGAGAGTTCCAGCGCCTGTGACAGAACGATTGTCACAACGCTTTGCCAAGTATTGCTGGGCACGGAACCATTCTTGGGCGTAAGGCCAGCTCGACACCGTTGCCGGATCGGAATCGATGGTGGCAGCAAAGTCGAACTGAACTCCCCTCGGGAGTGGTAAGATTTAGTGGCAGCAGCACCAGCCAAGGCTGGGTTTTTGCATCGGCAGTGGCACCCTCGAACTGGAGGGCTTCCATGCCAACCACAACTGGAGTCTCCTCCGTACTGGCAGAAGCAGCCAGCTCCGAGGCCGGATTGGCTTCAAAGTGGACCAGTTTCAAATCGTCAACAACCTGCTTGGAGGCCAAAGAGGTGACGAAACCAGTAAATGCATCATGGGGGACACGAACAGAAATACTCTCACCAATGGTATCACTGATGCTGGCAATGACAGAGACGACATTGTCCTTCTCTGCCAAAGTCGGTGCAGTCAAGGGCTGGACCTTGCCGTCGATGATACACACCGATTGGAGGGAAAACGACTGGTTGAGCCGTGCCGCATCCAGGCTCTGACCGCTGAAACCCATGGGATCAAACAGGTCCTGGAGCTTGGTGGTAACAAAATGGCGGGTGGCTTCATCAGTCAACTCCAAGATAGCCTTGGAGACGGACTTGATCTCGTGGGCTTTGCCACGAACTAGAAGGTCAGCAGACATGGCTGGGGATGGTGCTGGAAGGAGTGTTGAAGTGTCGTCGGTGGGACAATTCAATGACTCAATGAACTGTCGGCAACAATGCTTTTGGGAGCGGCAACAACAGTCAGGAACTGGATAAAGGGAGGACCAACAGCAAAGCACCAGGCAAACAGAACTGGGGCTGGGGCTGGGGCTGGACAAAGCAAGGACTCACAACAAGAGGAAAGCAACTGGAAGGGAGGCAACAACTGGGAGGCAGGCAACTGGAAGGCAACAAGAGGCAGGATGCAGTGGTCCAAATCAGGGAAGGCTTGTGTGGAAGCTTTCAGGATTGGGATTATGACCTCATAGTGCTGTACTGCATAGCCTGGAATGGGAGGAACCAGGGCCACCACCACAGTAGCTCAGGCTTGTACTGTTGCTGTAGGATTGCACAGGGCTTGAACCCAATCTAAGAATACAAAAGGCTACCAGCCAGGTAGCTTTTGAACTGGGGATCCATTGCAATGAGTCAACCTCAATCTCTGACACAGGTGCCTGGTCAGGTATCATGCTGTCAGGATATCAATGCAATGTGAGGTGTGTGTGTGGTGTGGAACAGTGTTACTGATCACAAGCCACCACCTGTCTCGTCGCGCAACAAGTCATCGGTGGATGGGAGACTTAGGGGCGGGACAAAGACTTAGAGGGCAAAGTCAAAGACTTAGGGGCCCTCAACTCCTTTTCATGTATCGACTTCGCGAGTGGACTTTTCATGCATCGACTTAAAATATTTCGAAAGCACGGATGAAAACACGTCACGTCGATGACGTCATCGGACACTGACGTCAGTCGGATCTTGGATTTTTAAAGCGGGGGTGAAATCCAATCCGGTCAGGAGTCCGAGAGATAGGAGCCGCGAATCTTGCCAGGAGCAAAAGACTTAGGGGCCAATCCGTCGAAGACTTAGGATCTGTGGTTGTTGTTGTTGTTGAAAATCGCGAAATCGCGAAATCACGAAGATTGATCGACCATGGCCCTGGAGTCGGGACGCACGGCAACAACAGCGGCACTCCAAGGCCAGTTGGCCGAGGAGGAGGAGACGAAGCACCAGAAGGTGTCGCTCAAGAGGGGAGTGAAGCACCAGGTGGTGTCGCTCAAGAGGGGAGTGAAGCACCAGTTGGTGTCGCTCAAGAAGAAAGGAGACGAAGCACCAGTTGGTGTCGCTCAAGATGCCAGTTGGCAGAGCTAGAGAAGCACCAGTCGGTGACAACTCATCATAGCAGGTGTGGCTAGCGAAACACCAGGCGGTGAACGCATCATGGCCGGAGATCGATCGATCAGTCATCGGGCGTAAAGCACAACGACAAAAGAACCGATCGTTCAACAAATAACAAGGCTCCAGAGACCGGAACAGCATGGCTGTGACCGGCTGATAGTAGCCGTAATAGCCATAGCAATGGCAGAACGTAGCTAGTAGCCGTAGCCGTTCGAAAGGAAAGAAAAGAAAAGGACGCCATTGTCCTCTTCGATTGGTGGCTGCTAGCAATGTGGCTTGGATTGGCTCCTACCAACTGATCAGTTCCCTTGAAAACCCAAACTCTATCTACGGTGACGTACCAGTCCAGGCAGGAGCAAGTGTGCTTCCACATTGCTCTGCTTAGAGTCATGGCGATAGGTCTCGTTCAACATCAGTGCGAAGCTTCATTGCATCCTAGACCTTGAGTACATTGCTAGCCCACGACCTATTCACCGTCCGCGGTCGTTGCTGTTGGTTCAGATCTTCTTGGTTGCCGTCCTTCACCGGTTCTGTTGCTTGCCCAATCGCAACGACAAAGGTCCAGCAGGGTGGCGCTCAGTACTGTACGGTAGAGATGCGTGGGGGACTACCTGCGATACTAGAAGGGACAAAAGGGGCAGCTTTCAAACCAAAGGGTTCTCGTCACAATTCCTCATTGCTAGCTGGTGCATGTACCTGCCCCAAACCTGACTCCATCATGGAGTTGCCAACGGCTGTACTGATGCTTTCCTTTTGCGGACCTTTCTGTCGCCGAGTGCGGGGAGCTACTAGCAGACCTGCCTCAACCTGCGGTCCTTCTGGCCTTCATACCGTACCGTAGACCGACCCTCCTCTGAGCACAAATTTGGCCGACACACCAGTACCAAAGGATATCAATAGATTGTTGTACTCTGAAGCATATTTTTGTACCTCTCTTGGTTTCCAAGATATTCAACGATCAGAGTCTTTGCCTTCCACTGTGGGATGATGATGTGCACACGCCCAATCTTGGCTCTTTTGTATCTGCTTCCAGGTCGTTGCTTCCTACCGGCAAATGACAAGCCTGTCATGGGGGGGGGGGGGGTGTTTGTGCATCCAAGGGAACCGCAGCTAGTAGTGTGCATGAAAGTACAGAAACGTCGAGGCTGGGACCGTTTTCGTAGTAATTTGTTGATAATCATTTATTATAGACATTAGTGCCGTGAAACACGAAAAACCATAGAGACGACGACCGAGAGGATGCATTGCATCAAAGTGCAATAGTGGTGAATTGTAATGAAATCATAAAGTTTAGTTGTTTCCTTCGCAGACGAATGAGTTCTGGGAGAGGATCAATGCCACAATCAGACCTAAATTAAAAACGACAAGCAAAGTTAGCGTCAAGTCGGGCAACATCCATGGCGAGATCTTTGCATGCAGCGAGCCCTATGACGAATACGGTTGTTGCACTCACCATACAAACCCAAGGCTTCCGCGAAAATGAGGATAAGGATCATACCAACAAAGAGCTTCTCTTGTTGTCCAACTGCTCGTACACCAGCATCTCCTACAATTCCAATCGCCATACCAGCAGCGAGTCCTGACAGTCCACAGCAAAGCCCAGCAGCCAAGTGTGCAAATCCAGTGTAGAGACTGTATTGACTCAATCCATTTTGAGGAGCCACAATAGAACCTTGAATGATGACAGCCACAATCAGACCGTAGATTCCCAACACACCAGCCATGACTACTGGAATGATGTTACGCATAACAAGTCCAGGATTCATCACTCCCATAGAGGAAATACCAACACCAGACTTGGCTGTTCCGTAGGCGGCACCAATATTGGCAAACACCAAAGCACTAGTCACTCCCATAAAGCCAAAGAAAGGCGCAGAGGCGGGGCAGGTTTCCATTTCAACACTCATGATTGCTTATTGTTTTGTTTTGCTGGTGGGGAGAAGAGAGGAGACGACGAGACGGATAAAGCAATGCAAAGATCGGATCTCGTAGATGGATGCTGTGTCTTGGCCAAAGATTGCGGCGAAGGCGAAGGCAAGGCGAGGCTTGTTTTGTAAAACGCTGCTGTTGGTGTGGACGGCGGCAGCAAAGCTCTCAATTCGTGCCACGACCCAACGCGCAGCAATGACTTCGGGGAGCCCGTCGGCACAGTGCGCACTCTGAGAGGAGGGGGGGCAATTCCACTCCACATCTCCCACATCCGACTTGCCGTTGTGCCTTTGCCTTTTCCATAGTCTACTACAGTACTAGCTAGAAGTGCTAGTAGAGTGCCAGGGCTTGGATGTCATGATGGTGGCGTTTGGGGGAAACATATCCCTGGATGGCTGTTGCTACCAGAGCGACCTCTCGTTTTGAGACAGGACATGAAAGTCTTGACGGTGTTCTCAAGGTTCCATTTCATTTCATGCTCTCCGCACCCCTTTTGATGCAAAAGATGCCCTTGTAACAGATGCCGGTACGATACGATACGGTACGGACCTGGATACCGGTACCATACTGCTACTATCAGCTGCGTGCCTTGCTAAAACACGTTGGTGGACTTTTCGTGATACCAACCCTGGCTTTGACTGGGGGGGGTATTCAAAGCTTTGGATGCAACACAGCGTTGATCGGTCCATTGGGGCCACATCCTTTATAAACATACTGTACATTTTAGAACAAAGGTTATGTAGCCTGCCTTGCGAACTTAATCTTGGAGGAATGCAGTTATATCTGCCCACCTCGTTGTGGCGTCCTTGCTTGAAGTACTGAGAATGGGATCCCAGTATTAGACTAGATGTGCGTCGGGTTGATTGTTATTAATAAACTACAAACTCTAGCTAGCTACAGAAGCAATGAGTACTAAAATAATTCGAGGCCCGATGATGCGAGCAACTATGAAACACCATGAAGCAACAACCCAACAATCTACCGCAGCACTGCATGAACAAGCAAGAGCAACGGCCTCAGCGATCACCAGTGAAGCGACTACGGGGCCGTGGGAACAAAACCTTTAACCTTTTAAAACTCTGGTACGACACCGGTACCGGTTCGTCAGAGGGGGTTCTCGAAGGTTCTTGAAGTCTTGCCAACTGGTGCCAAGTGCCAAGAAGGATCTGATCCGACGGGAAAAGGGAAAGGCAAGCAAGGAAGCACGAAACCGCTGCCAAAGAAAGATTGAGACGGACATGGTTACAAGTGAGCATACACCAAGAAACAAGCAACAGAGCGCTTGAGTTAGTTGTCATTGATTTGACAAATAGATTCGGTCAATAAACGCAAAAAGGCAAAGCAAGAAGAAACAAGAACAGCAGCAGTCTGCAGAATCAAAATGGATCCTTCCGTCAAGCAAAACGTGCTTTCCATGCTGGCCACATTGGTGTACATCAAGGTGATTGTGGGAGCCTGCGACTGGTCCTTACTGCACACCAACATGCCATCAGACATATCCAGGAAGATCATTCACATCAGCGCCTGCTCGTGGTGTTTATTTTGGCCCCTGTTTGATACGTCGCACTGGACCTGGCAACTCAATGTGGCCATTCCATTTGCCTATTCGATTCAACTGGCCGTCAAGGGTGCCATTATTCGCGACAAACATGACTCAGATGTCAAGACCATGTCCCGCACGGGTGATCCATCCGAACTGCTGTATGGACCACTCCTGTTTACACTGATCATGCTCTTTTGTGGTCTTTACGAATTTCGGACGACCGTTGGAACCTACATTATGGGATCCTTGGTGGGAGATGGAATTGCTCCCGTGGTCGGCAAGAGATGGCCGATTGGAAAATATCCCACCATGGGCCGGAACGAATACAAAACACTATCGGGGTCCTTGGGCATGTTCGTGGGTTGTATGGTGGGCATTGTGTGTTACCAAAAAGTGTTGGGAGCACCGTCGCAGCTCGATATGGAATCGGTCATGCAAATTGCGTTCCTGGCGACAGTAGCAGAAGCTCTGACGGGAAAATGGGACAATCCAGCTATTGCATTTACGGTGTATTGGTTTGCCAAAGCCACAGACTTTACAATCAGCATTTAGAAAACAAATATTGGCTGCCAGTCAGCAACAATAACCAGTTCCTTTTCAAAGGATCTATCGGATGGCTCAAGTTGTCAACCGGCAAGAACAAACCACTGCTATAAACCAACACATGTGCTGAGCCCAACCAACCCAGTAATTTTTCGTTATGTTGCCTTGTCACAAGACAGCAACATCAGCCCAATCTCGTAATCGTTTGCATTCTCGAGAGGCTATTCCGGCTGAGCAACACAATAAGAATTATAGAGTTATCTTGACATAACTTTTCTGTCTGGTTCGTGTGCATTTTAGATTTTACATCGTGCTTGTCCTTCTTTTTTTAAAGTTATTCCATTCGCTGCACTTCTGGACCGAACGAGTGGGATACCGGTATCCTCAATGTTTGAACGGATGAAGTGCATCGTCACCGAATCCTGGCTCCTCAATTCTGGCCTCATCAAGTAGTTGTCTCAATGGTCATGCCATTTTGTATGGGGCGTCATTTATTTGTTGTACCTCGACCCGCTACGGTAGCTAGCATTCTTCGAGCTAATAGATATCCAACCTTGCAACGAAGCACTGCAGTTGAGGGCGCGTGAGAATTGTGAGCCCCCCCCAAAATAACAAGGCAGTTGGCCCCCTCACACAAAACACAACTTAAAATTTGCATTTTTATTGCTATTTTGTTGGAACGGGCAATGGCGATACTGTAGGCGAAGCTGACGGATTATCATCATCGACTTCCGTAGTCGCAGACAAACGCACAGATCGATCGATGAAGGCATGACCATGGATCTTTCCGAGTCCGATGATTCAACTGGTGGCGATCACAATGACGACTATCAGCACCATGATCATCGGGAGCAATACCGTGAAGAAGATCATTATTTGACGGAAGAAAAAGCCGAGGACGACAGGTCAGATTTCGCGATGAATCATCGTCATCCCCATCACGATCTACTAGAAGACATGGAGACTGAAGAGACAGCCAGCGACAGTGTGGATTCCTGTGACCGTCGGATCAGTCGCGCTGCTCGATCGCTGTTGGTTCGCCCGTTGCGATCCATTTTGGCCAGTGCCAAGAAATTCTACAAGGACGACCTGGAGGAAATGGACAATCTGGAGAGCGCCACCGTGTGGAAATTGCTAGAGTATTCCTTGGCCCCTCATGCATATGCCGGCCAAAAGTGTCCCTTGCTTCCATCTCTGGATGTATTACGCCGTGAAGAAGAGCATTCCATTGTGTTATTGCCGCCGCCCAAGTCGACATCCAGTCGACTGGGAATCAGCATCCGATCGGCCATGTATCAGTTGAACAAACGAGCGTGGTGGAGAAATGCTTGGTATCAGTGTGGATTTTGTGGTAAACTGTTCAACAGTCGATATTATCTCGACCGCCATTTGGAGACTCATCATGCCAACAAAACACAGCACGAGCAGCAACCACACCGCGACGACAAGAATACTATGATTTGTCCTGCCACGACATGGTGCAAGGGGCTTCCGTTTTGTTCCCAGCATGCTCTTGAAATTGAACCCTACTATGGAAAAGGGAGTAACGGGTTGAGTTACCAGGATCGGAATTATATCAAACGACAACTCGAACAAGCCATGCAAGATGAAACCGCACATCGTGATGAAGCCACCATGGACCGTACCAAACAGCAATGCATTCAAATGATCCAGGACTGCTTTGGCGGTGAATCACAACAACAATCTTCTCCTTCTGTTTCTCTACAAGCCTACATTCACCAACATTTAGAACAGAGTCTGTGTCAACCAATCTCTTGTCCCGATCGATTACACCAACTCTTTTTTGCCGCCTCATCTCAGTCGAATGACGCGGCCGCCATGATGATGCAGCATGTGCATGAATGGCACGATGAATGGGAAGACTACTATGACCAGCATCACACCGTGGGACGCTTGGGAATGGCGATGCTGCTAGGCCTTGTGCTATGGTATACCTGGTATATGTGGCAGGTCAACACCAACGATAGCACGTACAAGTGGTTGCGACGAAAAGATCCCAAAGGAACGCGATTGCTGCAGAAACGATCGACTTCGACATGGAAAACTGCCCGCAAAAAGTTGTGGGGGACATCCACCACCAGCAGCAAACGGAGCACCAAAGCGAAAGGTCAATAGAGCGATAGCCACATCAAAAACTAGCCGGAAGGTCGTCGCTTTTCTATGACAAATCATTTGCGTTGAAGTTGGCTCAGTGGTCGTCACTGGTACAAACAACAAAAAATTCGGCATCTCCAGCTAGCTAAAAGGCGTAACTGAACCCAACACGAGAAGAACCGGTCCTTCCTTAAAGTGGCTAGCTACAGTATAGTATTGTTGCAACTGAGCGTTTTCATGAAGGACTCGTCTCTCTCCGACACTTCAAACCCCAAGTACTCTGTGCTGGACGAATGTGCGAGTAGCAAGTGTTCTGTGGTAACAAGGCTAAAAAGCACAACAGTTTAGCTCCACTGCATGCATGCTTGCACTGCACAAGCATGGTTCTTCTTATTAAAGACCAATACGCCCCCTCTTCTTCGGTCCAAACCGTTTGTTGCGAGCATTGGCGGCACCAGGTGTCGCCACAGCCCCCCCTCGATGTTTCTTGGACGCTTCAGCGGCTTCCTTCTGGCGTTCTTCCTCCTCTAGCTTCTGCTTCTTTTGCAATTCTTGCTCCATCTTGGCTTGTTCGGCTCGATCTTTCTGGCGGCGAAGCAACGTAGTTTCGTAGCTCTCTTTGACGCTCTGATGAGGAGGAGAACAAAATCATTGGTGAGCAATCTCAATCATAACGCAAAATCTAGCACATCACACACCACGATAACACTTACAAACAACATCGAACCAACTTCGGCCAGCCAATAACCGTCCACGGCTGTGACGCAACTCATGTATTCTTTCGAAGTACTGATCAACTCGTGATAGCAGACGTAGTCAGGTGTGTACCCCAGCCCAAACAAGGCACTGGAGGGATGAAGTGCGGCCGGAATCCCAGAGAGCATGTTGATGTATTCGCCAATTCCTTTGATCTTAGAACTGTTGTAGAAATAGGCAGAGCATATAGCCTTGCGGATAACATCCCATGATCCATCGCAGCTCTGCGGATCAAATCTTCGTTGCTTCATCAAATCCACAAGTTGGGAATGCACTTCTCGTGCTTTACGGATTCCTTTCGAATGAATGAAATGCTGATTGCACCACTTGGCGTCAAACTTGTATTGCTTTGCTCGAAGATAGACATTGAGCAGTGTAAGGTGATCAGATTCTGGGACGAAGAACTTCTCGCGTGCTGCATCACTCTCCTCTTCACGGTCCTTGGGTCGGAAAAACACACTTGGAACACTCAACATGCTGACAATGATCAGTACTTCCGATGAACATCTTCCGTGTTCATGTGCATACAGGAGCATTTTCGAGAGGGGTGGATCCAGTGGGAAGTCAGACATATTCCTTCCCATTGGTGTCAAGTCTCCATTGTTATCCAAAGCACCAAGAATCCACAACTGATATAATGAGTTCATGATGTTCTCTTCCGGTGGAGGCGACATGAAATTGAAGTCCAGAAGATTCTTCACGCCTAGCGATTTGAGCAAGAGAACGACATTGCTCAGATTCGTCCTTTGGATTTCTGGCACCGCATTCTCCATCAGCTCTTCTCGAAACTGACGATCCGTGTAGAGCCTGAAGGCGTATCCTTTGCCTGTTCTTCCGGCGCGACCAGAACGTTGATTAGCGTTTGCCTTGCTGATTGGGGTAACAACCAAAGCATCCATTCCAATCTTTGGGTTAAAGACTTTTAACTTGCAAAATCCCGAGTCGATCACATATTTGATACCGTCTACGGTAAGACTGAGAACGGATGATGTCAGAAACAAGAGATAGGCGAAACCACAAGCAATCATAGCATCAGTTCGTACCTAGTCTCAGCCACGTTTGTGGACACAATGCACTTTCTGATTCCCTTCGGCGCAGTTTCAAAGATCTTTGCCTGCAGGTCGGCCGGTAGCTGAGAGTACATTGGAAGCACAAGAAGGGGCGGGGAATCTCCCCCCAGCTTTTCCATTTTCTCTGCGAGGACAGTACAAGTTCCCTCAATATCTTCCTGCCCCGTCATGAAAATAAGAATGTCCCCAGGCTCGTGGTTGAAGTGAATTTGTAGTGCTTGCTTTACCGCCGCCATTACGTAATCTTCTTGAACTGACTTTGCAAAATATGTCTCAACAGGGAAGGTTCGTCCGGGAATGCGGAAGACAGGAACACCTCCAAAGTAATTGCTAAAGGTGTCGGCGGAGAGCGTGGCACTGGTTACTATCAGCTTCATGTCTGACCTGCGAGCGACCACTTTTCGCAACACTCCAAACAGAATCTATGTAAACGGTTGAGGAGTCAAGTGTGTCAGCAGGAAGTAACGATTGCATTGTGCGAAAGACACATCAGTACAGGATCTACAACGTACATCTGAGTTCAGACTGCGTTCGTGAGCCTCGTCCATCACAATGGCGCTGTAGTGATTGATGTCAGGATCACTGAGGGTCTCGCGGAGCAACACTCCATCTTAGTCGAACGAAGAGGTAAAATCTCGTGAGTTCAAAACAACAACAGCAGTGATAGGAGGACAAAAAGGAAAGTCTCAACTTACCAGTCATGTACTTGATTCTGAAACCGTGCAGAGGAAAGCAACCGGGTTAGCATGCAAATCAGAACGAGGAAACAGAGTAGGACATTCAAATACGTACTTGGTGTGAGGACTGGTACAATCCTCAAATCGGATGGCATACCCCACCGTCCCTCCCAGTTGATCAACTTCCGTCAGTGCTCGTCCTGTCTCCTGAACGGCCGCAGAAACCTCCTCGCTCACACGTTTTGCAACGCTCATGGCCGCAACTCGCCTGGGCTAAAGTATCGTGGTGGCAAAAAGGTGAGGCGATGACAGATATGCATGGGGACCGTTCCACGGCACACCTTCATCTCCCTTACCTGTGTACATCCCACAATATGCCCTCCAGTGCAATAGCCTTCCTCTAGCAGATACTGAACCAGTTGCGTTGTCTGAAGAATGAATGAACGGGCAGTGTCAGCATTGGAGTTCCGCGTAACACAACATGATTTGGAACAGCGACTGCACTCCTACTTACTTTGCCTGGGATTGCGACAAAAACATGAACACCAGCGAGACAAATGATGAGAAACAGAAGCAGCCACCAGAAGCTCTACAAACTCACTTTGCTTGACACTCACCACTACCAGTTTCTCCGACTGCAATCTACAGAGTCAAACGAAAGAGACACGCATTTCAGTTAGGCTCTGACTGACGAAAGCTTCTCGCTGACAAGCAACCATGACAAACACAAGCAATTCTCACGTACCACTACATTGTTCTCTCGAATGACATTCAGCAACTCGTCCCTGACCGAGAATATTGGTAAGAATTCTCGTTGTTGTCGTATCGACTTTGTCTTTGCAAACTCCGAAGCAGCCTCTGTCTTTTGCTTTGCCATGTGCGACGCATATCCGGTACTCTTTTTGTAATCCACTTCCCCATTGGCATTGACGTTGGCGTTGCTGGATGATGCCGCTTGGTCAGGTTCTGCTTCTTCGTCATTGTCGTCGTCTTTTTTGACTCGCATGGCATTTCCCATTTTGGAGCCTCCCAATTCCCAAAACTTTTGTCGCATGGTATTCTTTTCCTTTTCTTGTCGCAGCCGTTGCAGCGTCACCGATCCCTGCCGTGCCATTTTACAAAAATCGGACGAGTTGTCCTTGACGGTCGCTGCCGTCGTTTGTTTGGCCAGTCCCACGGACGACTTTTCCAAAAAGGGAGGTTTGAGTTGATGTACCAACAATGTGACGCGGGTATCATTTTCGTTCGAAACATCGAGTGCCACTTCTCCCCGCGACGCGGCACCCGAACTGAGCAATCTATTTTCTTCCCATGCTTCTTGATCGTCCTGGAGCGCACTTTTTCTGGCATTGAATCGTTGTTGTGTTTGTGTGGCCGCCTTGCCTCCTCGGTAATTTGGATTGCGCCGTCGTTCTTCCATTTCCTTTTCCCGTTGTTTCATCTTGTCATTGACAAATAGAAATCTTCCTAGTTGCCCCTGTGACTGCATTTCCGAAGCGTCCACCACATAGCCTCCTTCATCCGCCAGATAGAATTGTCGGTCAAAATCACTGCCATCGGAATCGTACAAGACATCGTTATTAGTATTCTTGTCGCTTCGATTGTTGTTGTTGGGTTTTCTATTAGCATCGGATCGTGATTCCTCGGGTTTTCGTGGCCTGGATTGTTGCTGATGTTGCTGTTTCTGGGGTGGTGGATTCTTTGGATGCGGTGATTGTCGATCCTTCGGTCTAGCATTATTATTTTTCGGTGGGCGGTCACTACTTATTTTTGACTGTTGCCCTCCATTGGACTTGTTGTTGTTTTTATTGTCTTCTTGACGATTGGCATTCGACTTGTTCTTATTAGGCACATTCTTCGTCTGAGGAACAATAGTACGGGTATTACGTTCCTCCTTGTCCTCATCGTCGTCTCGTTGTCGATACCGCCGTTGCTGCTTTTTCGAAGAGGACTTGAAGGCGGATTTTTTGGATTGGAACAGTGATTTCTTTTGGACATTCTTGTTATCGTTGCTGTCACCAACGTTGGATCCCTCTTCCTTGTCCAGGCGAGGACGTTTGCGAGTTGATTCGTCCGCCATCGTAATACAACCAACCAACCAACAATCAACGGTATTATCGATCAGTGAGGTTCTGACCGTTGGGTATCTTCGGGTAGGACGATGACGCTTTGCTGAAATAAGATACCCTCTTGCTGTGGATCTCTTCTGAGCAAATTTGGGCCAGCCTATGATGCTGCTTCTTGCAATTCTCTGTCAGTATCTTGGTTTGGATCTTCCCTCTCAATTCCGGTTGCTTCCTGATGGTTGGCACCTTGATTTGGTTGCGTTTGTGTACCGGGACGTGCTTCGGGTAAGCTTGTACGTTTGTCGTCGAATGACGCTGTGGCTTGTGGCTGGCATCTCACCTCCTGCCGAGAGGAAAGCGAACAGTTCCCGATCTTCAGGAAGGATCGTGTCAAGCCAACGAGAAGCGCAAAACCAGCCGTCACAAATTGAACACAAACAGCGTGCTAATCCTTTCCAAGAGAAGCAAAAAGGTCCCTATCAGCAAAAGAAAATACTACCAGCAAGAAAACCATGGTGTCATCGTCTATTACCTTGCTAATACTGGCTGCAGCCGCCTCGAAATTGACAGAGGCATTTTTGTTGGATACCTCCTATCGGCATCCTACGAGTCTTGTTGTTCGAGGCAATGCGGCAAGATTCCCATTTCTGGTGTTGTCGTCCAAGAAGAACAGTTGGAATGAGGAACATCTTGCCCATGGCGCCTCTGAAGTACATGAAGAAACCAATGAAGAGCTGCTGAAATCGGAGCAAGATGCTGCTTGGGATGCCCATGACCTCTCAGACCCTGGCATGGAGTCCGCAGCAGAAGAAAGAGCTGTCATGTTGGCTGCAGAAATGGTACATTATTGGAAGGAAAAGAAAACTCAAGACAAACCCAAACAACAAGAAAAGTGGAACAAACAACACTTGGCTCATAGCGCATCAGAAGTTCACGAGGAAACAACTGAAGAGCTGCTAGAATCAGAAGAAGCTGCAGCCTGGGATGCCCATGAACTGTCTGACCCTGGAATGGAATCTGCTGCAGAAGAGAGGGCTGTCATGTTGGCGGCAGAAATGGTGCATGAGTGGAAGGAAAAGAAAACTCAAGAAAAACCCAGCAACCAGGAAAAGTGGAATGAAGAACATCTCGCCCATGGTGCATCAGAAGTTCATGAGGAAACAACTGAAGAGCTGCTAGAATCAGAACAAGCTGCTGCTTGGGATGCCCATGACCTCTCAGACCCTGGAATGGAGTCAGCAGCAGAAGAACGAGCTGTCATGTTGGCAGCAGAAATGGTACATGAATGGAAGGAAAAGGCAAGGGCTGCAAAGAAAAATAAATAAATGAACAGGGCATCCATTGGGCAAAATACACCAATAATGGGCACTTTTGGATAAAAGGACACTCGTCATTACTTTTAGGCACCAGACTACACGTGTTTTGTACCATGCAAAATAGAGCGTCATAGTTCCTTTGTCCAAGTTTGATAGACACCGGTAGCTACCTAGATCCAAAAGAGAGCAAAACGAGAGATACTACCAATAACAAGGGGGCATAGACTCCTTCTATCATCCAAGCAACAACATGATGGGCCATCCATTCATTGTCAGACAGTAAAACAAAAGCATAGATGACTAATCCTCAACCCTTTGGCACAGCAACCAGCACCAATCCAAACGAACACAGCCAACCTAAAACATGAATGGTTGAATCGCTCTATTGCCGGTTCTACAGTAGCTGCCACGGGTTCAGGTTCTGTCCCCACCAACAAACCTGCCTCAAAAGATGCTTGGTAACCGCCTGGATGGAGTATGGTCACACTGCAAACTGGCAGTAACATTTAGGGGGGGTTAGGCATCCGGGAGGGGGGAGGGAGGAGAAAAGAGGAGAAGAAGAGAGAGGGTTAAGATTCCGAATTCTGGTCACCAAGCGAGGGACGCCCTGCCTGCCGGCTACAACGACATTTGGTTACTTATATGAAATGGGGGTAAAGGCAGTCATAATATTATTCCTCTAAGGAAAGAGGTCATCCCCCCACCGGAAATCGTCACTAAGACATCGCCACATCATGAACGGCCGTCACCCACATTCAAACCAATCCCTAGTCCACTAACGATTTGATTCTTCTCATTTTTGTTCTCCCAGTCCTTCCCCGATCGAAATCCTCCCACAAAATAGACACTCACAAATACAAAATTGGTGGACAATGAAGATGCTATTATTATTGATTACATCGAATACATTTTATACCGACACCAGTAATCATGCGGCGGTCTACCTACTCTCCGAGTCATCCATTGGCAGTACCGATCACAGCAACCTCTTTGCGGCGGTCGATACGCGGGTGGAAAGGCAGGTAGCAGCGGCACCCAACCAAAGTACTGCGTTTGAATTTGGGTGTACGTTGCTGGTGCCGGCGCTGGTTGTAAGTAAGGATTTCGAATTTGAATTTGCTGTTGGTGTTGTTGGGTATTATTTAACCCTCCGTTTGTGACTGTTGCATTGGCAGGCGTCGGTGGTGGTGGTGGTGGTGGTGGTGGTGGATTCGAATTTTGATTCATTATTTGTTGTTGCTGCTGTTGTGGTTGTTGTTGCTGCTGTTGTTGTTGCGGTTGGTGTGGTTGCGGCTGTTGTGGTTGTGGTTGTGGTTGCGGCTGTTGTTGCTGTTGTTGCTGATGCCGTTGTTGTTGTTGTTGTTGTTGATACCGCCTCAGATGCTCCGCATACGTGAGTCTTGTTGTTGTTGGCAGAGGACGCTCCGGCGATGGTGGCGATGATTCGGTGACCAGTTCCATCCCTGTTGATTGATCGGTGCACAAACAACAGAGACAATGGTCGAGTGGTCCATATTTTTGCAACCGAGGTTTGCATGCTGTCAGATATTCGGAAAAGAATCTCTCACCATTATCTTTGGGCAATTTCTCTGCTTTAGAAAACGGGATCTTGTTGACACCGCTGGAGATGGCCAACTGGTTGACAAACCAAAGTTCGGTGTGGTTGAAGTAGGGCACAATCCGCTCCCATCCAATTGGAATTGGTCTATTGTCATCTTCGCGCAGAGCAATGAGAGATCTCTTGTATCGAATGGCAAGATTATAGCGAGCTGTTCCAACCAGATTAAGATTGTCGGCAAGAGTCCTCCTCATCCCACTGTTTGCGAAATGGGCAAATCTATCATGAAACGCCTCCAGTTTCGACTCTCCTCTCCTGGAGAGGTATTCTGTAAGTCCGTGCTTTGAGTTTCTTGCTGGAACAATAGCATCATACATCTCATGAGTCGACATTGGATCACGCAAATGGATTGCCTTCTGTTTACAGTTTTTCACGGCATCTTTTGCTTCCTCGGTGAATAGAGAAAGCTTTTTGATTGGATCGAGACGTCCTTTCGCTGGACGATTTACAGGATCAGACGACGTGACCTTGTAACGATTGAACCAGTCATCTAACAGCTGTACCATTGTTGCCGGTTCTCTCATTTGCTTTCGTAGATATTTGGCATATCGATCGCGGAAGAGTTTTGTTCCTTGAAGATCAGCAATCTCCTCTGAAGAGAAGCACTTGCCAGTTGCCGACAACGAACCATCTTTGAGAGCAACAAGCAACTTCTCGTAATCGGATGGTAAGTACACATAAAGACAATTGAGGAGACCAGCCAGTGCTTCCATGTAATCGATGTGCCCTTTCCTCATTGTCGAGGTGATTCGTTGTTCAAAATGAAACAGGCCCAAGCGACCTTCCAAATCTGGAAAAACAACATTCCAGAAGTCTTGTTTGTTGGGCCATGTGTCGCTATACATGGCTTTTGGCTGAAAGTTTGGTCTCTTTGATAGCTGAATGGCGGCATGAGAAAAGTGAATGGTTTTGGTTGTGGGAACCAGTACTGCTGATGCAATTTCACCGGTGGACGTAGCAACATCCCAAGCTGCGACTGCTCCGACTTGGTTCTTTTGGTAATTCTTGACGACTTGAAAGGTGTGGTCCTGTGTAAAGATTGCATTGCACTGGACACTTTGAATCTCACGAATGTGTCTGTCATGGTCGCTTATGCCCCAAGGATTGCAGGGATTACTTGCGGCGTCATCGAAAGCATCCCTGATAGAATCACCCAAAGGCGGATATTGTCGTATGTAACAACCATCCTTTTCAATGTAAGGGGCAATGGTGATGTTTGGTGAGTGCTTCTTGTGTTCTTTGGTGTAAGAATAATAGCATGTAATCCGGCTAAGATATTCTTTGTTGATTGCTCTGTACAGCATTCTGCTGCATAGTTCCCCATTCCCATAGGTAACCATGATCGCATCAAAGACATCCGTTGCTGTTTTGGATAGGTGACACACCTTCTCCAGTGCGTATTTCGGCTCCACCGGATAGCAGCTGGCGGCGTATGGAGGAATGCTGGAAAGGACTTGAGCTGAATTGGAGTCAATCCTTCTTTTGCAGGAGTTACACACCATATGCATCACCATGCACCAGGACGGTGAGCTTTGTATTCCAAAGATTGGGAAGAGCGTCTTGTTCTTGGAGAAGTTTGTTCTTTCATTGCACAGCTTCCCATCGCAATATGGACAGGGGACGTGATCAAGTCCAAAACGGTACCAATCGACCAGAAGCAGATGCTGTCCAATGATGGAATGATAGTGTGGATCGATGATTGCTGGCACGTTGGGAACAGTTGCAGTAAGTCCTTTGAAATGTTGGTTGAAGAGAGACTTGTCTCTTGATCTAATCACTCGTTCGGCCATCACTTCAGCAAATGCTACCATTGCAATAGGAGCACCTTTGGATTTATGCTTGTCGCAGAAAGAGTCTTCCTTAACCAGTTTGGTGACTTCTTTGCAAAGAAACTCAGGTGTGACTGGTGTCAGCTCACCGGTAGTGCTCCAATTGGATTGTGGAGTTGTCATTGTTGTTGGTGGAGGAGCAGATTTGGTTCTCCTTCTAGCGAAAAATGCCTCTCCCGCTTCCTTTGTTGAGTGTCTCCAGCTACCTTTCTCTGATTCAGTAAGTGGTTGTTTGAAAAGTGCTTCCAGTCGCTTTTCCTCCTCTCTTGTTGCAATGGTCTGCTTTGATAACCCCGCTTCTCCTTTTGTCAATGTATTCTTGATGCAGCGGTCGTGGTGTCTCCTTTTTGGGATTCGGACCTCTAAACCTTGTTTCCTGCGAGCATATGCTATACAGACATTGCAGTCTTTCAGAGAGTCAAAAGGCTCCTTCGAATTCCCATCCATGGTTTGTTGAGCTCCCTTCTTCTTGCGCTTCTTGTTGTTGTTCAGTGAAGCAAGCTGATATCCTCTCTTTTGCTGTGAATTCCTTTGCTGGCTTTGGCGTCCCATTGCATCATTATGAGAGGTTTCGCCTGGTCTCTCTTCAGAGAGATCCACAAGATGGGGGCTACCTGTCATGTTCAATGTGTTGGTGGTTCAAGTTAATGATGATCTGAAGGAGTAAATGACCGTCGTTTTGGCCATGGTGGGTTGGTTCATCGGCTGATTGGCTTGCACGGAATCCTTCTTCTTTGTTTCGATGGCTCGGAAATAACGGTGAATGGTAGCACAGTAGTACGTTAAAATATTCAACTTGTGTCTTATATACTGCTTACGTATTATTGTGTCGTACCCGTGTCCTTAGCCAATCACATCACTGCCTTCTGCCGCTTAAAATCTGGCAGTATCTCACCAGCCAAAATCCTAAGATCATTCCCCCGGCAGAGAGAGGATTCGGGGGAAAAGGCACCAGGTATCTTTGCACCTCAAGCCTGGAGTATTGTACACAGTAGCCAATACAACACCCGCAAAGGTGCGCTGCGACCCACTTTGTATCACTCGGGAAGCACACAAACAATTTGTGAGGCCAGATTCATGGAGCTTAAATACCATTCCTCGTTTGCGGTTTGTCATTGAGCTGCCTAATTGCTGCTTCCACGCCAGTAGGAAAATTCGCCACCGCTGTGAAGTCGGCTAAGAGGACTGCTGACTGCGAGTGAACGCCTGTCGACAAAAAGATTGCGGGTACTAATTTACTATAGAGCCGGTCACAGCCCACATTTTCCGAGAGCGGTTTGGATTTTCCCCATCAATAGAAAGCTGATCGGCAATCACTCCTCACAACGCAACATCAGTGTACCCAACAGGCGCAACTACTCCGCCTTGCCAAAAAAGCAAGATTTATCTCTCCCTCTCAACAACATTCTGTTGAAGGTGGAGTCTCTGGTTGGATCGGATTCGAAAGCGGATACCCTCGTTTGGCTTTTTCGTTGTGGCAAAAGGACTGAGGAACTGTTATCCGGTTGGCCCAGCCACAAATCTCCTACCCGTACTGACAAGATCGGTCCAGCAGCACGGTATCGCTCAACAAGATTGATCGAAGACCCACAAAAACTTTCCAGAACACAAAACTGACTTTTAACTATCACGATGGCGTCCTTCTTATCGTTTGTATACCGTCGGCAAACAAGCGCTCCAGCGAGCTTTGACTCATCTACACGTCGAGGCGCCGCAGCAGCAGAAGCACGACACTCTCTTCCTAGCAGCATCGGCAAAACTGAAGACATTACTGAGCTTGATGGCAACCGCCCCCAGTTCTTACCTCCTGGGGTCAGTTCCAGCGGGAGCAGTGAATCAGCCTGGGCAGCTCCCCACAACTTGAGCAGCCACGATGAGTCGGAAGATTCCTCCGTTGTGGTACTCGACGATGATGAAGATGATCGCTTCCTCTCGTCACCCTTCACCCCTGAAGGCTTGCTGCCACGAAAGTCTGTGGATAGCATGCGCCGAAATCTCAAGTTGGAGATGCCTCCTCGCGCTTTGGACAAGTCAATGTCGTCAGCTCACACTGAAGCCGAGTTTTCTGGAGTGGCCAAGATCCTGGCAGGAAGGGTCAAGCCCCAAGGAAATGCTATGAAATCCCCTGCTCGGGCCAGCAGTAAAAGTCAAAACATTTACAGGGACGCCGAAGGCGATTCTGACGAAGACAACATGATCTTGCCACCACCACAGTATATGGTACAAAGCACGTCTACATTTGGATCTTCCATCCAATCGCCACCAGTTTCTACCTCGTCCTTTTACTCCAAGCATTCGTCGAAGAACCATGCCCCCGTGGCCATGTCTCCCGTGCTTCAGGTGGGCCAAGCCCGCACTGCCGTCGGGGCTCTGGTCGCGCTGAGAGAGGCTGCCAACAGTCACCCGAATGCGTCCATTGCCATGTCGTCATCGTCCGCGAAACAAGCCGAGCAAAAGACGACTGCAAAGAGTGAACCAGCTGGGCAGAAAAAGAAGAGCCGACACCAACATCACTTGACGAAGCAACACTCGTTCCCCATGAGTGTATTGCCCCCGCGTCCCAAGGAGTTTGATCAGGTGGAGCAACAGCATCCTGTGGAGGAGGAAGAAGTTGCGCCTCCAAGAGATGAGAATGCCAATGTTCCTTACCATCCGTCAGCCATCGGAGTTCGAAGACGTAGTGATGGTGTATTCAACACGGCTTCCATTGGGACCGGCTTGGAGCCTTCTCGAACGGGTGGGGTATCTCAATTTCAGCGTTACGGCGTTCATACCTTGGATAACAACAGGATACATCTTTCGTCTTCGATGTCATCCAAGAGCAGCATGATTTCCACCGGGCAACAAATGGACGAGCAGCTTTCTACTGCAAGGACTTGGGCCGCGGCGGGGAGTCTGGCGTTGTCGGATGCCTTGGCAACAGCCAACTCAGAGCCGAAAGCGATTGCCTACGATGAAGTTGAAGAGGATTTTGACGATCTATTGGTTGCTCGCAAGTTCCGAAACCAAGAGATGCAAAAGGAGCGCATGAAGTTGGAAGATACTTTCTTTGAGCTAGAAGAGGAGCACGAATCGGAGTATACCAGAGACGAAGAGGATTATGGTGAGGAGGCATCTGAATATTATCCTGAGCAGGAAGTTGAAGAGACCCACTACCGGTACAAGGAGACTGATGGCATTGACTTTGAGGATGCCCTGCTTCGGCGCAAAGCCCGCAACCAACGTCATGAAACGGAAAAGTTTCTACACGAAGTAGTCGCACGCTTGAGAGACAATCTGGACCTGGTCGCCGATATCGAAGCTGCTGCCAGTCGGACTGTGGCTGCTATGGGTAGCTGGTTCGTCAAGACGCCCATTGATACTGAAAATCTTCTTACTGGATTCTCTTTCGAGCGTCGAAACAAGCTCTTGTCATGCATTGACTCTATTCTCAACGAGATGGCACTTGCTCAGCCTGAAGAATTCATTGTGTCTCCTTCGAAGGTGCCCGTTATGGCTGTTAGCCACGACACGCTAACACAGGCATTGCACTTTTGTCGCGCACTGATTGTGTCCGCGATTCCAAGAAACGAAAGGGAAAAGATGGTGAAAGAACTGTAAGTATTGACTGAATCCAACAACATACGTCCTAGATCGAACAACCTTTGATAGTTTGCCTGACTCGACTCACTCTACGCTTTCTTCACTCTCCAGGCCTTGTGATGAAGTAAACTCAAACCAACAGCATCTATTCGTTTGGAAGAGTCTCCCAGAACTCAACCACGCCCTTGGCATTGTTGCTCCGCCACAGACGCCGGTCACAGTTCGCGGTGGTGGGACATCCTTGTTTTCACTGCCCGAAGAGTCTGGAGCTGAAACTCCTCACACTTCGAACGTGAGTCTGGCTACGAGCATTACGTCCGTCAACACGTACAACGCTCCCAGGCAGAGAGCAAACCAATCGGCGCGCCCGCAGTTGATTCTGCAACAGGATGGACTTCAACTTCGCCAAACTGTCCAAGTCATCTCATCGTTGCTGCAGAAGCTATCTTTGGCTTGCATGGACCTGGGAGAGGTCAATGCCGGCAAGCAAAGCACCGACATGGCTCGAAAATACGTTTTGGCCTGCGACAACATCAAGCAGCTGTACCTACGGTTACTTACCATCAAGAAGGAAGATGCCAAAGCTCTAATGGGAACGTTCTACTTGGAATCGCAGTCTCCTGAGAGCAACGCCATGATTGCTCGAGAGGTTTCTGCGGACGAAGAGGACATGGCTGAGACACACTCGAAGGACATGCGGGCTGTACGAACCGTACCCATGTTCAGTGGTCGATTTCAGGGCCAAAATCGAGGTCAAACGACGTTGCTCGTCGATCGTGTTGGGAACTCGATGTCGTTTGGTGGTCCTACCCCAATGCCTTCGCCCAGGAGGAGCTCGTATCCATTGGAGATGCCGCGGCAACAACCCAGGGAAAGCAGGGGCATGAGCTTGTTTTCCCCATCCACGGAAGATATGAGAAGCAAGGCCAGCGACTACTCAATCCCCTATGAATTGGACGACCTGCGCCGCCAAGTGGGCAGCTATGACAGGGATGACAGCGACGACACCGAGGAGCGAGATGGACCATGTGAAAACGGATTTGAGACTCGAGAAGAGGCGGAGGAGTGGCGAGCGATGTATGAAAACGTGTCCTTGGCGGCCTCATCCCTCCGATCATTAGGACAACCACAAGCCAAGAGCACAGCCAGGTAGGAAGGTACACACATGAAATTGCGTCAGTCAAGGGACACAGAAAAATACATAAACGGGCGGGAACTCTCGTTGGCTGTGAACCAGTCTCTCTATAGTAAAAAAGAAAGAGCCAACGAGAGATATACAAGGATAAACAATAACACAAAATTTTGCCCATTAATTACACTTCACTAATTCCAAATCTATCTCTATCAATATCCAACCTGTTTGAGCCTTGGGATGGACTAACCCCCACTGATGGGCGGGATGAGAGCGACAACGTCTCCAGCTTTCAAGGGGAGAACGGATCCTTTAGGCACGTATTCTTCGTTCAAGGCAAGGGTGATATATTCTTCGTTGGAGACAAGCGGTGCGAGCTTGGGATACTTTTCTGCCAGCGAAGATCTACTAGACCAGGAAAGCCAAAAGTATTGCAGATGCCGAAGAAACAGGATGGGCAAGAATGAGAGTCAACGGCGATTGCGTGGGGTCTGAATCAAGGTCGATGCCTTTCGATTCCTCGACTCTCTCAAAGCCTCAAGAAAAGGAACAATGCGACAGCAGTCCGTCTTACCTTAGCACCGCCGTGTCGGCGGATCCTTCTTGCAGATCAACGTCCACAGAAGGGACGTTTCCAGCCGCTTCTCGTGCTGCAGCAAACAGCAGGACTCGAATCGTCGGCATCTCCTTTTCGACGATCCAGACACCAGCTAACCAACAAAGTTCAGAAGAACAAACAACAAACTACGCAGCGATGAAGGCGGTCTCTATTGGAAGAGCTTTCGTGGAAGATTGGAAGATTGGAAGCGAGAGCGACGAAAAAGAGGAGAGCTCTGCGGATATTAGCTAGCAGAGCTGCGAATAGAAGCTGTAGAAGCTTAGAGGGAGACGAAATCCAATCTCCAGACCGCGGCCGGTCTTCATTCCATTTTGAAGCTTCCAAAAGCCTCCCAGAAGCACCCGCAATGAAAACACAAACAAGAGCCAAAATACCCCCATTCCTGCAATGGAAGCAGCCTCCAAAGCAGTGAAAAGGGTCTGTGAGGCTCTGCTAAACTTTGTGGAAGGACTGTACACTATTTCTCATTGATCCTACATAGCATTGAGCTGGAACACCTCTGGAGTAGCTTCTGGAGTACGGTAAAACCCTCAATTTCCTCATTTAGTGGGCCATAATAGCTAGGTCTTGCTGCATTCTCCTCCGTGTTTTTGCTTCCACTCGCCCGAAGATGAAGCCCTCGAATAGGGAGTTCCAACTAGACCGTGCAGAGTGGACCATTTTCCGGTCCAACTCAATTGCTTTGGGCATATTACTCACTAGGATAATCAATCCTACGTTTGTTTCGCATGTTCCTGCGTGTGCTACGCTTTCATCTTCTGTCTATAGATCTACATGTAGCTAGTACAAGTGGAGGTAGTTATATCAATGAAGCTACCGGTAAAATCTACAACACCATTGGTATCACTTCTTCCTTTTCCACGCTACCGTGCCCCCCCCCCAAAGACGCAGGAGCTGAGCAAGTCGACTTGGATGCATCCCAATACCATTGACCACGCTCCTGGAAGAACAGCGGCTTTCGGCTCTTGTCCGCAAAGTTGGGATGATAGAGAGCAATATTATCCGTGCGATTTTGATATCTTTCAGCATAGAGCCCGCTTTCAAGAAACTGGATGGTTGGGAACCGCTCTCTGTCCAAAGTGCAAAGGACCAAAGGATACTTTCCCTTGGGTTCATCATACTCACCAGATTCTATGAGAAACTTCATTTTGAAGGTCTGTATGGCGGCTCGCATACTTGGCTGATCTTGTTGTGGAAAACTAATGCTGCTTTGATCCATTTCTGATACAGTTCATGAACTACATCTCGGTTGCGGATCATGATGAATCCGGACAATGGCTCCACAGTACGAAGAGGTTCTTCTGTTTCCCCATATTCAACGTCATTTGTAAAAAACATGTCGCATGCATTTGTTTGGTTGAAGTATTGTGGAACAACGTCCCAAGGGCGATGCGCCCAAGTAGTGTCGGCATCGGACAAGACGATGTTCAAATCGGGGTATCTTGTAAGCAACGTTCGAACAAACTGAGCACGACGCCAAATAAACTCGATGAATATCTCAGTCGGCTTGAATCCCTTTCGAAGCTGTCCAGAAAAGGAAGTGATGTTGTCCCTCTTTGACCCTTCGCCAAGTAGCATCCAGAAAGAAGAATCCCAGTAGATCGAATCTGGAGGGAGAATGGAGTCATCAACTCTCTGAGCCGCCAATGATGCTGCTTCATCAATGGGCACAACGACAAAGTTGTCAATATCGAGTGCTCGCAACGAACACATCCAGTTGTTGATGAGCAAGTTCTCAAAGTACTCTGCATTGGCAAACGTGAGCACGACGAATCTTCCCTGTACAGACCACAAATCACTGTTTGGGATTGGCAAACTCTTGTCGTAGATCGTCGATAGAGCATCGGTGGGTTCTGGGAGATGCTCTTCTATATATCTATCGATACTTGCATCAATTTCAAGCGGTTTGAGAACGCTCTTTGCTTGGTAAGATTCCCCATGTGAAAGAGATAAGACAGACAAGTCCCGGGCGCTGACAGGACTTTCGAGAAGTCCAAAGAATTGTAGACAAGTAACAACAGCAATACCAGCAACCATGATGAAGAAGGACAAGGAGCGACACCTCGAAGGCTTCATCTTTTGGGTATTCGGCTGCAGGCGTGTCCCCATCGCTCCAGAACAACAACAGCAGTACCGCGCAGCGTCTCAACGAAACCGAGTGGAGAAAATCCAAATAATGAGCCAGGAAACAAAAGATGCGCCTCCCGCCGAGGTACAGTACCGTACAGGGCCCTGTAGGTTTCTACGCTTGCTGGTAGTTCTCGTAGAACTTACGGGAAAGCAAATACGTTTCTCACTTTTTTCGCACGAATGGTTGATGATGTCGTGGCATCAGATATCGTTCAGTCTTGGCCTCCTGCTAGCTAGACTAGATCGGCAACGTTGTAGCCGCTTCAGAGAGCTTGGCGGAAGAAGGAAAGAATCTACTGTTGGTGGTACAGTGTTTTCGCACTGGTACCTGGTACATGGATGCGTGGAGTAAAAGAGACGGCACCAGTCAAACCACCAATGGAAGGAAGGAGAGGCAAGAATAAGCAACCTAAGGAATACTGCTGTAGCAACCAAAAGTTTTGGCAAGATTGCGATACGGTTCATCGAACCCACACGTGCAGTTGCAACTGTTGGCAGTGTGCTGGCAACCACTTTAGGTGAGCCGAGAAGCAAACAAAGATATTCCACGGGTACCGAGCGGCAGTCACGATGAAGGGAGATGTATGCAACGTCCTTCGAGGAAACGTAAGCTGTAGCTCAGAGGTTGTACGTCACCAAAGATTGGAATGGAAGAGATGAATGAGCCCGACTAATGCATTGCCTCAATTTGCAAGTGCTCACCAGCCAAAAGTCCCACGGCTCAAGTTCAAGGTTGCAGTTACGAAGCATGAACCATACCGTATGGCTTCTGGTAGAGATCCGGCGCAAAGCATACATCATACCTGTGCTCTCACAAATTTGGAAGAGGCTCTTTTTTTGTTGTTTTCCAACGAGCGTTCTGCGTCACCCATACGACTGTTCCAGAAGCTCATCATGAGAAAGAGCAACGCAGCATACGTTATCCGATCGCTGGTGATCATCAACACCTTTTGGTTGCTCTTTTTTTCCAACTCGTGCTCTCCAAATTTCTTCCTTGTGCTTCTCAGTAACCGACGATCTCTGGATACTCTCAGTACCTCCATTTCCAACACGCTTGGCAATGTCATTGGGGACGATCTCCTCCAGGACAACGCCCCTCCACAAAACCTGACATTTTTCAAAAAGTTCGAGGGCCTTCCAGTTTGCCAAGATTTATCCGAGGACGACACCGTCCACATTGATGTTTCCTTGGTCACTCAAACCTCCTTCGAACGTCTTGGCGTCATGAAGGATATTTGTCAACGATGGACGGGCCCCATCTCCCTGGTGGTGGCAGAAGGTGCCCAGAATATGACACGACCGGAGCTCTACGACACACTGTCCGAGTACGGGTGCCAGGAGGACTTGGTGACGGCATCTCTGTACACGGAGCCATTCCTGCGCAAGAAGTACCCCGTCAACATCTTGCGCAACATGGCATTGCGACAAGCCCGAACCTCACATGCCCTGTACATCGATATTGACCTGATTCCCTCAAAGGATCTCTACGAGAATATTTTGTACCACAAGGAGCAGTTGCGAATGAACCCCAAAGATGCCATTGTCGTTCCTGCCTTTCAGTTGAACGAAACGCCCGAGTGTGAAGAGGAAGAAGCTCTTGTGGGAGAGGAATGCTCGGAAATTCTGCATGAACTCCTTCCCGAAACCAAAGAGGAACTGCTGAAACAGTATGGTCACCCGTTTGAAGAGCCCGAATCCGTGCGTCCAGGAACCCTTTCACAGTGTGGAGCCCATTGAGTGCCTGCGGTCCGTCCGTTACGAGCCCTACATGGTGGTGCGGCTGTGCCAAGATCTTCCTCCTTACCAGGAATCGTTTCTGGGCTATGGTAAAAACAAGATTTCTTGGATGTGGCAATTTCAGCGCAGTGGATATCGGCTCTTTCGGTTGGGCAGTGGCTTTACCATTCATTATCCGCACCCCGAATCCAAATCGAAATATTCCTGGGCCTACACCAAGAAGAAAGTGGGACGCAACAACTTGGATGTGGAGCAAATTGCAGCGGCTTTTCGTTCCTTTCTTCAGGCGGAAGTTCCAGATCAGGGGACACTTCCTTACTGCGAGAAATACGAGAGTTCCTACTTCCACGAGGTCGAATCATGAGGAAGGGAAGCATCTGTTGTCTTTACGATAGAAGTAAAAGGATGTAGTAGAACCACACAAATTTTCATGCAACCTACCGCTACTATTCGGGTACCGCTAACCTCTTGCAGCTTTTGAATTGACATGCCGTTGAGGCACTCTGTCATGGGCTTGGGGTACAACCAGATAGTACTGTAGTCTATTAATACCGGTAGCATCTTCATGTGGCTGAGGTCGTGTTGTGTTTTTCCCTGCATCCTTTTCATCAAAGATTTAATAAGTGTAGCACTTGCGGGTACCACAGAGTATTGGTACCAACATCCGTTAAGTATCTTTCGAAGGAAGATCGCGGTTCTTTCCAAACGTGCCAAGGCAAGATCCGATGGTGACAGGTTTGCCTCCACTGATTGCTACATCAACCACACAACACACCAGGCGCCTGCACAATCAACCCAACAAACTAATAATGGACCTGGAAGAGCAAAAGGAGGTTTGGAGGAAGGAGCAACTGGAGCTTGCATCGCAAGTGGAGGTTCTGGCGGATGAATCCACGAGCAGCGATCGCTTTCAGTCCTTGCCGTTAATTCCACTGGAGACTTCTTCTACTGATGATGGCACCAAGGACAGTCCTCTCTACTATGGTGGTGTAGATGTAAGCTTTCCAACGGATGAAAATGACCAATCTGTGGCTGTCTACGTGATTGTGGAATGCCCCTCTGGAAAGGTGGTGTATAAAGATCATGAATATTATTCCTTGACCATGCCCTACATTCCATCCTATTTGGCATTTCGAGAGATTGAACCACTGGAACGACTGATTCAAAAGCAGCGCAAGGAACAACCCAAATTGACTCCTAGAGCCATTCTGGTGGACGGAAATGGGGTCTTGCATCCTCGCAAGGCCGGAATTGCCTGTTTTGTCGGTGTACGAACGGGCATACCAACCATCGGCGTGGGCAAGACGCTTTTCTACGAAGGAAAACTCAACAAGGATCTGGTGTTGCAGGAATTGGGAGAAGCCTTGCATGATGCCAAGCAAGCGTTCCTCGACAAGGATACTAACAACGTCAAGAATTCACAATCCAAAACAACATCAAAGTCACCACTTTGTGACACCATCATTATGGATTCCAAAACCATCCCCAAGCCCTCGTCCGCCGAAAAATTGGTGTTGGATCGAGGTGCACTCGTCAAAGAACTGTCGACCATATGCCGCGGGGTGGCGGTTCCCTTGGTCAATGAAGAGGGAGAAGTGTTGGCGTGTGCTCTGGTGGGCCACGGAGGACTCATTCGCACCAAGGCATCCGTGACGACCGGTGGCACCAAGAATCCAATTTACATTTCGGTGGGACACAAACTGTCTCTACAAGAAAGCGTTCGAATATGTGCTTCCTTTGCGTTTGCCAAAATACCCGAACCAGTGAGGCGAGCTGATCTCATTGGGAGAGAATTGTTGCGGTGCAAAGAGGCAGAGAAAAACAAGGGATGAGTTCGTTGCGTCGAGCCCGGACCATGCGGAGTCTCCACAAAACAGTCCACAAAAAGCGGCGCGAAACCACAATCAGCGCCACCAGGCTTTGATGACGAATTGAATCCGTTTGGCTTGGTTGTATCGTGAAGCTCCGGGTGTCCAGAGGACAGAAGAGACAGATATATGATACACCGGACGAGCCCATGTCTTCGCCTCACCCGGAGGGGCGAAGCCAAGAAGAAGCCAAAGAGTGTAGATCCCTGGCAACGCCCCATTTCTTTGGAGATGCATACTCAGCAAAACTGCGGGAATACTACGACGACTCGACTCAACCCCCTCTGTTGCTCTCCTAATCTGTAATTTCTAGATTTTAGAATGTGGTGATTATTCTGTGGCTGCAACAAAAGCCAGTGGTGGACCAAGCTAATTGTAGGGGAGTACGAGGCAAAACTCGAGGCATGGCTTGGTTGGATTTTGTAGCACCATTTTGAAAGGAGCGAGTCTTCCCATATTCATCACCTTGAATTCTTTCTCTGTTCCATTTCTTTGGCGGTTCTGGCCACACATTTGCCCACAACTCGTTGCAACTCGTAGCATGGTATTTTGTCCTGTACTTGCTGATTTTTGGCAGAAGCATAGGCTGTTTTGCGTTGTGCCAGAATGGCTTCCATGCCTTGCTCATCAAAACACTTCTTCATTTGTTGTAATTCACCTCCACACCGCACTGACAAGGCACGGCATCCCCAGAGAGCGTGCTGCTCTGGAACACATCCCTTCTTGTTGGCAATTGGCAAATCACGCCATCCAAAATAAACCATCCAGCGTTTGCCCAATCCAAATTCGTCCAATGCTGGGGCTGTCGCTTGATGTTGCTGACATGCCTCTAGGCTGTCCGCCAGCTGCTGACACTGCTTCAATCGTCCCAAACTCTGATCATCAGCAAAATTCTGTAGCCAGCTCCAAAGGCCACTGCCATTGCTGTTGTTGCTTGGTTCTTTTCCCTCTTCTGCTCCCGCTGATGACGATGAGGAAGCCATGGTTTGAAGGTACCTCTATGTAGAGTACATGTAGAAGAAAGATGAGTGGTCGGAATTGTTTGTGGTCAATTGTGGGCAATGGTGGGTTGATGGCGCAGGTTGATCCCAAAAAAGATCCGCTGGAATTCCGTGCCATCCATGTTGCGGATGATGTCATCATCCGGCAGCTGGGGGAGTGTCCTACAGGCAGCTTCGATTTTATTGATTCAAACGCGCGCCACTCTTTTCAGTACACCTCTACACAAGCTCTCGTAGAACTGTAGCAGAAATGCCGGCACGCGTTTGAATCAATAAAATCGAAGCTGCTCGTAACCCTTTGAGACTCGTATGAACGGAGCGACTGAGTCAGCCAACGTCATTCGATGCGATTCCCACCAATGTTTTGAGTTTCTGCTCATCAAAGAAAGCTTTTCCTCTGTTCTTTCATTTCAGTTTGCGAGGACCACATCCAGCTATCAGTAAAGATGGCACTACTGACCATGACGCACAAGCCAAGTTTCCTCATTGGCGTTGTCATAGTTTGCATTGGAGCCACAAAGGTTATCGCGTTTACTACATGTACTATTACAACATGTTCTAATCCCAGTGATAACCTGCAATCTTCCATCCGTGACACGTGGCTCTTTTCCAGCCAACAACCTCAAGATGCAGCAGAAGTTCGAGCAGGTGCCGATGGATATTCGCTACTGCGGCAACCAGTGAACTGGGATGCAGATGAAGACCCGACATTCGATGCCCCATCTGCTTTGCTGGAAGAAGACGAGAAGGGGATCCGAAAAGAGGATTCTTTGTGGTGGAACAATAACATCAAGGGGATCGGAATGAAGGGTGATCAAACCAAAAACAATGGTAATGACAACAATATGCAAGGCCGGGCATCTTCATCCGTTCCAGTCCCAGAAGAGGACGAAGACTTGGATTTATATCAGAGAAGCTTGGATACACTAGACTTTCCCAGAGTCCTCAAAGCCCTGAATCAAGAATGTACGACGGTGCCAGCTCGACGAATTGTACAAGAAGCCAGCCACTTTCACAATCTACCGGAAGCAAAGAAAAAGGCACCCAAGAAGAAACACCAACAATCATACGTCCCTCTGATTGCCGAATCTGTCGAGGGAGTCCAAGAACGCTACAAGGCAGTGGAAGAAATGCAATGGCTATTATCCAATGGCGATGGGAAGGATATTCGTCTGGATGATGGCTTCTTTCGCAATCGAAAAGGATACAAAGTAGACGTGGGCGGTCGCGGCCCTCCTCTTCAGGGAATGTCCTTCAATTTACAAGCCGTACTGGAGATTGCCGATGATGGCAAGGTACTGGAGGGTCCCGAGATTCTGGAAGTCTCCTCTATTATGGATGCTCTTGAGGATGTGCTATTATGGAGCGAGTCCGTGCAGAAAATAAATGACTTGTCATTTGTGGAACTTCCCAAGCTTGTGAATGACGTGACGGTAAACACAACGTTGCAGGACCTGTTGCACAATGCCTTTGACAAGAAAGGGAGACTCAGCGGAACCACCTTTCCAGTGCTGGGGGCCTTGCGGGAAAAGGTGCGAACACTCAAGAGGGATATCATGTCAACCCTTGACAATATACTGGCCATGCCATCCATTCAATCCAAGCTGGCTCTGGAAAGTGGTGGATCCTTGTATTCCGAGGTCAGTGGAGGAAGATTGGTGATCCCGGTGGCCTCCAAATATGCATCGTCTGTGGGAATCGTCCATGACACCTCCAGGTCAGAAAAGACGGTGTATGTAGAACCTACCGAAATTGTAGGACCCACCAACGAGTTGCGACAGACCGAAAGTGAACTGCGACAGGAAGAAGCGCGAGTATGGCGAGATCTAACCGAGCAAATACTCAAGAATCGAATCGATCTAGAGGCATCTGTAAGCGCCATTGGACAACTTGACTTGGTCACTGCCCGGCTTCGGCTGGGAGAGAAGTTAGAAGGCATCATTCCATTAGTGCGAGATGAAGGAGTAGTCTCACTTCGCGACGCCAAGCACCCTGTACTATTACTACGCGAAATTGAAAATGTTGTGGGAAGCGACATTGATTTGGGAGCCGATGGAAACCAAGGCCTCGTGCTCACCGGACCCAACGCGGGTGGTAAGACTGTCATCCTCAAGTTACTGGGACTGATTGCGCTCCTGTCCCGTGGTGGGATCCCAGTACCCGCGGCAGCAACCTCATCCAATGGCGACAGGCAAGACAACTACGTCCCGCGAGTGGATTTCTTCGACCCTGTTCTGGCCGATATCGGTGACTTGCAGAGTGTGGGTGGTGACCTTTCAACCTTCTCAGGGCACCTCTTGGTGTGTCGGGAAATCTTATCCAACTCGGGAGAGAACGCCTTGGTACTGATGGATGAATTGGGCAGTGGGACAGATCCAAATCAAGGTGTGGCAATCGCACAAGCGCTCATGGAGGAATTGCTGGAAACAGGCGCACGTGTTGTCATTACCACTCATTATCTGCAACTCAAACAGTTGGCAGCTTCGGATGATCGATTTGCCGTTGCTGGCATGCAATTCGTCAATGGCAGACCAACCTACAAGTTATTGCCCGGTACCGTCGGCGAGTCGTTTGCTCTGGCGGTAGCGGAGCGTTTGATGCTCCCAGCGTCAGTGCTCGAACGAGCCAATGAACTGTTGGATTCCGAAACACGACAAATGGGAGATTTGATACGAGAGCTAGAGGACCAAAGAGCGCTGGTCGACCAGCAGAACCGAGAACTAGAAGCAAAGAAGAAAGAAATGGGTGCATTAGAGCTCAAAATCAAAGAGGAGAAGATGCGTCTGGAAAAGAAACAACTAACAGCTCGTCGAGACGAAGCCAAAAAGTTTGCCAAGAAGCTGGAAGAAAAGGAACAGGTGCTTGAAGACATTCTCGAGAAGCTGAAACAAGATCCTTCGCGTCGCGTGCTGGCAAACAGTTGGAATGATATCAAGTTTGTGAAAAGAGACGCCTTGTCTGATGCAGAGAACGTTGGTAGTGTTTTGGCAAAGAAGGCAAAGGCAGCTGAAGCCATGAAAGATGCACAGGCAGAGTTGGTTCCATTGGCTGAACTTCGAGAAAAACCCGATCTCCAGCCGGGGGGCAAGCTAGTGGTGTGTCAGTCGGGCAGTCTGTTTGGTCGTGAAGCAACCATTGTCTCTTCACAAAGAAATCGCGTGACAGTGCAGATTGTTAGCCTACCAGGGGTCACCATGGGTTTGAAACTGACTGACGTGGCTCTGCCGCCATCCAAGGGTACTGTGACCTTCAAAGCATCTCAAGCCGCTTCATCTCTTGTCGTAGATAGAAAGTCTTCCATTTCAAAAGCTGCCGAAAAAGCATTGCAGGCCGAGCGGAGGGGGGCACAAAGTGCGGCAAGCTCTACGAATGCGGGCGCCTCCTCTGCCAAGGTCATCATGCGGACCGACGCAAACACAGTCGATGTACGTGGTTGCAACCTTCTGGAAGCCCAAGAAGAGGCCAAAGCAAAGTTTAGCTCCGCTTTGATGTCCGGGCGCCCCGTCGTGTACATTCTTCACGGACACGGTACAGGTGGAGTCCTGAAAAGTAAAATCCGCGGCTGGCTCAAAACAGAACGAACCTTGGTAAAGAAGTTTGAACCTGCCGACAAGGCTGATGGAGGCGATGCATTTACGAGAGTAGAGCTAAAATAAAAGGACAAGTAATCGATTGAAAACCAATGCGCTGGCGAGTTTTCGTCAACTGCGAGACGACCAACTAAAGCGGCCTTCGCATCGACGATGACCCAGCAACTCCTTGACTGGTAGCCGATGACGGTTCTACCGATACAGTACATACGGTAGTCACGTTGAGGGTACGACAGTCGGTGCGTTTGTTGGAGGTACTCGTATCAATAGAGTACCGGTATCACAGAGCTTTGTGTTTGGTTGTTGTGTTTTGTGTTGTGTTGTGTGACTACGATTATGTTTAGAACTACGAGACGAGACAAGAAGCTGGCATTGCAAAAAAAAATCCCACGACTATGAGTTATTGTTGCTACTATACTACATAATGCTGTACGTATGTGTTGTTTGTTTTTATTAGACTACTAGACTAGTATGCTGTACGTGTTGTTTGTTTTGGTTGATTGTTGTGTGTAGCATCATTGATGAGGCAGGTTAGTAGTCAGATTTCCACCAGGTATTAACTTCGATGCAAGCATCATGGGACGTTCAGACAACACTCTACAAGTAGAGATGCCGCTTAGCACTGGAACCACAGAACCAGGCTACCCTTCAAGTGTGGATTAGACTTTGAACCAACTGCACTCACCTCCGCTGAGTTAAAAGTTGAAGGCACCCGCCAGTGCTCCATGTGACAAGTTGAATGCACCCACCAGTGCTTCAACACGAAAAGTTGAATAGTTGAATGCACCCCACCAGTGCTTCAACCCAAAAAGTTGAATAGTTGAATGCACCCACCAGTGCAGCTTCAACGCAAAACGTGAAAGTTGAATACACCCACCAGTGCTTCAACATGAAGTAAAAGTTGAAGGCCCCCGCCAGTGCTCCATGTGACAAGTTGAATGCACCCACCAGTGCTTCAACACGAAAGTTGAATAGTTGAATGCACCCCGCCAGTGCTTCAACCCAAAAAAGTTGAATAGTTGAATGCACCCACCAGTGCAGCTTCAACGCGAAACGTGACAAGTTGAATACACCCACCAGTGCTTCAACACGAAAGTTGAATAGTTGAATGCACCCCACCAGTGCTTCAACCCAAAAAAGTTGAATAGTTGAATGCACCCACCAGTGCAGCTTCAACGCGAAACGTGAAAAGTTGAATACACCCACCAGTGCTTCAACAGGAAAGTTGAATAGTTGCATGCACCCGCCAGTGTTGCACTCAATGTGTTGTGTTTGTGTCGTGTCGTGACATAACCTGTAGTAAATGAAAGGCTTCAGAAATGTTAGTGAATGAACATGTATTGGTTGGAAGGCAATGGCACAGCACAAATTGACTTATCTTTCGTTTCTTTTGTCCCCCATAGAGGAGGGGGCCGGCCTCTGTGTTGCTCATTTCCAAGTGGAATCCTACAAGAAAAGCGAACAAGGCATTAGTAGTAAGGAGTCACTCCAAGTGGAGGAGGGTGGGGCGGACGAGCAATAGCAATGCACAGCAGGTTGGAACTTACCTTGTGCCTGGCCAGGACTTGTGTGTGTTGTGTCATTTCCAAGTGGAAGCCTACAAGAAAGCGAACAAGGCATTAGTAGTAAGGAGTCACTCCAAGTGGAGGAGGGTGGGGTGGATGAGCAATAGCAATGCACGACACGCAATAAAACCATTGGGAACTTACCTTGGGTGCCTGGCCAGGACTTGGTGTTGGTTGTGTTGTGTCGTCACCAAGTGGTGGCCTGCAAGCAATAGATTGAAGAATGGGTGAGGCTGTGGTAGGAAGAGACAAGTGGTTAGCAAATTGTCACTCCAAGTGGAGGCCTGCAAGCAATAGATTGAAGAATGGGTGAGGGCTGTGGTAGGAAGAGACAAGTGGTTAGCAAATTGTCACTCCAGTGGAGGCCTGCAAGCAATAGATTGAAGAATGGGTGAGGCTGTGGTAGGAAGAGACAAGTGGTTAGCAAATTGTCACTCCAAGTGGAGGCCTATGAAAGAAGCCTACATGCAAAGAGAGCAAGGTGTCAGTAGTTCTTCTCCAAGTGGAGGCCTATAAGAAGAAACCTTCATGCAAAGAGAGAAAGGTGTCAGTAGTTCAGCTCCAAGTGGAGGCCTATAAGACAAGAGACAATGGGTTATGTGCAACAGTAGTCAATTGACAATGGCAATGCAAACAGCACACACGAGATTTGACTTACTTGTTTTCGATGACCACCGGCTTGCTGTGCTGTGAAAGGAAAGAGCGATGAACAGAAAGGGTTATGTGCAACAGTAGTGAACAAGAGCAATGCAAACAGCACACACGAGATTTGACTTACCTGTTTTCGATGACCACCGGCTTGCTTGCTCTCGTCGTCGTCGCCACACCTAAAACGGAACGAACCAATCGGGCTTCTTCGCCTGCCGACCAGATCGTCGTGTCACCTGCGGCCGTTGTTGTGTCTCGCTGGGCTTTGGCTTTCTTGTCGCTGTCTTCTTCCGAGCGACCCTTGCCTTCTTGCCGGTTGCGTTTGTCGTCGCCGTGGTCTGTGCCTCTCGTGTCTTCTTCTCGGCAAGTCGTCGCGACCGCCGAAGAGGCTTTGGTGCTTCCACATTGACTGTGCTGTCGTCCTCTGCATCAGTCTCGACAGTTTGTTGTTGGTCTTCCTCTGCATCAGTCTCGACGGGTTGTTGTTGTTGTTGGTCGTCCTCTTCAACAGTCTCGACGGGTTGTTGTTGTTGTTGTTGTTGGGCGCTGGCAATGTACAAGACAATAGCACCAGGCCCGTAGCCATCAGTGGAAGAAGTAGTCGCCGTCTTTTCCACTGCAATGTCGTCGTCGTCCTCTTCGACAGTCTCGACCACAACTGGCTCGCGTTGTTGTTGTTTGGCGCTGGCAATGTACAAGACGATTGCCCCAGGCCCGTAGCCATCAGTGGCAGAAGTAGTCGCCGTCTTCTCCACTGCAATGTCGTTGTCGTCCTCTTCGACAGTCTCGACTACAACTGGCTCGTGTTGTTGTTGGATATACTTTGCAAGTTCTCGAGCAAGGAACGCCTCCTGTTCACCAGTCAGAGAAGGAAGCGAGAAGTCATCATCATCTTCGAAATCCTCCACAACATTGTCCTCCACAACATTGTCGGTTTGTTGTTGTAGCTTGGCTTCGGCTTCGTATTGTTCAATGACCTCAATTTCTTCAGCAGTCAGAGAGAAGTCATCGCAATCGTAATCGTCTTCGAAATCCTCCACAAGGTTGTCCTCCACAACATTGTCGGTTTGTTGATTGTTGTCCTTCACCACGACATCGACAAACAAGCCAAAGACATCGCCATTGTCTTCGACTTCCAGTGACTCGTCTTCCGACAAGACGCTTGTCATGGAAGAAACGTCATCCTCGCATTGATTGTAGCATGCATTGTCACCGGTCCAGAATGAGACTGAGTGAGGCATGTCTTTCGGCAAGTTCTCAATCACCACGCAAGGTTGTTGTTGTTGGATCATAGCCACCTGCTCTTGATCGTCTTTGCGCTCTTCTTCTTCTTTGGCTTCCTCTACAATGGTCTTGACTTGCGGCGTGTACACTACGATCGCACCAGGCCCGTAGCCATCATCGCACTTCTCGACTTGAATTTCTTCGTCGTCGTCGTCCTCTTTAACAGTCTCGACAACGATTGGCTCTTGGTCTGCGACCAGCACACGCTTCTTCTCTACAACAGGCTTGCGGCGGCGTGGCTTGACAATGCGGCGGTTGGCAATCTTTTCGTCCGAATCCAACTTGCAGACTTCATCATAGTCGTTTCGTTGCACTAGTCCACACTGCATATGCAACTTGGCTTGCTCCAATGTGTCCATGTCGACATCATCTTCATTGGCAGCAAACCAGAAAGCGACAGGCCCTTCACCATGTGCCGTCATCGCCTTGACTAGTCCCACAACATCATCCTTCAACGCAACCATGTTGTTGTGGAACTTGGCGTCTTCAATCAAGTCCTTGTCGCCGTGCACCCACTGGCACACAAGCTCTTCTCCATACTCCACCAGAAGGTCCGCCACATTGGGGACAGCAAGGGTGGAGATGCAGCAAGCCTTTTGTGTGTAGTGCCTCTTGTAGTCGGAAGCTTCTTCTTCACTTTCCTCCATGATTCGGTTGTAGGCAGTGACGCTCAATCCAGCCTTGCGAAGCTCTTGCCGGAGCTCACGTTGCGCCACTTTAACATTGGCCTTGATGGCTAGGAGGGCTTGCTGCTTCTCGAAAATCTCGTCACTGAAAGTGTCGAAATCGACATGGGTGTACTCGCGATCCAGCGTGATACGCTTCTGGCGAGCCATGTAGGCTTTGCGGTAGTGACGACCCCACTTTTGGTTCGCCTCTGGAGAAGGAGTGATGGGCGTCGTGCTGTGATTGTTGAAATAGCTGGCGTTATAGTGGCCGGCAAGTTGGAATTTTGCTTGGGCGCAACGACGAAGACAGGCTCCGTGGAAGACAGGGTCAATGGGCTTGACGCGAGATTGTTGTTGTTGGCCTTGAGGCTGTTGTTGTCGTCCTTTCGCGAGTCGATCTTTCTTCACCAAGATCAACGCCAGGATGGTAGCAGCACACAAGACGGCAGGGAGAACGGTGATGACACCGTTCGAGTTGTTGATGTTGTTGTTGGCCACGTTTTCTATGGGCGAGTTCATCATGTTATCAATAATAGTAGTAGTGATAGTAGTACGTTCAGGTAAAGCAGCAACAGTAGCAATGGTAGCAGTAGTAGCAACAGTAGTCTGGAAGTCTCTCAGTGAAATTGTCGTAACAAGTTCAGTGAAAGAAATTTGTGAGCTCATGGTGAGATTTTCTGCAACTTTTTCAGCATCTTGACGAGAAGAGACAGGATGAAATCCGGGATTGGTCCGGTCAAAGCTCGTCAGCTCGATGATGGAGGAAGACTGGGCTTCTTGTCAAGGCCCTGTTCGAGGCGTCTTGTCCTGATAGTGTCGGCGCAGCTCCGCCATGGTCGTCATGGTCTCTTGGAGATGCTTCGGTGGGTTCCTTGGAGCATTGCGCCGTCTCGATCGGTGCTTCCATCGAAGAGAAAGGTGTCAAGATAAGATGATGACGGGTAGACACGACTGGAAATGACAGCCTTGCAGGCTGCTAATCAACACCCTCCGACGCTCCCTCGAGAGCTGAATGCTACCGTTGGGAGAGTGTTACCTTTGATGAAAGCCACCATGAGCCTAACACAAACGATCTTCAGATGCCACAGGTGCTCCGCAAGGCTTTACTGGCCATCTATTGGCTGCTTATCGACCCAGAAAGGTGGCAAGAATCCGCGATGGTTTTCGACGGGTAGCTCATCAAGTACATCAAGCGATGGCCAAGACCCCATACTGACGGCCAATGTAGTCCAAGGTCCCTCCCTACTGCAAACGTCCATCGCCCGGCCTTCGCCGTCCCTCATGGTTTTGCCTGGATTGCGATCTTTGCCCTTTTGGACCAGCTACGACGCATCCTCCGACACGAACCGAATTGCCTACCAAGATCCCACATTGACGCATGTGGTGGAGCATTTGCAAGCCAATGTGGAGACCATTCGACAAGAATACCACCGCGTCGCACCATCACTCGACAGTGATTACAACCAACACGACAATGAACACTCGCTCCATCAAGGAAAATGGGACTGGCACAGCTACATGACCAAAGGCGTCATTCAAGGCCAATTTGCAACAAAGTTCCCCGAGACGACCCAGATATTACAAACCCTACGACAAACACTCACCGCCAACACACCCAAAGGAGAGCAGCCCAGTTGGCTGCTACTCGAGAATATTCCCTTTGGGTACTCCTTTTTCTCCACCTTGCATCCGCAGTCCAGCATTCAAGCCCATACCAGTCCCATGAACTTGCGATGGCGGATTCATTTGCCCTTGGAAGTTCCTGCCAATTCCAATGAAATCGATGATGCCGATGGTATGCCACTCTGTGGCATCCGAGTGGGCCAACAAGTACAAACGTGGACTCAGGAAAAGGCGCTCGTACTCGATGATTCCTATGATCACGAAGTTTGGAACCGGACCAATCACAAGCGGGTCCTGTTCTTACTCGATATTTGGCATCCCGATATACCCATCAAGGAACGAAAGGATATTGTGGGAATGTTCCAGCATGCACAAGAGCAAGGGTGGTATAGTAAATAAAGAGATAAAGAAAGAAAGAAAACAGTGATAGTTGAACAACGAGTGCACGATACTTTTGGGTAGTTGTAAGTAGAGCCAATTGGCAAGGACGCACCCCGTCTTTGGGGAAACCAACGAGACTCTCTTAATTATGCCCTTTCGAAGTAGTAGAGATCTAACCATCGTACCGGTAGTCAGTTCAGCATGAGCAGATGTGTCCAATAGAAGAGCTTCGGCTACAACTAGAACAACTAAAGCAGTAATCCAAGATGACCATCCAACGTGAATCCTATAAACACATCTATCTCTAGGATCCTTAGTCAGGGATCTCGGCCATCGCCGTGGAGCCCCAAGTCCAGCATGTTGCATTGCCAACTTTTTGCGGAGGTTTCCATTCTATCAAGCATCCTTCTTTGTCTTGACCGGGTTGAAGATGCGGTGTCGTGTTGGAAGGTCTCTCAAGCAACAGCCGCGGCGCCTTTCTTCGTAGTTGATGGCTAGATGACTGTTGGAATCGAATGATATCTGCACGGAAGGCTCAAACGGTCCTTTGCCCAGTCCACACAAGTTGGATCATCAATCGGTGTCCCTGTAGGCATTGATGACGTCCCACACCATCTCAGTGTCCGGCTTGGATTCCCAATCTTTTGTCGTCTCCACAAGGTCCAGGAACTTTTGAAGCATCAGTTCCGCCATTACCGACCCCTTCTCGTCATGGCACTTGAGCCATGCTTCAATCACGCAGGAGTAGGTTGTGGCATCTGGTCGAATGCACCGTTCTTCCATGCGATCCAACAAAGCTTGAGCTCGACTAGCGACCGCGTTCCAATCGACTGGTTTGGTTGTGGAACTCCTCTCGTCCACAATCGCGTGAATGGCACAGTTGTAAGCGACCACATCCGGCATGATGTTGGGAAAGTCGCCCGTATCCGCCAAATCTTCCATGGTATCCAGCAACTTTTCAGCCTTCTCCGCTCCTTGACCGTCGTATCGGTATGCCAACATCACAGCATTGAAACTACGCCGTGTCGGTTTCATTTGTTCATCGCCAGCTTCGTACAGAGACATAATTTCTCCCAACAACTCTTCCGCGCGTACTCCAGAATCCGCCATGCCAGAACGAGCAATTGAGTCCATGACAGCATTGTACATGATTGGGTGTGGCTTGTAGTAGTCGTGCCCTTGCTTGTACAGTCCTTCGTTGCGACGTAGCAACCATTCTGCCCTCTCTGCGCCTTGCATGGTTTGGGTCTTGGCCCAAGCTTGGAGAATGGCGGAATAAAATACAGCATTCGGCTTCAACAGGGTGTCTCCATTGCGATAACTGCCTTCCACGAAACGAAGGAGCTCTTCGGCTCGATCAGCGGTACCAGCACTGCCGCTCTTGGTATAGCAATCAATGACAGTTGCATATGTCACAATGTCTGGTCTCAAATCCTTGTTGGGTGAAGTTTGCATCATTGTCAAGATTTCTTCCGCCTTGTCTTTGGAGGACGGTTGACCACTCTTGGCCAAGGCATTCAAAATACTATTGTAAAGAGCACGATTCGAGCGAAGGTCACTCGAGACAACTCCAGCCTCCTCGAGCTGTTTCATGCGGACCAACAAATCATCGCATCGTTGTTCGGCGTCCGGAATTCGAGCCTTGGCATACGTATCGGCTATGCAAAGGAATGTGGTCTTGTCGGGTCCTACAGTTCCACCACTGTCATGCCGGTAGCACTTGTCCTCCAAAAGATTCAGCAAGGATTCGACTCGTTGCGGCGCAGCCTTGTCTCCGCTTTTGCTCCAGGCAGTAATGACGCTGTTATAGACAGTACTCCAGTTGAGGTTTCTTCGTGCATTTGGGGGCAGTCTCTCCAACATGTGGAGTAATTCTTCCGCCTTGTATCCTGCTTCACGGCAATTTCGGGTCTTGGACCAACCGTGGAGTATGGTAGTGAAGGAATTCGAAATTGGAGGAGGCGGACGAGGAAATGCCGGAAGGAGAATTGTCGATCTTTGTGGCGACGTGGATGGTTGCTGCTGCATTTCCTTCAGTAGATCTGTTGCCTTTAAGATATGCTCCTTGAGACCCGTCCTGCTCCATATCTGGATCATTGTATTGTACGAGACAATGCTCGGACTCATGTTCCTTCTTCCCGCAGCGGCAAGGTCGAGCATTCGTTGAAAGAGTTCCTCTGCCTCGTGAATGTCACTATGGGACGCAGAATTGGCATAGGCTTTGAGGGCGGTGGTGTAGGTGATTCGGTCGGGTGCCAGATCCATCCTGTCTGGAGACTCGAAATACAAGTCCTCTAGCTCTCGGAGCAATTCCTTGACACGAGCAATGTTTCCCAATTGTGCGTGGACGTTGAGGGCATGATTGAAAGTGGATGCATCAGGACGCACCGATTCCAAGCCTTCGTCCTTATAGAGGAACTGCATGGCTTCCAGGAGTTGATCTGCTTTTGCTCCGAAGTCAAATGTTGTGCTGTCGGTGGATCGACGTTTTTTCTGGTCTTGAGCATATGCCTTGAGCACGCAATGGAACCATACTTGTCGAGGAACCAGAGGTCTGTTTTCTTCTTCTGCTGGCAATTCGTCCTCTTGAATTTCCCGTATCAAGTCATGAAGCAATTGTTCGGCCTCTTGGGCATTTCCATGTTTGCCGTGCGCGGCAAACAGGAGGTTGAAGGTTTTCAAGTCGGGTTCACATGACATGTTACGAAACCATTCCATTGCTTTTTCCAGATCCTCAGGACTAGGTGATTTGGCGAATAATTCCAAGACCAAGTTATACGTGTAAGTATCCGGTTGGAGGGTTGCCTCTCCTGCTTTGGCCATTTCCAAAAACAGTCGCATGACGGCATTCTTTGCCTGGACAATGGAGCGTTGTTTTGGTTGTTGTGATGGATGTGGGGTTTTTGGAAATGAAGGCTCCTTCTTGGATTGACTTTTAGATGGATCTTGTGAGCGATTCTTTGGAGTTTTCTTTCGATGTTTGTTGCTTTTTTGTGTGGCACTCTTGACCCATGCTTCCATGACGGCATTGTAGGAGAAGACACTGGGACGGACGGTGGGGTATCGCTTCATCTTTTGTAACAGTTGTTCTGATCTCAATGGTGCCATCCAATCTCCTCTCCCACTTTGTGTAGCATAGGCAAGAAAGACGGTATTGAAGCTCTTTTCATCAATGGTGGGATCTCGATCTTTCATGGCGAGTTCCAATCGCTGATGAGCCAACTGGGCTCCATCGTATTTGTTTCTTCGAAACTTCATTAATTCCTTGATGAGGGATTCATCTGGACGTTGCGGCTGATCTTGACTTGTCTTGATTTCAGGCTTGATAGATGATGGCAGACTCGAACGAGCAAATCTCTGGTGTTGGAAAAATGGACTAATTGTCGGCTTCAATTTCCCCTGCAGCCCCACGTTCCCACCGAGGAAGGCTTCCACAGCATTTCCCTCAAAGATGACACCCAGCAGCACCAGCCACACTACCGGTACAAGGGCCAACATGGCGAAACAGAAAGCAAATCTCCACACGAGGTAGCTAGCTAGTTTCACAAAAGAAGATTTTCGGCGGGATGTGGTGGACGAGAGATGGATGATGGACGAGGTTGGAGCTTTTGGAACTTCAACCAGGAATGGGTCAGTCCCGAGTCCTCTTAGCCCTTGCCCAACTTTCCAGTTTTATGTAGTTTTCCCTTAGTTTTAGTTCTTTGTGCCGAACTGTTGGCTTTCCAATGGTTACGTGTACCGCTGCCCCACCTGCCTGCAAAATACTATCTACCGGTACCGGTGGCTAGCCAGTAGGCACCAGAACTACCTTTGCTCGCACGGTACCAAAGACAAATAAATGTGCACTTACTCGATTTGCGGAAAGGGACGTCTCAACTTTGGTTCGGGAAGTCGAAGTGAGACAGCAGAATGAGTCGATTCGAGACAGTGTAAGTCAGTTCTGGCAAGGGTGGAACATACCAGAAGGGCGTCACTGGTAGCCGATTTCCAGCCAGTGCTGATGGATCAACTTGCTTCTCATTCCAAAGGCAAATGGCGGTGGAATCGAAACGTAACTGAAGAACAACACGACGAACCACAGCCAAAGCAAGATGGCACACCACTGGGAACTACATCAAACCTTCCACCAGCTCCCACATCCCCACCTCCAATGATGCCCGCATCGGTACCGGTACGTCAGGGCGACTTTGAAACTGACGAAACTAGCTAGCACCGAGACGGACAGCGACGAGGATTCGATTGATTCCAATGAAATAGCATCTGGGCATTCCAGAGGTGGGCATGAGCGTGTGAACGTTCAACCCAACCCATCTATTACTAGTACTCATTGGCCCTGCTGAAGTTACGGTACATCCATGATCCTTTCAATTGTGCTTGCTCTGACGATCAGAGCATTGGGATCCACTCTTGCCAGTGGGGTGAACGGTACAGTATTGGCATCATCTCATTTCTGCCATCCTAGATTGCAATAATAATGCTGTTTTACTTTAAGGGGTTGCGCATATGTATGTCTGTTGTGTGGCATGGGCCACTAAAGTATCCATTAGTTTTTCTGCCAGTACAGTACCGGTATAAACTTTTTCAAACTGGTTGGAGTAAGGATTTGGGTGAGGGTGGTCTTCCCTTCTAACTTTTATTTTGTTTTGAAAGATAATGGTTGAAGGCTGGGGTGGTTTGTCCATGTTTATCAATCGGTTTTAACCCTAGAGGTGCTGTTTGTCTCGATGCGCACCGACTCGCACCGACATGGGCCTACTCGCGTCACTTTTGTGGGACTCAAAAGAGTCCATCAGTTTTTCTTTGCACCTCTTCTGTCTAAAAACTTCAGAAAAATTTAAAGTTGTTAACCCAAGAGGTGCAAATTGGCGATCGCTGGCCACTCAAATCCTTCCAATGAAACATATTTGCACCTCTTCTGATCTTTGGCTAAAACTACTACCTGGTACCTGGTACCAGGTACATACAGTAGTAGCTTTTTCGCTTTTTCTTCCCGTATCCGTTGATGACGTCACATAGATTCTTTTATGACCTCCGACCACTTCCCCTTGGCCCCTTGCTCGCGAAAGATCGTCACCACAAACCACAAAAGCAACCATCGAAAAAGACCCAACACCAGTCTACTTGTGGCACTTTGGAGAAGCAAAGCCGCATTGGAGCTAGAGCTGGTTAGATCTTCAAAAAAAAAAAAAAGCCGTGAGCTCATTATTATTTGCATTGAGTGGTTGGTTGACCTCATTCTACCTTGAAAGTAAAAAACTACAACACCATGGCCCGATTGCAACTTCGAGCCGGAAAGTCTCCCGCTCAGTCTCCGGCGGAGCGCGACAATCAAACACTGCCGCAACGACGAACTCCGACGAAAAGTACCAGTAGCAGTGGTGGCGGTATGTCGAGTTTTTTCTCTCGGCAATCTGTCATGATGCTGGCAGTGGGTCTGTTGACGGGCTATGTGATTCTCCCCATTTTCTTGATTGAAACCAAGATCCGAGGCGACTATGTCTATGGCCGCTTGCCCCAAATAACCACTTCCGATGAAGTCATTAACCGCTCCCGCATGCTTCCCGAAAACGATCGCAGTGCAGCGTTGGAACGACTCATGGAAGACCGCGATGTCATGGCACACCAATCGCTGCCCACTTCCACCACACCCCAAATTATGCGTACCAAGACACTGCCCGATCATCATCGCAAGAAGATTCTTGTCACGGGGGGAGCTGGATTTGTGGGCAGTCATTTGGTGGACAAACTCATGCAACAAGGACACGAAGTCATTGTGGTCGATAACTTTTTCACGGGGCAAAAGAAAAATATTGCTCATTGGTTGCATCATCCAAACTTTAGGTATGTCTGTGTCTTCTTTCTAGTTTGGCAGGTAGTTATCATTTTCTGGTCATTGTCGGATTCTCATCACTTTTTTGCTATGATTATATTATCATTCCAGTCTTGTGGTCCACGATGTCACGGAAGAAATCATGCTGGAAGTCGATCAAATCTATCACTTGGCATGTCCCGCCAGTCCTCCTCATTACCAGTACAACCCCGTCAAAACCATCAAGACATCCACCATGGGAACACTCAATATGCTCGGACTGGCCAAGCGTGTCAAGGCCCGCATCCTGTTAACATCCACATCGGAAATCTACGGAGATCCCCAAGAACATCCTCAAAAAGAATCCTACTGGGGCAATGTCAACACGGTCGGACCTCGTTCTTGCTATGACGAAGGCAAACGCGTCGCCGAAACCATGATGTACTCGTACAAAAACCAAAATCACGTCGAAGTCCGTGTGGCTCGTATTTTCAATACGTTTGGACCTCGAATGCATCCCAATGATGGTCGTGTGGTGAGTAACTTTATCATTCAAGCCCTGCAAAACAAAGACATGACAATTTATGGAGCTGGAGAACAAACACGATCCTTCCAGTACGTCTCCGATTTGGTCGAAGGATTGCACGCCCTCATGAATGGCAAATACGACATGCCCGTCAATCTCGGCAATCCCGATGAGTATTCCGTCAAGGATTTTGCCGAGTACGTGCACAAAATGACCGAGAGTCAGTCCAAAATCGAGTTTTTACCCAAGTCACAGGACGATCCCAGTCAACGACGACCCGATATTACCACTGCCAAGGAAAAGATTGGATGGGAACCACAGGTGACGGTGGAGAATGGATTGAAAAAGACGATTGAATACTTTCAGAGTGTGTTGGATGAAGCGGGAGAGATTATCCCGACGGGACCCGGTGCCGCCAAGCCAGAAGCCTAACTAATGGGCGTGTGTGGCTTTTGGGTTTCTTGGATGGATGGATAGATGGTCCAATCTTCGTTTACATGATCTCTTTCATTTATTCTGATAAGATTTATAATGACGACAACAATCTGTTCGCTTGTAGATGATTCCGACCCTTGCCTGGTTGGGGCTCATTTTACCTCCTGTTGCCAAGCAATACTGTAGGCTCAAATTGTTGGTGCTTCGAAAGAGGCCACTAGCTAGGTTTGATGGAAGGAGTCAACCACGCTTCAATTGCAACGAGTGGGTTCTCATTGTGCTCGGTTGAGGCAACATCCCGTGAATTGGTAAGGTCGTAGAGCTGCTTGATGCTGGTTTGTTAGTCATTCATTCCCACAGGCCTGACCAACAACTATTGAGGTCGTGAAGCGCGCTCAGACTACAAAAATGGGATTATGGGTGTTTTTGCATTGTCACAGCTAGCTACTAGAGTCCTGATGAGCAGTACAAAATGTCAATTGTAGCTTTACCTTGGCATGGCATGTTTTTATGTATGTCTGCTACCTTTGTCCTTGTTCTCGTTGGATCCATTCTCTGCCTGGAAAGCGGCTGGATCTTCGCTCCAACTCATAGAGATGCTGTTGACAGGACCCTCGATCCACCAACTTACTTAGGGCATTCTTCCAGTGGACCGCTCCCGAATCGGCCTTGTACTGTTCCGCAACCGTCCAATTGTGTGTGGCATTGTATGGAAAGGGGTCTTTCCGCTTGTTGATGAGGCATACCGCGGCCTTCTTGCGTGTGTATTTGATGCCTGTTGTATTGAAATTCCCATAATGCATCCCCTCCTTGTATCGATCCTCTGAGGAAAAGGCATATGCGTATCCTTTTTTGAGTGCTTCGGGACCCGTCATACCAACCAACTTGGGTTGTGAGATTTCCGGCATTTCCAAGAGTCGTTTGAAAATTGTCAGAAGGGAGTGGTAGGTGGCCGGATGTCCCGGCGAAGTCGCAAAACACCATTGGGAAGGTCGGTTAAAGTTATCACTAAAGGAAAAGAAATCGACGTGATGTGGGATGAGATCTTCTGTGAATTGTTCGGTTGGAATTTCATCCAGGTCTACATATAAACCACCTGGATGAATGAGATGAAATGAAACAAAGTGCATGCATGAGGAGATGATAATGTTGGCAAGGAAGGTACACATGTATGCGTACTCGGTACTGTACTCACCAAATCGGTAGAGGACCAATTGTCGCCATATATCAATGAGCATGGCATTGCGCATTTTGGCACACTGCAGCACTTTGGCCAATTCCGGGAACTCTGGCCAGAACTCTTGTTGCATCATCTTGGCGACAGAATAATCATCATGGTAGAAAATGCTGTAATTTGGAAATTGTTTCTTCCATTGTTGAACGGCAACTGCTTGAAGGTGATGCAAACAGCGACCCTTGTTGGGACCATGATGTGGATCATCGTGGATCCATGCGAGATGGACCATGCGTGGTATTCTGCGTTTGTTGTCTTCGTAGGACCAAGCAGCAAATTGCTCTGGTTCTTCCTTGTTGGCATTGTTTTGATCCTGTTGGAGTAGGATGCGATCATCGATGAGGACAAAGGGCCATGTACAATTGTGATGCTGTTGATGATTCTGAGCACTTTCTCTGGAGAGTTGTAACAGACTCAGCTTTTGGGATGACCATGAGTAGAAGTGACTGTCACTCTTGGCAACCTCATCTTGTATTTTGGATGTTGTGACTGTCGCCCCAGAAGAAGACACAAATAATGACAAGTTTCGCATATCGCCATTTTGGAGTCCCTTAATCCATCCCGTCGTGCAGCGCAGCAGGATGTAGGTCAATAGAAGTATCCCTAGAAAGTTGGATTTGATAGTGCCATTGTCAGTGTTCTTGTTGCTTCGCCTCAGTAATCGGGATGTTGAAATCTTCATTCTATCTATCGATTTTCTATCTATCTTTTACCACTGACTGAGGATATGCTCATTCATATTGAAGGATTGAAGGATTCGATTCACTTCCCCACTCTCAGCACTCAGCATTGCTTTTTTTACAGAACAAAAATCGTCCAACGGCCTCCGAGAGGTTTTTTCTTTCATCCGTGCCACCTGTGCCACCGGTACCGGTACCAGGTACCGGTAAGATCGTAGAGCTGCTTGATGCTGGTTAGCAAAGACACGCATTCCCACCACTCCAGCTTTCTTCCAATGTTTTCGACCGGCTTCTACAAAAGGTCTTCCCACGTTTCGTGGTCGAAGCAACCGAAGCCGACAGAACCACATCGGCCTCCTTTTTCATCATCATTGTTGTGGCTGTAATTCATAATCCCAATCTCAGCCAAAAGAAAGCGCAAGAGATAGCAGATAATAGCAGATAATAGCGAGAGAAAAATGTTTGGTGGAGGCATTCCCTTTGAACACTTTGCCCACGGCGGTGGCGGCATGCCAGGGGGCGGCAGGGGCGGTGGTAGCAGTGAACCACCCGAGACGACCAAGCTCTACGAAACTCTGGAGGTAGAAAAGACTTCCACGCAAAAAGAAATCAAGAAGGCTTACTTCAAGCTTTCCAAAATCCATCATCCAGACAAGGGAGGAGATGAACACAAGTTTAAGGAAATCAATGCCGCGTACGAAATTCTGTCCGACCCCGAGAAGAGAGAGAAATACGACAAATACGGATTGGAGGGAGTCAATGACGGTCACAACTACGGAGGTGGCGAAGCCGAAGACTTGTTTAGCATGTTCTTTGGCGGAGGCGGCCGTCGACGAAGTGCTGGTCCACGCAAGAGTCCCAGTCTCCAACACGCCATCAAGGTATCTCTGGAGGATCTCTACAATGGCAAGACTGTCAAATTGGCCATTAACCGCAAGGTGATTGTGGGGGATGTCAAGTCGTGCGATTCCTGTGGTGGACAGGGAATTAAGCTAGAAGTCCGTCAGTTGGGACCTGGAATGATTACTCAAGTGCAGCGACAATGCCCCGACTGCGGAGGACAAGGCAATACTGCCAAAACCAAATCGGAGCGAAAGGTATTGGAAGTTCATGTCGAAAAGGGAATGGCCCACAACGAAAAAATTACTTTCCGTGGAATGGCAGATGAACTGCCCAATATGGAACCAGGAGATATCCACTTTATTATTCAACAAAAGGAACACGATTTATTCCGACGAAAGGGGGCTGATCTCCTCGTCACCAAGGATGTCAGTCTCAATCAAGCACTCACTGGGTTTTCGGTAAGTGAAAAGTTTGGGCATGGTTCGATTATTGCCGACAATTGACTCTTTCTTGGATGGTTTCGTTGCTAATTTGTGTTGTCCTCTTTTCTCCGAATGTGCTTGATGACAACAATAGTGGAAAATCAAACACTTGGATGGGCGTGACATTATGATCAAAACCAAGCCTGGCCAGATTATTCAATGCGAAACCACAGACAGTGAAAGCGGACGAACATTGCCGTTCATCATGATGGTCAAGGACGAGGGAATGCCCAGTCAAGGGAACCCGTTCGTCAAGGGCAACATGTACATTGCCTTTCATGTCAAGTTCCCCACAACACTGGATGCCAATGTCATTTCCACTCTGCGGTCGTTACTTCCCGATGCTGATATCGAGGAGGAATACGACCCGGAACAAGTAGAAGAGCATTTCTTGGACGAGGCGGAACTCAAACACTTTGGAAAGGGAGGAGCTGCCGTGTCTTCGAATGAGTACGACAGTGACGATGAAGGTGGCGGCCCGCAACCGGTGCAGTGCCAGCAATCATAGCGTGTCCGCATTGGTTTTTAGAGGAGATTCTTAGTTCGCAGCGCGAAACACATGAGGAGGAGGAGGAGGAGGAATGAACGATGGGGTTGAAGGCACAGGTTGTTGATATGAGTAACATTATATTTAGAGAATGATATTGACCATCTTTTGTCTTGGCGTTCGGGCTGCAACACTGTGCACATGGAAAGTGCAATGAATACATGTACCCCACTGCTAGCTAGCTAGTGCGGTACAGTAGGCCACAGCTGCCAATCATGAGACGAGGGCCAGGACCAGGTCCTCCGAAGCTGCATTTCCACAGTTCCGACACCGCCCGCAATTTCGGTTTGTGAAGAGGTGAACCTTCGGTCTACTGTATCCCCAAAAATCATGAAAAAGCCGGCTATACTGGCTAGCTCCCCCAAACTACCTCAGTCTATTTTATTTACAACAGAGGTACCAGAGAGTTAGAAGAGAAGCAAACATAATATTTTCACAGAAGAATTTGAGGAAGCACCTCTTTGGTTACTACTATAAAATTTTATGAAGATTTTAGACAGAAGAGGTGCAAAGAAAAACTGATGGTAGTTTTTGAGTCCCACAAAAGTGACGCGAGTCTTTTCATACTACACAGGTATTTTAATTTTAAACAACATGATAGTTTTAGCCAAAGATCAGAAGAGGTGCAAATATGTTTCATTGGAAGGATTTGAGTGGCCAGCGATCGCCAGCGATCGCCAGCGATCGCCGGCGATCGCCAATTGCACCTCTTGGGTTAACAACTTTAAATTTTTTAGAAGTTTTTAGACAGAAGAGGTGCAAAGAAAAACTGATGGACTCTTTTGAGTCCCACAAAAGCAGCGCCCCGGCGCAGTGACGCAGAGTCGGCGCAGCGCCATGACGCAGCACCTCTAGGGATAAAACAGATTGCTAAACATGGACAAACCACCCCAGCCTTGAACCAGTTTTCTTTCAAAACAAAGCAAATTACGTCTCCATTTGAGACGACGCTCCTTTTGGTTACAGTACCCCCTCAGTTGCACTCCGAAATCGATTCGCCCGCATTTACTGTGGAAAAAAGAGTAGCCGCACTTCAGTTGCAGAATCAACGGTCATGTGTATCGTTAAGTAACAAGTTCCCTTTCGAAAGATTTAGATCGATTTGTGGATAAAAGAACCGTTGAAGTTACTAAGGTTAAGGATAAACTGATTGCCTGCATCTCGTACCGTTCAAGTCCATCATTAAAGGTGCAGCACTGACTTCTCTCCCTCATTGAATTCGTATGGTAAACAGGAGGTAAATCCAAGCTTGGCCGACAACAATAATGCATGGTGAGTGCTTTATCCAATCGGCGGATCGATCGATCCGAGGTAAGCCTATTATCAAGAGTGTTAATTGAAGGCACAGCGCTGACTTCTCTCCCTCATTGGATTTCTATGGTATTCAGGAGATAAATCCGAGCTTGACCGTCAACAGGTGAGTTGTTTTAATTATTCGAATCGATCGATCGCACCTCTGGTTCTCTGTTATCCAAGCCTCACTCAAGCCGGTCGTCTCCGGTGTAGGGTGTAAAATACTCATTAGTTTAACAAACTATGGCCACGGAGTGGCTTTTGTGACGCGGGCAAGTGGTGGGGAAGCCCCCACCTAGCTGAGTCGTCATCTACTTATTTGCCCAATCAACATGACCTCATCCACTGGCCCAACGTGGAGCCAGCACCAAGTAGACAGATGCCCTGGGTAGGGGGTGAGCACATTGATAGGGAACCTGCAGCGCAAAACCTGGGTTACAGGGGCTTACACAGGATTTTGTCGTATTGAAACCATTATCACCATAGGGACCGTGAGGACCAGTTAGATTGCCAGACCAAGAGTGGCTCGCCATAAGTGTGTCTGGTGATCAGGTCCCAAGCTGTGCAAGGGCCTTGGCATGCAAGGCAAGATCCAGCAGAGCCCGTAGGAGGTGTACTCCTCAGGCTGGACCAGAGCAGGGTGTAACCCATCCAATGCACAAAAATGTTAGATAAGAGGCCAACAAGCAGCAAAAGATGGTCAAATGACACACTGGCAGTGTGTTCCCAGAGAGGCACAGTGGCTGCTGGAGGTTGTGCTGTTCGAGGGTTGTTGAGTCAATAGAAGGAGAATAAGGGGGCACTGGAGGGCTGGTGCAGGGAGGGGAGATCCTTTGGTGTTGGAGTTGTGTAGGAGTTGGGATGTAGCATGGTTGATGGTGTGTTGTAGATAGAGGCGTGCCTGTTTCAAGGGTGAGAACAAAGGCACCTCCCTGATAGGGTAGGGTGGATTCGGAAGGGTGTGATCCTCAAGATGGCTGCATGCTCTAGGAGCTGTTGGCTGATCATCTGGGAGTGGTGTAGTCGCGGAGGATGGTGGATGTGGTTGGTTGGGTGAAGTGTGGAGGGGGAATGTCTGGGAGGACCTTGGGTTTGAGTGAAGTAGTGGGTAGACATGGGGAAGTCATGGTGGATGGGTGGTGGTGGTGGGAGGTGTGTATCCGGAGTATTGACTGTAGTGTCGTTGCTTCAACGCAAGCAATGGAGGTTGCTTGTGAGTGGCGAGATGATTGATGTAGAAGGGTATCAAGGGGCAATGCACTGAGGCACTGGTAATCAAGGTTATATCAATGTGTGGTTTGTTGCCCTGATCAAAGGCTGTGGCCAATCTGTGCAGGTATACCATTACCTGCAGGAGAGGATGTATCAGAGCCAAAGCTGTTAGGATTCTTTCAGGGAAAATGGAGAAGTCACGCTATAGCCAGTAGAGGCAGTGGTGGGGGTAAAGGGGTGTTGTTGGTTGATGGGGCTGTGTTACTGGATGACACTGTGTTGTCTCAAGGCTGGTACTCAATCTGTTGTAGGGATCAATGCAACAGAGAGTCAAGCCAAGATGTGGAGAGGTACTCGATTCAGGTGGAACTGTGGAAATCACTGGAGAGTCACTCAACAATCAATGAGAGAGAGAAAGAGTCATTATGTATTAATATCTATGCCACACCACGCTGCAGTTCTGTCTGGGGCTCAATCCTTTGGAGCACCACACTCAGTAGGAGAGTCAGGTAGTAGCAGAGAGGTGGCTGTGTCAATGAAGTGTTGCCAATCTAGCAAACACGCTAGAGGGGCATTTGTAGTTGTTTGTGGGGTAGGATCCTTTGGAGAGGAGCTGGATATCCAGGGAGGGGCTGTTGAACGATGAGAGTGCAGCCAAGCCTGGTGATAAGTTTGAAGGACGACTGACTGCAGGGGGCTCTATGCAGCCGGTGTACTCTAACTCAAGTCCTTACAGGAACTCTGTTGTTGTTTGTTGTTCCTCTGGTGAGGAGTTAGATATAAAGGGGTTGTAACAGCAGTGTCGATCAGTCAATCATCTGTATAGGGATAGGACTGGTTGGATCAGTAGTCAGTTCCAACAAGGACGTCGGAGAAACCACTATGGCCGGTGAGAAAGTAGAATACAGGTGTAATTCTTTCTCGGTGGTCACTGCAGGTATCTCGTGAAGTCCTTTTGATAGAGGAGGCTTCGTTCATCCGTACGGAGGAAGAGTACGTATCGGAGGAAGAGTACGTTCGCGGGATGATCGATTCACGAAGTAGTGAGTCTTGGATTCAAATCGGTAATTCGATTCGATTCGCGATTCGGATTCGCGATTCGGATGAGTCAGTCGCCTTAGGGGTAAGGTTAACCGAGCTGTTGGTGTTGGTGGAAGAGGAGGACGATCGTTCGAAGAAGAGGACGGCGACAATGGATTTCTCGGCGTCAGGAGCTTAGTTCAGAAAGCAACAATACGTATGGGAATTGTTTTCTGTTTGTGCTGGGGAAGCCGGACTTCTTCTTGTGTTCATTTCTTCCAACTTGGCCGCGGCGGTCGAGAATAGAAAACCGCTCGATCTCGTAGGATTTCAATTGGAGTGCTTTCTAATCTGGACCGGAGAACGCCGCGTTGATAGTCGCTTGATAGGGGGTGCGCTTGATAGGAGATGGAGGTATCGATCCTTTCGGTGAAGAGGTTGTAAAGAGAGGAAAAAGGATGTATGTTTTCCGTGATGACGTTGAGTTGAATCCTATAGTAAAACAGTACTCTTCAACAAGATAACAGAAAACAGGCTTCCTGAGGCTTTCGCTTCGTTTCAAGCTTAAGGTACAAGATGAAGGTAATGATACCGAGGTGTGGTGCAAGTGTTGTTGTTCTTGTAGTGACAGATCCAGAGGGGAAGCGCTTCGGTTTTCGGCTTCCCTTGAAAAAGTGGTGGTCGTCTCCGGTGTAGAAGCGAAAGCCATCCCTCATTCAATCCTATGGACCGCGGGAAGGCAGTCAGTTCTCGGCCCATGACGGCCAAGTTGGTGCAATTTGAAAAGCAAGGGTAAGTCGCTGGTTTTCTTCAGTTCAGCACAGAAAACAAAACCCATATCTATTTGTTGTTTTCTCTGCTGCACTGCTGACGGCTGGCGAACTACCATTGTCGAGTCCTTTTCGATCGACCGCTCTGGATAACAAGAAGATGAGAGGCTACCGCTACGGAGGAGGCTCTGTTAACTCCAGCCCTACCAACAGCCTGAACAGAGGAGCCTATCGTCGTCGAGTCATTGAAAGGCAACAGCCACCGGAAGAGGCAACAACACACAAGAGAGTGGATCCTCCTACCGGATTCATCCCTTCTTGTTATTTCCTACTGTTTTGGTGGTGATTCCTGTGTCGGTACCCATTTTCCTGTATGCGCAAGTCAAGAACTGTTGCCATTAGCTATACGATAGCTGGCTACGATGACTGGATTGACAATGTTCGGTTGTGCATGTATTCGTCATAAGGATCCAATGCAAGGTACCGGTAACGGAGTGTAGCCAGTAAAGCGGAACCTGAGTGTGTTCGGTACTGTTGCCACTGTCACGGATCGATGTAACTCTACGGTAACTGGCTACAATGGCTGGATTGACAATATTCGGTTGTGCATGTATTCGTCAAAAGGATCCAATGCGAGGTACCGGTAACCGTAGCGAGCAAAGCCGAACTTTCGGTACTGCTGCCACTGTCGTCGATGTAGCTTTACCGCAGCCGGCTACAATGGCTGGATTTATAATGTTCGGTTGTGCATGTATTCGTCATAAGGATCCAATGCAAGATACCGGCAACGGAGTGTAGCCAGCAAAGCGGAACCTGAGTGTGTTCAGTACTGTTGACACTGTCGCCGATGTAACTGTACGGTAGCCGGCTACAATGGCTGGATTACATGTAACAATATTCGGTTTTGTGCATGTATTCGTCATAAGGATCCAATGCGAGGTAACCGAGTGCAGCGAGCAAAGCCGAACCTGAGTGTGTTCGGTACTGTTGCCACTGTCAATGATCGATGAACTCTACGGTAGCTGGTTGTAACTGTTGGTTGAGGCAAAGGGATACAGGAGACGAGGGCTGAAAAAAACCGAATGTTAGAAGGGAAGACCACCCTCATCCAGACATTCCAACCAATCTGGAACTGGTTCAAGGTTGGAGTTTGTGGGGTACTACCGAAAATCCCTCTCCCTATCGTAGATTCGATCGAAAGAAGATTTTTCACGATTTCACTCTTCTGCCGCGCTAGTAGACTAGCTAGTGGGACGATGATGATGGAGGTAGAAACAGAGGAAAAGGACACTAGGGCGAGCCCACCTTTAGATGATAATGAAGCCAAAGAGAAGAAGATACCTTCTCCGTGGCAATCGCCGTTCAAGGATCCGGCTAACTCATCCAATGACATGGTCCTCTTGACTCCGACGGCAAGCAACTGTGAGCCACTGGCATTGGCGTTGCATCAAGTCGCGTCCACCATGTCACGCAATCACAACCGAGGGAGGCCGCTTTGGAGTTCTGCTAGCCATAATGGCCACGTGGGCGGCAGACTGGACCACAAGGTGGTGGCGACATTGGAACGAACGTTGGAGCGACAAAAATCCAAATCATCCAGTCGACGAGCCAAACCACATTTGGTACATGTCGTCACAGTAGGCACAACCATGATTCAACAACCACAGACTCGATCAATTGTGGCCCAGGCAGATCACATTGCCGTGGTGCTTTCGTCGGAAGATGTACTCACCTGGTTGGCCCAAGAATCTGCCAAGACGAACAATCCACGCAATTTCAAACCACCTCCCGTGGACCACCATCCGTTGGTAGAAGAATGCCTGCAACACTACTTGTCCAATCCAAGCGATGCCATTTTGTTGCAACGAATTTCCATTGTCCTTCTCATTCGTCCCACAGAAGACTCGGAAATGATGGAGTCTCTGGTATCGACTTGGAAAGCACACACAAAAAATACCGTGTCGATTGATAGCTTTGTCTGCCGACCGGAGGAACCCTCCAGTTGTCACATGGTAGCCAAGATGCTTTGGACCCGACTCCACCAAAGTCGATCTCCCGACGAAACACAACTCAGTCAGTTGTTACGTTCGGCATATCCGTAGCAGGGAACTGACTAATCTACGATGCGTGGGGAAAATGGAAAAAAGGATACCTTTTGGGCAAGGGGGAGTTTGTTTTGACTGGGATAGAAATTTTTAGAAATATAAAATACCTACGACTGTAGCTGCATGGTAGTTGGTTTCTGAAATTAGAAAACGAGCAGTAGGATGAATTACCGTATGACACCATCTATCCATTGATGATATATACATCGTAACTTCCTCGAATAATCGTCACTGGATGGTAGAGAAGGACTATGGCAGAGCTTCGCTTGTGACACAATGGAAAGTTACAGAGCGTAGCGTACTATGTCATCCAATAAGATAAGAAAGAGCCAGAATATGCATTGCGAGATGCCACGAAACTAGTGAAAGTATAAAAACCGACGAGTTTAGGATTGAGTGTTGATTGACAACGGGGTATCCTCATTCATAATTATCCTTTTAGAATCATCATCACATGAACGTATTAACATCATCTCATCCTCCTACACCGTGAAAAATTGTTTGTTGTTTCTCTACAATGGAACCTGTCCTGTAGTTCCGTAACTCTCAATGTACTGGGTTTGTTGTTTGCTCAATGTCTTGGCCAGAGGCGAATCCTTGGCCAATTGTCCCCATCCCTTGGCAATGGCGGCCACACTGGCAGGAGCATCTGCTGCTGGAGCGGGTGGTGGTGGTGTTGCAGCTGGAGCGGGGGGTGGTGGCGTGGCAGCGGCAGGAGCGACGGCTGCCTCCACCTTGGGAGCGGGTGGTGGTGGAGGGGGGGCAACTGCTTCTTCTTTGGCAGGAGCAGCCGGAGCAGGAGCAGCAGCCGGTGCCTTGTAGTCGGCAAAGGCGGTGATATCTTCTTCTTCCTCCACCGTAACCATAATGGGCACTCCAACGGTAATTTCGTCGGATCCTCCGGCTTCGGCCAAGAGCTTGGCGACGTATCCGTCATCTTGGGCCTCGAAATCGATGCTGGCCTTGTCGGTTTCAATCTTGGCCAAGGAATCTCCGGCAATGAACGAGTCACCTTCCTTGACATACCATTCCGCCAACGATCCCGCTTCCATTGTCGGACTCAGTGCCGGCATTCCCACCACAATGTGATAGGGCAACTCATCCTCGTTAAAAATAGGGATGGTGCGAGAAAAGGCCGCGAATTGTCGACTACTGACACCAAGCCGTGTGGCTGCTGCTGCTGCCAGGGGACGTCGTGCGAATGATCTTGCCACCAGAGATGCCATGGTTGCTTGCTTATTACTAGGCTGTGAAAATTGTATGGATGGTCGACACAAACTGACGGAAAGGAGAGTGCAAACAGCACCGGAAAACGAAAGGATCTTTGAGTGGTGGTGCCGTCTGTTCCTTCTCAAAGAAGGTCGGAAGATTTCATCGTTCAATCCTTCTTCGCAGCCTTAGCGGCTTACAATCAGGCTCCAAATGCGTATCTTCTTCGAAGGCTCGATCTGTTCGGCAAAGCGTTGGCATCTGTGGCTGTCGTCTCCTTCATTCTACTGGGAGAGCAAATCTTACCACTAGACTCTAGCTGGGCCAAGATCCTCAAAGATATCCTACTATTGATAGAAAGGCGTTGGCATGTCGAGACAGCGGGTCTGAGAGCTACCAGCTGCCAAATAGATAAAGTTTTATTGTTATCTTCTACAAGATCTCGATTATTTCAAGAATTCTGGCTTTCTCGGTTTTGTGTTCTTCAGACAGCTGTAGCTATAGCTGCTCAAGCATCATCATTTCACAATGCTTCGATCCACCACCCGTCTACAAAGGGCTTCTGCTGATATCCTTCCTGCCACCAAGAATGCGTCTTTCAGAAGGAGATTGTCTTCGCCACTGCCGCCATTGAGACACCCACGACGTGCATTCAGCGTTGTCTCGGCTCCCTATCAACAACATCAGAGGGAGGAGAGCACACATGCTTCTTCATCGTCGGTACAATCTCCAAGAGATGCAGCGTCATCGGATAACAGTGGCGTAGCTGCTACCACTTCTGCTTTGGATAATTCGAATGAGACCGGGGTATCCTTCCACGCAAAAGAACAAAATGTATCGTCACAGGGTACAGATAAAGAAGACACAAATTTGAACCGGGTCGATCAGGAACAAGTACGCCAACAAAAATTTGACAATGAAATTCGACAACAATCTGCCGTCATCCTGGAAGAAATTCCCTATGGAGAATTCACCCCCGAAGTATGGAAGAAGGCATTCTGGGTGTTGGATAAATGGATCCGAACCAGTCGCATGGCACAAACCCCCGAGAGTGTCGATCAATCCTTCCTCTTGCTGGATCGATTGGTCATGGAACAAGAAGTCCAGAATTTTCATCCCCTCTCGTGTCAACACCTCAAAACCAAACTACTGCGAGAAATGGTATTTAACTGGAACCGCTGTATACGAAACTTTCATTCGTTTTCATTGGAAGATCAGGCATTGCTGCGATTCGAGTACACGCCCATGGAATTGCTGGCACGCATGGAGAGTTACGGCGAACGAAGTCCCATGATGCAGCTCGATACTAAAACGTTGAATCAACTCATGGATGGGGCATCGTGGTGTTGTGAACCCTCCAGTTCGGGGACGCCGCACATGATTTCTCCCCGTGTCGCCACATCCTTTGTCGAATCATTGTTTGATCGAATGGATGCTCCCAATAAATGGTCCAAACCACAACAACGTCGTCGTCATCAGGATCAGGATCAGGATCAGGATCATCACCATCATCTTGCAGCAACGACGGCCGCATCCGCAGGGGGCGCCAACAACAAGAGTCCTAATAAGGATGTGAGCAACGTGGCCTTTCACAGTGCCAACTATCACCCGGGCATGGCCTTTTTCCAAGATAACACGGACACTGCTCCTTCCAACAACAGCCATTCTCATGCGCATCAGTATCACCCCAAATACGTGGCGATACGGAGAAATAACTCTCTTCCCCGAACGACGCCCAATAAGATTACCTACACGAACGTGATCCTGCTGTTTGCGAGAAATGGGCTTGCCGGACGCGCCGAAGCTCAATTGAACCGACTCTACAAGACGTACATGGAGCACAAGAGCCCGCTACTCAAGCCGGATATTCGGGTCTTTACGGCCGTCCTGCAAGCCTTGCGCAACTGCGAAGAGGGTCTCCCAGCGGCAGAACGTGCCGAAAGCATTTTGGGTCGGATGCATGAGCTGGCCGCTTGTGGACTCATCCCCGAAGTGGCACCCGACGAAATTGCCTATTGCGTCGTCCTGGCGGCATATGCCAAACGAGCGGACAGAACCAAAGATGCGCACAACAAACGTTCCTCCAGCAACAAGATACGAGACGCAGAAAAGTGTCTGGCGAAGGCCAGGGAACTCTTTACGAGAATGCAACAGTTGGGATTTGCTAGTACCAGTGCGTATAACATTATGATCAATGCCTTGGGCAAATCGGGAAGGCCGGATGAAGCCCAAGCTCTGCTGAAGCAGATGCATGAGGAGTATGCCGGTGGCAACCAAAAAGTCCAGCCTGGCAGTATTGCCTACAACACTGTCATTGCAGCGTGGGCTCGATCGGGGGACTCTACATGCGGGGATCGTGCCATGAAACTGTTGGAAGATCTCGAGCAGCAATACCAGGCCGGAACAGTCAAGGATCCTCCCGACGCGTTCACCTACAACAGTGTCTTGGCTTGTTTGGCGCAAGCTGGCAAAGCCGAACAAGCAGATGCGTTGTTGCGACACATGAAACAAACACAAAGAGCCAATGGCGTCGACATTTCACCTGACACCATGACATACAACACGGTTATGGATGCGTATGGCACCGTGAAAAACCCACAACGTGCCGAAGAAATCCTCGAGGACATGTACAAAGAATTCACAGAGATGCAGAGCCGAAAACATGCCTACATTCGAGTGCGCCCTGATGTTCAATCCTTCACCACGGTCTTGACTGCTTGGCACAACTCGGGTCATCCACAAGCTGCGGAGCGGGCCGAAGCCATCCTGAAAACCATGCACAACGTCAACGATGCCGGGGTGTTGCCTGTGGCGCCAACAAATCCTGCTTACAACGTTGTATTGGCTACTTGGAGCAGAACGCAACAGAAGCAGGCCCCCTTTCGAGCGCTGGATATTCTCGACACCATGGAGGAGTTGTTCAGCAAGGGGAGTGCCACCGTGAGGCCGGACGCACTCGCATACAACAATGTGATTCGCTCCTTTGCCAACAACAATCTTGCATACCAAGCGGAGCAGATTCTGGAACGTCAACACGTGCAATCGACACCAGCTGCTCAAGGCGGCGGGGGTAATCCTCTTGCAAAACCTGACAAGCAAATATACCAGAGAGTATTGGGATCCTACAGTCGGTTAAATAACCATGATGCTGCCGAACGCGCCGAGGCGTTGTACAATCGTTGGCAAAGCAGGTTTGAAAGTGGAAGCGCTGTGTCTCCGCCTGATGATGTTAGCGCCAAGATCGTTTGCACGGCATGGGCCAACGCGACAAGACATGATCAAAGGGCTAAAGGGCGCCTACAAAGATTTCTCAACCAGGTTAGAGGGACACAACTGCCGGCAACCACGGGCAGGTCATGTTTGAATGGTGAAGATGGCGCCAGCGCTCACGATGCTGTACTGGAGGCATTTGTTAGTCTGAAGGACGCCCGTTCTGCCCATGACTTCTTTTTGAACATGTGCAATGACTTTCAGGAGGGCGAAGAATCCTCGAAACCTGATCAAGCAAACCTGAACCGTGTGCTGACGCTTTGGCGGATATCCAAGAACCAAGAAGCTCCAAAGATGATTCTAGAATTGGTCGACAAGATCAACGAACTGTCGGCTGCAAATCAGATTGACTGGACACCCTCAATCCAAAGTTACAGAATCTACTTCAACTGCCTGGAGGACATGCGATCTATGGACGCGGCCATGAAAGCGCAACTCTTGTTTCTGAATTTGGAAAGGGCATCCGATGACGCCGACAACAGCAGCGCTGTGAGGCTGGAAGCCAGGGACTATATCCAGTTGGTGAGGATATGGACCAAAGTGGCGGACAACGTGGAGGACAGCATGGTGCTTGCGGATGCCGCCTTTGAACGATTGACCCACCGTTTCACGCCAAGCGCTGCAACCTACGATCTACTCATCAAAGGTTGGCAACGGTCCAGTCATCCTACTGCCGCTGCTCGATTGGCAGACCTACAAGCTGAAAAGGCCATAATTCATAAAGACTAGCTAAGTAATGAAGCAGTAAAAAGTTGTGGGGTTATCTATCTATCAGCATATTCGCTTTGGCCGTTTGCTCAAAGCTTGCATTTGCATCGTTTGGCCCTTGCCTTGAATTGGGGCATGAGATGATTGTGGAACAAATCCAAATCATTCTTGAGATGTTTTTCAACCCAGTCGGTTCTATTTTTCAAGACTTGGTCTGGTCGAGTTATGTTTTTGGGAATGTCCTCCGCTGTCTTGAAGGGGTGTTTGTCCAAACTTCGTGTATTAGCAAGCTCACTCGGCCTAGTTTCTCCTCCCAGCTCACAGTGAAACAAACAAACGGTGGTACTCCAGTGATCGGTAATGCCCCAGAAAACATAGTCATCTCTGAGGACTTCCATAGCCCTGGTGACATTCTTTGTTCCGGTGGTGAAGTCTATTTGTTGTTGTTTGGGTGTGTAAATGCCCAGCGAGCGATTGCCATACATTCGCATGAGAGGTTTCTTTTGGGCTGCAAAATAAAGCCAGACAAAATCAAGGTAGGAGTTGAACCATTTGTGGGGGTTTCGGAACATGGTGACCTTGTTCTTGTAATGCTTGCATTTCTTGTAGCTGCAATGGAAGACTCTTTCTTGGCAGTTGTGGAACTTGCCATTGCAGTTTTCCAACTCTATCCGTTCGTTCCTCGTCAAATGAGTCAAGTTCATGGATTTGACAGTGAAAGGAAAGTGGTCTTTGCCATCCTTTGCCATAAAGGCATCGACACCTCCCCCGTGGGTACCAAAGCAGGTCCAATCCTTCAGGGTACAAGAAGGAATCCGATTCCTCAGCAAAGTCAGCAAACTGGATCCAACTTTTTGGTAGTGTACAAAGTATAGAGTGCGAATTTCTCCGTCGTCATCCTCCGAGTCTTCCTCAGGGGTATCCGCCACTGCCACCTGTTTGTTGGATTGTGTTTTGGATTTGCCTCTCATGTTTTCCAGCTCTTTGGTGGCCTTATCCAATGCCTTTTGCTTGAGGACAAGCTCGTTCTGCAAGAAGTCAATGGTAGCCACAAGACCGGCCAAATTGACGGTTCTATTAGTACCATCCGTGGATACCGACCGCGACGACGGAGGTGGGGTCAACGTTTGGTCCAGCAGGAACACTATCACACCCAGGCCAGCCAACAAAGAGATGACTTTCAGAGCTGATCCTCTATTCCGATGCATTGTTGGTACATGTAGTATCGTTTCAAGACGAGTGTTGTGAGTTCAGGCTGTGGCAATCTTGATAATCCAGCCATCGTGCATCTTCCGAGGCACAGCTCTAAGCGATCTTGTTCAAGACGTCTTTTCAGGACAAGGTGAACCGTGCCGTAACCCAATGGGGACGTTTTTGTGACGGTCACGGACATTAAATTAAAGTCTACAAGACTCCCCCTTGCGCCAGTGGCGACGCCAAATAATACGGGTGTTTGGGTAATCAAATCATTAGCAAATCAGTATTTTACCCCAGCGACGCGAGCTATTCATCTCGTTTTCCCACAGTGTAGGTTCTACGGTCGTCCTCGTACTCAACGACCCAACAACTTCGCTTGCACATTGGGTGGTTTGTGCTTGAAACAAACCAACCGTCTTGGCACTTTGCCACCCCCTTTTAGTGCGGTAGGGCTGCTGTGAATCAATTGTGTTTTGGTCTATCGTGTATTATCCTTTAAACTTGTATGCATAGCTAAATCATAGCATAGCTTGCTTTGATGGGTTGGACTCGACTCTTGCTCGTTGACAGGCAATGTGGTGGTCTATCGTTTCGATCCGTTCTTCCAGAAACCTAATCTTCGTATACCTCACCATAGATTTCGATTCCTTCGCAATGCAGACATCCTCCTGCACCTTCTTCTTCGGCTCCAATGAGACGAAAGAACCGATAAAAAATGGGCGGTGGCGGTGTGAGTGTCCACGTATGCCGCTGTTCCCGTTCTAAAAAGGAAACCAGTACGTCCATGGCCTCTTTATGGTTGACTTGATGCAGCTCCAACTCGTCAAAAAAGACGCGTTGAACGTGTTGCATGGCAGCCTTGCCATTGGCCAATTCTCCTCGTAGCCGCAAATAATCCTCATTTCGCGAAGCGTGCAAGACATCCCAGTTGATTCCGTCGAGGGAACCTTCCAAATTCCAATCGACATCCATGCCGAGACAGAGGGATGAGCGCAAGGAAAAGTGGGTTGGTTTGACGTAACACCCTTCCGTCAAATCCAGGACCGCGGGCAATCGCTTGCCTCCGTGATCGCAATCCAACAAGCGGCAACTGCTGCCAATGGGAATGGATGTGAGCGTATCCGACTCGTTTCGTAGTGTAAAGTCCATATCTTTGGGTTCGGCGCGGTATTGGACAAAGCTTTTTCGGGAGTAATTGCCTCCTGCCAGCCCAAAGAGGTATTCTTCGTGGCAGGAACTGTCATCGACCCATCCGCCCACATGGACGGCACCAATGGAATAGGGATTTTGATAGTCCGTGGCGCCTCGTCGCGTGCCCAACCAGTAGAGAACGCCGTGATTGCTGGAATTGGGAATGACGCGATGCGTGACTTTGAGTAGATCATTGAGGTGTTGCAGTCCAAAATAGAGAGCTTCCAATCGTAGATTGCGCCACAGCGTCGGGTTCTTGTGAAATGCCGGTAGATTGAGTTTGAGGCTGACAATGTACTGAAAAATATACTCGAACAGCTCGCCCGATCGTTCCACAAAGAAGACTTCCAGACCATTGGCATCGTAGTAGGCTGCCTTTGAATCAAACGTCCCTCCGAATCGATTGGAAAAGTAGTGACTCCCCGAATTGAGCAGAGTGGAACGATGGCATTTGAAAATACGACCGCCAACGTCTAGCACAATCAGTGGGTCACCGGATTCGACACCATCCTCCATCATGGCAAAGGAGCGATCACGGTGGGGAGAGGATTCAATGTTCATCTTGACTTGACTTGATGGCTAGCTAGCTACTCAGTAGAGCTCTCAGTAGCGAGAAGAGAGATTTTTGTGGGAAATGAGGGCAAAACCTCCAACTACCGCCGAAAAACCATTGAGGTTGACTTCGATCACAAACGCCTGTCTGTCTGTCTGATGCTGACAACTAATGGATGCTGTCGGACCGATCAAAGAGTTGTTTTTACTTGGTTTCTATCACTTCTTCTGTCATTGCCAGATCCTTCCTGGTTTGTGCGGATGGGTGCACGGTTGGGGAAAGATACGATTGATTCAGTCACAAATGTGTCCCTACTTTGACGTCAGCAGACTATTTTCATTGATTTCTTATTCGACTGTGATTCGATTCTTTTGATTCTTTTGGGCTCAATGGAACTCTCGTATGGAATGCAGATTGCAGATGCACTTGGAAATGAATGAAAAGTCCTTGAGACTGAGCCCAAGCTCTTCAAGACAAGCTAGTCGGTTCCCTCAGCACCCCATCCATTGTACTGAGCCTAGCTCCACGAAAATGGGACGCCGCCTTGGTGAATCTATTGCCATTTGAAGCTGCCAAGAAGGCATGTGACCACTGGGGAGACTTGAAGGATCAGTTTATCTATGATGTCATGGCTGCTGGAGAGTTGGAGCTTGCCAAAGCTGGGGCTTTCTGAGTATCTATTAATGTGTATAGTGTTATTTCCAAACTAAGTACTGGTAGTCATTTCACCATGATCTTTTGGCTGGACTAAACTCTATGAGGGCAAATTGCAGTTGCTGCTTGCTGTTTAGTTTTGGGTTTCTAGCTGGCGATCGTCGTGGTGGCTCCATTGGCTAGGTATTGTTTGCTACCCTGGTACCGGCGCCAATGCCCATGTACGTGAGTAATCCAATATCCAATACCCTAGCTAGCTAGAGGTTTTGCTGACGTTTTTGAAGTGTTTATTCGTGAAACACACGAGAATGGTGCCGTCGAACACTCGATGCATCGCGGTGCAGTGGATCCAGTTCACGGAGCTGCCTTCGGTCTTGACATTTCCCCTTTTCGGGCTGGCTACCCTAGTTGGGCTGCAGAGAAAGTTCCGCTGCGAGCCAGAACCACAGCGACAAGCTGCCGTCTTTTTTCGTTGCAGCAAGAGATCGTAACATCTCTCGTTCGGACCAGGCTGGCCAGACGGTTCTGTTTTCGAGTAGAAACATCGTTGAAACGAAGTAGATCTAATGTACCCTTATGTCGAAACATGATTGAATGTTGCGTCAGATGTATGTATGCATGCGTTATGGATCGCCTTCCAGAAGTAAGTGTCTGGAAGGGAAACTAAAAAGGTAAGCCTCTCAAAAGTCTTCCAGCAAAAAGGGAGCGATCAATGGATGCATTGCAGTGTGTGTATTCCTGTGTATTGTAATATTCGTTTCAAGTTTCCTGCTCTGCTCTATTTTCAAGAAAGGTGGTGGGGCGCGTGTTTACAAAAGAAAACAACAAGGTGTAGCTCTTTCGTCTTTTCATTCATTCATCCAAGGTGGTTCGGTATACGTCCTCTGCCAGGATGCTTTTTTTACTTCTTTTTGCTGAAGAATCCAAAAATGCTACCCTTTCGTTTGGACTTGTCCTTTTTCTTCTTGCTGCCCGCGACGGGTGCCGAAATCGCCCGTGCCAGGTTGAGTGGTTTGGGAGACCAGACACGTTTCCGTTCCTTTTCGTCTTCTAGGCCGAGCACTTTGGCCTGTTCCCTGTGTGTCGACGAACTAACTTCGGATATTGCCGACAGTTTTTTCATATTGGGATATTCGTTTTCCATCTTTTGCCGTACGACTTCTTCCAGCACCGTCTTGCGGTGTTTGTAGATTGGTTTGTTCTTATCCAAACGAAAGACAATGTCCTGCAATAAATGATAAGAGTAGTAAGGAAGCAGGAAAGAGACATGGGTGTCATTAGAAGAAACCACAAAGTGCAGGAATTGTATGATAATAGTCTTCAAGGATCCTGGATATCCAATCTCCAAAAGATCCCATGGGTTCTGCGGCACGCACCTCAATTCCACGAATGGTGTTGTTGTCTTCGTCAAACTTGATCAGACCTTCTTTGTGATTCTGCCAGCGCTTGATTGTAATGTCCATATCCGTGTCCATCGATTGCCCTGCAACAAGATAAGATAATGGAAGACACGTGAGAAATCAAGTAATCCGATACCCTTCCACAAAGAATTTAAGAATTTGCCAACTCACAAGTTTCCGCTGTCATGAAGCAATTCTGCTTGTCTTCGTCCGTCAGCAGTGGTATTTCATGAACCGAAGTTACCAGACTTTCATCGGGTGCAAAGCTCACTCGTCGTTTGCCCGCCTTTTCGTTTTGTTGCGACTCGGTATGCGCCGCATGCATCCCGGAGAGGGACTTTTCGGCCCGAGCTCGTTCGGATCTCGAAATAAAGTCGCCGTATTCATCGTACCGACGAATGCTGCGGCTGGATCCAATCGCTTTATCATCATGTCGGGCACTGCTGCTGTTTTGTTTGTTCTTGTTAAAGGCCGCTTGGGCGGCCATGGCGTCTTCGTCATCTTCGGAATCCGATCCGTCGTCGTCGTCGCTTTCGGGAATGGTCTCTTTCACGTCATCGTATTGTTCTTCCTCGTCCACCGAGAAGATCTTGCCTAACGTCCACGATGCCATTGTCTGTTTGCTTGCTTGCTTCTATATGTATTGACGATTGCTTATCTATCTGCTTCCCGGAACTTGTTTCCGGGAGTGTTGAAGTGGTGAGAATGCACCTGCTGTGTGGGTGGGTGGTGGACCAGACTGTACGTAATGGGAACACGCAAAAGAACTGAGAGAAGATCTTGGCCGTTCGCTGGATTTGAAAGTAACGGCAACAAGCGCTGACGTCACTAACCGGACCCGAATTGATTTGGATTCAACCCTTTCTTTCTTTTCTGTCTCTTCTTCTTCTTGCATTCATCTAAAACAACTCGACCATGACATCTCTTCCTATTACTACAGCTACTGACAATACCGGTACTGACGATACCACCAAGAAGCTCATTCCAGGCCATGTAATTCACTGTAGCAGCGTCGAGGAATACCACGCCGCCCTACAGGCAGCCGGAGATGGTCTCGTGGTGGTGGATGTCTATGCCGATTGGTGTCCCCCCTGTCAAGCCATGGCGCCCATCTTTGAACGGTTGGCCGCGGAATATCCGCAGACTGTCTTTATAAAAGTGGATGTCGACCGAGCACCTTCCTTGAAACACGAACTTTCTGTTTGGGCGCTCCCCACCTTTGTCTTTCTCAAGCACGGCAAGAAAGTCGGATCCTTCATGGGAGCCAATCAGAGTTTGTTAAAACGAGGATTGGAAAATAATGGGGAGGTTTCCATTTGCAGTAATTTGGCGTGTATTGTACAGTAGTACTGGCACAGTAGCATGGTTTGTGGATGGATGCGATGGATTGAGCTCACAAAAAGAAATTGGGTTTGCAAGCTGCGAGACTGATTCTGGGGTGCAGGCGATGAATTGTCTAAAAGTGAAAGACCCTGCGAGGCAGTGGAGAAGAACTGGGCCCGTGTTGCTTTTTACATACTGTTTCGTCAATATTTGATCCGGGAAAAGAGTACAATGATGGAACCAACCCTGGAGGTACAAAAGTTGGTTTTCTGTTGCATCCGCTTGCCGCTTCGAGATGCATACAATTCACGGATTTCTGAGGATATCTACCGAGAATGTTACCTTCCTACTAGAACTGTACTGTAATGGCAACTGTAGTCGAGCTTTCAAGTCACTACAGTACGTACGAATGTGGGCACCACAAAAACAACGAGCGGATAGTCAGGATATTAGAGCTGGTGCATTCATTCTTTTCAGGATGGAGCATCGCAACGAGTCGATACGTTTACGTTGGCAGACCGTATGACTTCATGAATGAGTTGCCCAATGCATCGTTTCATTCGGGGACTTTTGGTACCCTAGCCTCAATGAAGAAGATCAAGCGTACCTGCAGCTTGTCGGGTGCTCCGTACCACCCGCAAACGAAGCACCTGCACCATTCACAAGAAGAGTCTGTCCATCCCAGAGCTGTCGATAGCAAGTTTGCATCAGTGCGTCCTTCCAATGCACGGGGAGGCAGAGGCCAATCATATAAAGCCAAACCCTTTGCCCCAGTAATGGTCCTCAATTTCTTGCCCCTGATCCCACAGAACCTAGTCCTGAATTTTGACTGTTCTTTGCTTAAGCCTGGCCCCGGCTGGCTTCTGTAGATAAAATCCCTACTCTAAACCCCCCTTGTCTCTACACCGTGTATGTACATCATGCATGCAAAGATGACGCGAAGCCAAAAAGACGGCTACCGATGCTCACGCTCGATTGAAATCTTTCCAGTTTTCACGCGAATACCTTTCTACCAGCCAGAAGACCATTTACGTAAATGGTATATGTTTAGGGGCTTGGAGAACGTTTATTCACAATAAACCAATTTAATACCCCACTTCTCAAGTGTTTACCCATCCAGGCGAATCTCCATGTAAAAGGTTGTCCGATGGAAACAGTCATGCAGTTAGTAGCTTTTCCCTGATTGAATGCTGCATATCGGCCAGATACATGGTTCCAAGCTCTAGGTGGCTATCTACGTTGTACCAGGTACTAGTACCTCGTCCCATACAGAATCGATGCCTTCAACGATTTGCTAAAAAGGAGGAAGAACCACAACAAAAATCATTCCAAAAACGAAAGGACCAAGCTTTTTGAAACAGCAGCTACGGTATCATGGCAGGAACAACTGATTTGTCTTTTGCCTCTGTCTTCCGGCCATGGCGCCCAGAGTTCAAGGAGAGTACTGATGGGCAACCTCTTGCAACCGACCTTTTGCAGCTCTTCTCACCCCTTCCAGATGAAAGACTTCCGGAAAACCCCTATGTTGCTTTCTTTGTGCGCCGTGATGTATTGGTTGGCTTGATTCTCTTCTATGTTGCCAGTCTCTATCTTTTTGCAGGGGTTCGAGATGCAACCGGCTTTTCGGCAAAGGAGAGTCCAACCTTCCGTAACTTTGTCGCTGTGCACAACCTCTCTCTGGCAATCTTTTCTGCTGTATCTCTCTACAATACTCTATCCATTGTGGTTGAAAATATGATCATGGGACCAGATGGGTGGGTTGCTATGGGCTGTGACACAGAAGGGGTCCATTGGAACTCAGGCCTCGGTGGTTGGGCATTCATCTACTTCTTGTCCAAACTTCTTGAGTTTGTGGACACTTGGATTCTTGTGCTAAAGGGTAAACAACCGTCCTTCCTGCAGGTATTCCACCATATTGGGATGGTCTTGATTAACTGGGGAGTGATCCGAGCCCGATCAAGTTGGATGTACTTTCCTGCATCTCTCAATCTGTTCATCCACTCGTTGATGTACACCTACTTCTTCATAAAGACTCTCTATCCCAATGCTGAGATCAAACAAGCCAAGTATCTCACCATGGCACAGATAGGGCAGTTTGTCCTTGGAATCACTGTTTCTTTGCTTTGGGCTTCAAAGTTGCCCACATTATGCATCTCTCAAGCCTCAGCATTCGTCCTCATTCTTCTTCAAACCTACACAGCAATCTTGGTTGCCATGTTTGCATCGTTCGCCCATCACAGGTACAAGTTGCATAAGAAGGCTTAATTGATTAAGATGGCCCACCAACCCAAAGGAAAGGATCACTTGCTGGTAGTGTTAACTGTGGGTGCGGGCTCTATGGGCTCCACTTCGCTGTTACTGGTATCTTGTAGCTTGCTGATAAGACCCAGATGGAACCCAATAGCTAGAAGAAGCAGTTTCTCGTACAACAAAAGAGCATTGGCCAACTTGCTAGGTGGCGGATGGAGCAAACTAGAATGGCAACCTGGCTACTAGCTAGTATATTTTCTTCTTCTGTTCCTAGCATGCCGGTAGTAGGAGCAATAGCAGAAAACGAATGGCTTGAGAGGAGGGTGTCTGAAACTACAAATGTTATTAAGCTATGAAAAGAGCATAAAGAAACCATCAACACCGTGTCAAATATCACAGGTTACCATCATTTGCAGGCACACTAGAGTGAACTGTGGCATCTGGACTTGGTTGACATGACTACAAGGAACCAACAAGCTTGACTTCATCAACGCACATACAGACCGGATTGCAAGAGAGCTCAACTACAATCTTGAACTTTCGCAATGATGAATGGAGAGCGGCGTGTAAAATGAACCGCACCCAATTTTTCGAAACGGAATGGTCCAAAAGACTAAATTAGATGGGGGATGAGCAAATGTTGCTATAGGGCTGTAGTGTACTCAGTTGCGACTCGAAATAACAGTTTAAAAAGCGAAATGCAAACTTTGGACTAAACTTAAGACAAATTGGATTGGATTGCACTGAATTGCATTGAATTAGATTGCATTGGATTGAATTGGATCAAAAATAGTACTGATAATTGTATAGTAAAATGGAATTCAATTCAATCCAATCCAATTCAATGCAATCTAATCAAATCAAATCAAATCCAATAGAAAACAAACATCCAAAACATAATATTTCCTTTACAGACACAATAATACAAAAAAGAGCTAACAAATTCAATGCAACGGTATTGGCATTTTTGCTCATCCCCATGTAAAAATGTATCATTTTTCCTAAAACCACGTACTTATACGTCAGTTGTGTCAGCCCCAACCCTTCTGTAGTTGTTCAAGGTCCAACCGTCGAAGCGGTGATGGGCATGTTTCCAGGGGGGAGCCATTCTCCAGGTGAGCGACGATGGCCATCAGAGATATTGTATCATTTACAAGAATACGATCTTATCTGCTTATGCTTCTGGTTGATTGATTCTTCCCAAGAAGTCAATCTGGATTCATGTCAGTACGACGTTTCATTCCGGCTCTTGTAGCATATTGCCTGTGGAGGCAGACTTCTACATCTAGCATGGCAGCTGCCACAAAGAGAGTTTTGTTCGTGGAGGCTTTCAATGCGATACGACCAACTCGTTGCCAGTCCGCGTGGTGTCATACTCCAGCGACAATTCGCAGACATCATCGTGGCTACTTCCAAAATTATTATTATTATCTGCCAAGATCCGCACGACAAGGGTATCCCACAGTCCGCCTCTTTTCGGCCAAATCCAGCGACACTGCCACCACCAATGAAAGAATATCCCAAATACGTCGAGATGTGGAAGAAACTGTGGAACTGTGTCAGCGCAATATGGAAGGAGCCCCTTCGATATCTTCCGTGCAACAGCGGGTCGATGATTTGGAACGAGAATCCTCCCAGCCTGGATTTTGGGACGATGCCAATCAGAAGCGATCCCAAGAAGTCACTGGTTTACTGTCACAATCCACTCGATTATTGACGCGATTATCGCAGTGGGATGATTGGAAGGGAGATATGCAAGCGGGGCTGGAAATGTTGCAAGAAATGGAGGGCGACAACGACGACGAAATTTCCGTGCTCATGGAAGAGTTGGTGGGTACTATTGTTTCTTTGAAAACCGACTTGGATAAGTACGAACTGGAGCTGTTTCTCAGTGGACCCTACGATGATGCTCCTGCGCGGATATTACTCACGGCTGGGGCCGGTGGGACCGAAGCCAATGATTGGGTCAATGACCTATATCGCATGTACGAACGGCAGGCGACTGCCATGGGATTTCGTTGTCGTGTCGAGGATTCACAACCAGGCGATGTCGTCGGGTACAAGTCGGTAGAACTCCTCGTGGAAGGAGCACCGGGGACGTATCCATTTGGTTGGTTCCAGTCCGAAAAGGGAGCGCATCGTTTGGTGAGACTGAGTCCTTTTAATGCCCAAAACAAGCGGCAAACCACGTTTGCCGGGGTCGATGTGGCCCCCGATTTGAGCGACAAGCTAAATGACGATAGTCTACCCGACATACCCGACAAGGATTTGGAGATTACCACCATGCGAGCCGGGGGCAAGGGAGGTCAAAACGTCAACAAGGTGGAAACGGCCGTGCGCGTCAAGCATCTGCCCAGTGGGCTGCAGGTCAAGTGTGCCCAGCACCGAACACAGAGTCAAAACAAAGACTTGGCTCTCAAACGGCTCAAGGGACAACTGTTGGCCATTGCCCAAGAGCAACGAGTACAAGAAATCAAAGACATTCGTGGTGATGCTGTGGAAGCCTCGTGGGGTGCCCAAATCCGAAACTACGTGCTGCATCCCTACAAAATGATTAAGGACCAAAGGACGGGGTGGGAGACTACCAATACCCAGGGATTCTTGGATGGAGGAAAGTTGTTGGAAGATTGCATGGGTGCCTGGCTGCGGAATAATCATGCCCAAAAGCAACAACAAGCCGAAGAAGACGCCAAGAGTAGCTAGCTAAATGAATAGTTACTTTTCTTGACGATAACTGTATGTACTTTGTCAGCGTTCCTCGCTCCTTTCCAGCTGCCATTCCTGGATGAGAATTGTAGATGGTGTGTGTTGCTGAATCCTTGTTTACGTGCACTTTGCAGAAGCTTCAACGACCCTGATCCAGGTGTCGCCGTTCTCGCTTTCCTTATCATCAGCACAGCTTCAAACGCATTGGTCCAAGTTGCGTCGGAAGGCTATTCAAAGCAGCGAATCTTCCCTCGGGGTTTATGAAAGGCCTGGTGGCATGACTTTTACTTCTTGGTATTCTTATGATCATCTGTACAGTCTACTTTTTATTCTTGATAGCATCACGAATTGCCTTGAAACGTTGGACGCATTGCTTTTTGGATTTGCCAGTGACACTTTTCGCAATGCTGGTCCATCGTTCGTTCTTATCCATGGTGGCGGGAAATTTGGCCAACGCGTCCTGAAGTTGTTTATCCTGTTCTTCTGACCAGGTATCCGAGGCCGATGCCGCGGATACTTCTGTCAAGGTACTCTCGCTCTTGGCCGGCATGGCTTTGGGATTGTTGCTCTTGGCGCTGTCGCCGTTGGTTTGGGCGGCACTACCATTGGTAGTGGCTGACGCAACAACACCATTGATTGGAGCCTTTTCTGTGGGAATAGTAGTAGTAGTAGTAGTGGCGGTGGGGGCTGGTTCCGGTGCCGGTTTGGCAGCCGGTGCCGGTTTGGCAGCAGCCGGAGGGGGGCCAGTGTTCTTGGCAATTTTGTTGTATTGTTCGATGCATTCCTCTCGTGTCCGAGGATCCACCGGACGACACATGTTGTTGATGAAAGTTGCAATCTGTTCCCATCGATTGGCCCCACCCCCCGGAAACTTTTTGACTGCCTTTGCCAATGCCGTTAATTCCTGTTGCGACCACGCCTTGGCGGCCGCTTGTTCTTCTGCCCTGGCAGCCGCCTCTTCCTCGAGCTTTTTTCTCCGTTCGGCGGCAGCCTTTCGCTTTTCTTCCTTTTCCTGATCGTTGGCATCCCGCGTTTCCAAAACACGATCGTGAATCATACGGAATTCTTTGGATTGTGTAAAGTCTTCTGTGAGTTCTTGAATCTGCAAAAGATTAAATTCACTGCACAAGAATTCCACCGCGTCGCTCATCTCTTCCAATGACGTAAATGGCAAATCGGCCGCTCCTCCCGTTTGTTCCTGATACGTCGCCACTGTCACTTTGCGCAGCTGCTGTTTGGCCTTTCGTAATTGTTTCTTTTCCTTTTCTCGTTGTGCCTTGTCTTGGGCACGTTGTTCTTTCTCGCGTTCTTGCCGTTCCGCCTCTTCTTTTTGTCTTTGTTCTTCCGCCTCTCGTTTTTGGCGTTCCTCCTGTTCTTTCTTTTGTTTGCGTTCCAGTGCGGCCTTTTCTTTGGCTTCTTTTTGTTCCCGATAATACTTTTGCAGGCGTGGATCGGCGGCCATGGCCCGTTGTACTAGTGTTTGAATCCGACTCATTTCTTGTCGTTTGAGAGCCTTGGCTCGTTTGTCAATTTCCTTTTGGTAGAATCGTTTCTCGTACCTGGATTCGGCATCTTCCAAGGGATTGTTATTGTCGAATAGTTCTTCCTGTGCCTTTTGGGAAAAGTCTCTCCAGGAAGTGAACTGTGTCCAGTAGTCGTAAAAGGCTTGGACCTTGTCAATGGACGTGTCGGCGGTCCCCAAGGTGGGAATTTCGGTGGCTGCATTCCTGGAGGTTTGTTCCTGTAATCGAGTATCAAATCGCAGATTGCGTTCAAAGACGGGTGCAAAGGTCTCGTAAAAGTCGTCATCTGTGTACAACAAGAGTCCGTTGGCACTTCCATTCATGGCAGCTGACGCCGCGACATCGGGAGGGATACTGTCGTCAAAGGGCATTTCGGTAGAATCATAAGCCTGCCTCTTGGCCACATCGCTCAGGGTATCCCAAGCACTCTTGACGGCAATAAAGACATAATCACTCTCATCTCGCCCTGTTTTATCGGGGTGGTAGCGAATGCTGGCCTTTCGGTATGCCTGCTTGATGGTATACGGGGTAGCACGAACTGGTTCTTCCAAGCCGAGAATCTGGTAGTGATTAAACTCCTTGATTTCATCCTCGGAATAATCAAACAGTCGCAGGTGGATTGGTTTCTCGTTTTCTTCGTTGGACATGTTGAGCTTAGAATGAACTTGGGATGAATGGATGGAAGTAGAGATGGATGGAATAGAGGTTGGAATAGATGGAATGCCTACTAGCTAGCTGGAAGATAATCCGGGAAAAGAATATTAAGACGTCCGGTACGGTAGCTCTGCTCTTGCTCTATGCACTCAATGTAGACAGGACCTACAATCTCGTGTTCTACTCAATTGGCACAGGACTCTCTCGTGCACAAATAATAATAATGAATGATGACGGGTAATTCATGCATCAGTGGACCGTGGCGGCCTTGTAGAATGACGGAAACGAAAATCGAGTTTGGAAGTTGGAAGCCTTTGGATGTTTGGATGGCTGCAGTTCGCCTACGTTTGAGTCGCTATTCTCATTCCCGTGTACTACCACATCACCACAGCATCAGTGTTAGGATTATCCACGATGACTCCCCACGCTCTAACTAAGCGTTGGTTTCGGAGCTCGCCCCAACAACCACAACCAAGGCTTTCCTCCTGATTGACTACCTACCTGTGGATGCAGAACTGTGTTGGTGGCAGTGGTACCTGGTATTGGTGGCAGTTGCACCGGTACGGTATTAGTGGTGGCGGTGGTACTACAGGGGCATCATTTTCACCAGAGGAAGCAACGAAATCTTCCCCATCTAAGCATTGGACATTAGATGACTAGTAGCTAGGAGGTGAAGCGGTTCCTTCGCCAATGGGTTACCCAAGGATTCCTTCGTTGGATCATCCGATGGACTTGGGACCTGCACTCCAACAGCTTCCCGGGCGAAGCAATAGCCATCCCAACGTTACGACGTCCGTCCTGCCGAAACCTCCGGGATCATGACTTCATCTAGAATAAACAAGAACTATGTACGCACTTTGACGAATTTCCTACTTTTTTCTCACTACACCACAGTTCGTTGTCTCGGATGCCAGTGGTGGCAGCTTGTTCGACTTCGTCGAAAGAAGCAAGGAGTGTTGAGCGGACCTTGATGCACTCTCCAGGTAGGAGCGATGCGGTTGTCGTCTTTGGAATCCACCTGTTCAATGCAGTGGAGTCCGAAGGGGGGGAGGGGGGTCGCAAGGAGAGAGCAAAACGTCGTCGGAAGAACAAATTTGCCAGATCTAGCTAGTCTCGCCGCAATAGAAATTGTGAGACTATGGTGTTAGAGTCAGGATTAGTTGACAACTATTAAGTAATAGCAAGAGTGTGGATCTTTCCTCAATCATTGAAAACAGCTCAGAAGCTTCTGGATCACCCAAGCAGCCTTTCGCCTTGTGGCAATCCTCCTCCTCTTGTTTCAAGGAACAAATACAGTGTCAACTGCTGAACAGATCAAGGAATCTTTTTCGTTTGGCTGACACAGATCCACGGCCAACTCAGATGCAAAACACATTCATTGGGACTACCAATTCTCGGCATCGTCCTGCATCCGCTTGAGTCGTTTCGATCGTCGTCGCAGGAATCCGTAATCATCTTGATCGACGAGAAAGTCTCGAAGTCGCTTTCGTCGTCGTTCCGACAATTCGCAATTGGGAATGCACGGTAGCAATCGTTCGGGATGCAACGAGAGCAAATAATGTACGAGCGACGTATTGTAGCTTTCATCGACAATCATGTCGACCCATCGCTGTCGATCGTCCGGTTGAGCCACCAAATCCTTGCGGCCGGCGGCATTAAACGCCAGCATGAACGATGCCTTGTCACTGAGCGGGAGGCATTTGCCCGACACCACAACACGAACTTCCTTGAGATGACAATTGGTTTCCAACGTTTCTTCCAAACACTCATTCATTTGCGTGCGAAAGCCTAGTCGCATTTCGTCCGTGGGGGCATCATTCTGACCACCGCCGTGTACCAAGGAAATGTATCCGTGCAAGTGCACTTTGAGATGTGACAGCATTCGGGGCTTTTGCTGCTGATTATTGGTTGTATTTCCCAACTGACTCAACAAGTGTTGACAGAGTTGCCCTAATATCTGTCCCATATTATTGGTTGGATTGGCCCGTAATCGCGGCAAAATGGAAATATCCAATCGTTTCAAGCAATTCGTGGCGAGTTTGTCGAGTGCGGCATACATGGGCGGCGTAATTTCATTGGCATCCAAACGCAACGTGCGCAAACAACCCGATGTCGATTCGGCCAGTGCATGCAACAGGGTCGTCCAGGATTGATTGGACACATCGGCACCGCGGAGCGACAATTCTCGCAAGGATTGATTGTGACGAAATCCTTCGGCAATGCCCGGTGCCATTTCATTAATGGTATTGCGGACATCACTCAATCGAAGAGCACAGACGGCCGATTGGGGTCCACAAATGACTCGAATCAAATCGAGTGACACGGCCACTCCGTACATGGATAAATCCAATTGTCGTCGTCTGCTGCTATTGTTGTTGTTGTTATCGTCATCTGTTGTCGTCTTTCGACAGAGTTGTTCCAATGCCGAATTGGGTACCATGGAAGGTTGGCTCATACAGAATCGAACATTCTCGAGTGTCTCCACGCCTTTGACGGATCGCAAGAACGAATCGACTACCCAACGTGTCATTTCTCGTGACTCTTGTGGTGGCATATCCGTCACGTTGGCTCCAAAAGCCGACAGTGCCAGTGTCTTCAAAGAAGAAAGTTGAGATACTTGTGCCAACATGGCATCGTATTCGGCTCGTGTTCCCGTCAGATAAGCACCCAACCGGAGTGTCTCCAATCGATCCTTGAGACTTTGCAGCAAGTGCTCTAACGCTCGCACGGTAATGGGCTGCGGTCGATAAGAACAAGTGATTTCCACATTGACCAGACGGGGCAGTTTGGTCGCCACCAACTGGAAGAGATCCACCATTTGGTCGGCGTCCAACGTGGGTGTGGTTTGGATGCGAATCATGGCGGCGGCGGCATTAGATCGATTGGAATCCAGGAGTTGGATCAACTCGTTGCGTTCCATGGGCAAATTGAAGCGAATCCGTGACCGCAACCGAGGACCGGGACGGAAGGATGCTACTCGGCGACGCAATTCGCGTCCGGCTTCAATGGCGTCCATCATGGTTGTCGAATATAATAAGCAAGAAGGGAGATGGAAGTGGATGCAGTAGTTTGTTGAGATGTAGTAGTTGTAGATTGTGGCTAAAGAGGTAGTCTATCAATCGGAACAAGGCTTGACGGAAATGGAAGGAAAGGTACAAAGGAACAACGGCTGTGACCGCTTTTGGAATTGCCTCCAGTGTCTGTTTTGGGTGTTCGCCAGTTTCCCATTTGAAAGCCAGCAAGCTGTTGGAGCACGATCTTTTTCACAGTGTCGTCTGTGCGTCGAAGCCAGAAGGATCTCAGCACCAATCAATCGGGCTTCGAGAAGCTTCCAACATGCGATGCTCACATTTTTCCATCTTTCCCTCTGTTTGGCTGCCAACAAACACTTCTGACCATGGGCAAGACGAAATCCAAGAACAAGCGAAAGCAGCCGCCACCCAAGAAGGTGGAGGAAAGCGAGAGTGAAGAAGAAGAGCAAGACTTTGGAGATGACGAATCCATTGACGATGACGAGGCTTTCAACTCGGACGATGAACGAAAATATGGAGATTTCTTTGACAAAGACGATGACAGCGATGGTGATGATGAGAGTGTCACATCGCAAGATTCCGATGAGGATTCGGATGATGACGATGAAGAAGAAGGAGATGGTGGTCAGTATATGCTAGACCTACTCAATCAACTGGACGCTCCCAAGGACGACAAGGATACTGCCAAAAAGGAACAAAAAGCCAAAGCCGCCGCGTCCCATCAAGTCCCCGAGTCGGAATTTGCCTCTTCGGTCGTCCAGAAAGGCTCCTTGACATTGGATTCGTTAATGGCTGGACTGGAAGATACCAAAGGCTTTGGAGTATTGCAAAAGTCACTTTCCAAAATTGCACAAGGACAAGCTACTGCCGCACCGGTCGCCAAGGCCGTGTCCAAACGAGCCGAACGCAAAGTCCATTACGAAGATCAAGCCAAACAAGTCTCGCTGTGGCTGCAAGCCGTGCAACAAAATCGACAGGCGGAAACATTGGACTTTCGCCCCCGCGGGCGCATGGATGTCACACGCGAAAGTCTCATTGACAAGTTTGTCCCCACGACGGACTTTGAAAAGGCCATTCATGCGGCACTGGCACAAGCGGGTGACCAAGAAGAAGACGCTATTTTGCAGGCCGAAGAAGCGGAATTCATGAAACAAGACGATCTAGGCGATCATGACCTCACCATGGAGGAGTTTCAAAAGCGACGCGGAGAATTGGCCAAGATGAGGGCACTCATGTTTTATCACGAACAAAAGCGTCATCGCATCAACAAGATCAAATCCAAAAAGTACCGACGCATTCGCAAAAAGCAACGAGAACGGGCTCAGGAAGCCGAGCTGGATGCCGATGCACAGGAGAATCCTGATCTCTTGAAAGAATTGGAGGAAAAGGACGAATACGACCGCATGAAGGAACGCATGACACTGGCGCATAAAAACACCAGCAAATGGGCCAAACGAATCCTGAAACGAGGCAAGAATGTGGATGCAGATACCCGCAAGGCACTCTCGGCGCAATTGGCGCGAGGAGATGATCTCCTTCATAAAATGAAACACGCCAAGAATAATGACGGGCAAGAAGACGACAGTGATGCCGATGACAGTGAAGACTTGGTGGAATCGGCTCGAAAAGTCTTGCTAGAAACAACGCAAGAGGAAGGAGAAGAAGATACCGAGCGAAAAGGACTCTTCAAACTCAAGTTTATGCAACAGGGTCTCGAACGACAACGAGAAATTGCCAAGGAAGAAGCACGTCAACTATTGCGAGAGTTGGGAGCCAATGAAAAGCTGGACGACTATGACGATGCCGTTATGGACGATGAGATGGACGATGCTGATGATGAGACCGCAAACAAGAAGAAGAAGAAACGCAAACTAGCTTCCCAGGAATCCATGAAGAGCGTCATTAACGATGGAGAGCTGGTGGCGTCCTCTCTCAAGTTTGGAAAATCCAATGCCATTGCCACCAGTGGTGGGATTGACATTGATTTGGGCATTGACACATCCACAGATGTGGAGAAGGAAGACGACAATGCTACAGATGGCAACAAGAAATCCAAAAAGAAGAGGAAGAAGAAACAACAACAGCAAAACAGTCCGACTGAAGCCAAGCCTCAGCAAGTCAAGACAGACAACAACGCACTGGAAAACGAGGGGAAGAAACAGCGAAAGAACAAGAAGACACCAAACAGTCAAGGATCCAACGGCACAGAAAAGGACGACGTCGAAGGCAAGCCGGAGGAGAAGAAAGAATCCAAGAAGAAAAAGAAGAAGCGAAAGAAAAAGGGCCAGTTCGTCGAAGATGTAGAAGAAGTCACAGAGGAGACAAACCCCTGGATTTGTGCTGCTGGATCGGACGACAAGTTCACAACAACAATAGGCCAAAGTGTCAAGGCCAGGACGAGAGCACAATCCGCTCTGAAAACCGGCGTGGTAAACATGGAGCAAGTGGTAAATGCCCTGGACAGTAGCGTGAATCGTCCAAAGGAACAACAGCACGGTGATGACAACAATCAAGCCAAGAACAAGAGCATTACCCATTTGTCCCAAGAGGAGCTCGTGCGCCGAGCATTTGCACGTTCCGATGCCAAGGAAGTGGAGGACGAGTTTGCCCAGGAAAAAGCCGAGGTGGAAGACGAAGACAACGATACCAAGACGGCTAGCCAAAAGAAGAAGGAAAAGGACATGGCCGTGGTATCCGGGTGGGGATCTTGGGCGGGCGAGGGTGCCCCACCCTCCAAGCCTCCTTCCAAGCTGCCCAAGCACTTGCAACCTCCTCCCAAAAAGAAGCAGCAAAAGGCAGGCCGCCAAGATATCAAACGTCCCAATGTGATTATCCGTGAGAAACGAGTCAAAAAGACGGCGGACAAGTTCATGTTGAAGGCCATCCCGTACCCATTTACGTCCCGCGAGGAATACGAACGAGCCATGAGTGGTTCGATGGGGAAGGAATGGAACGTGACGGGCAGTGTGAAGGATATGACCCGTCCCGAGATTCAGACGCGACCCGGAAAGATCATTCAACCACTTTCAATGAAGGTCAAGCAGCAGCAACGAGGCCCAGCCAAGTTCTAATAACAATGCATAGATAGGAAAGCTAGCTATCTACGGTAGACCTATTAGTGACTCTTATGCGAGAATCTAACGTACGTACCGGTACAGGTACCGTACTGTGACTCTTGTCATAGACTCGACTCATGCATGCAATAGTGTATGTACTTGTAGCTCTGCTGAGTTTTTCATTTGAGTCGAATGAGTCCAGTCAGTCGTCCCCTACCAACCACCAAGCAGATTTCGCCATGGGACATCGGGTCTTTGGCTTGAACTAGACCTATCGGTTTTCTTCGATGCCCAAGCACGTCTAGCTTGGTACGGTACGGTAGTAGCTCAGTCGAGGCGAGGACAAGAAGAGATTGAGTAGATTGGAATGACGGGTGTCCCGGTCACAGACGACGAAGGCGAAGGCGAAGAGATGGTGTTGCAAGAAGAAGATCTACCGAGCCATCAAACGCTAGAAGAAGAAGAAGAAGCCAATAAGGAAGATGATGTTGTGAGCGCGACGACTCTGGAAGGATCGATAGCGATAGCGAGTGAGAAGAAGGAAGAAGGAAATGCCCATTTTGCCAATCAACGATTCCTGCAAGCCAAGGAATCGTACCAGCAAGGTGTGGCGGCTTTGACGGCCGTGGGTATCATCCATAGCGATGACATGAACGACACTACTACTGTTGAACAACTCGACAAGAACAACATGACCAAAGCACTCTGCGTGTCGCTGCAATCCAATTTGGCGCAAGTCTGTCTCAAGCTGCAGCATTACAAGCAAGCCGAACAACACTGCTCTGCCGTGATTGAGGATTGGGATGAGAGTGTTGCGAAAGTCTGGTATCGCAGGGCATTGGCACGAGAGAAATTGGGAAATCTAGACGCGGCCGTGGACGACTTGACCAAATCCATACGATTGTTGCAAGCGCAAAAACAGGATGAACAAATGAAAAAGACCGCCTTGCAAGCTTTTGAGCGAGTCCGCAAGCAAATGTCGACAATAAGCAGTCAAAAGAACAAAGACAACACGAGTAATGATAATGATACTCCAACCAGCAGTCCGCTTCTTAATGGCCTGGTCAATGGACACCACCATCACGAGCCACCACCACCACAAGAAACGACTGCTACTGCTCCAGCAGTCGCAATAGTACCACCGGAGCCCTTTACGATTCGACCATCCCCCGAAGAACAAAAGCAAGCCGTCACCAAATTGCTCAAATCACGAACCGTAGCACTCCAACAAAATCTACAGGTCGGCGAAGCCTTGTTCCTCATTGACTGGGACTGGTGGTCCCAATGGTGTCGTCATGTCGATTTGTTCTCCTCTTCAGATAGTAACACTAATTTTGAAACAACCAGCAAACGAATGCTGGCACTCTTGCCGGCCGGAGCCATCTTGCCAGTGACCAACAACGAGACAAAAGCCAAAAAGGATACTACCAAACAACAAGAAAAAGCCAGTGATGATGATGATGATGATGATGACACCAGCATGGAAAGTAGCGACAGCGAAGAGGATGGCGACCAAGATGGTCCTCCGGATCCCATTGACAATTCGCGGTTGCTCATGCCCACGCTGCGAAAACAACCTTCCAATAGCACTACAACGATCAAGTTTTATCAACAGTGGTATCGACATTTTCAACCACCACCGGCATTGGAAGACGACTTGGGTGGTGACACACCACCGCAGACGGCACTCCGACCCAATCTGGTACGAGGATATCATTACGAAATATTGCCACGAGAAGTCTACTGTGCCCTCAAGAGCTGGTATCGGGAATTGACACCACCCATTTGTCGACGCACTACCAAGAAGAAATCGCAATCCATCTTGACTATTGACTTGTATCCAACGCCCGCTACAACGACAATAACAGCCAGCAAGCACAAGTGTGCGGCGTGTCGAGCTCGAACGGCTACCAAACGATGTACCCGTTGTCTCATGGTTTGGTACTGCGACCGATCGTGTCAGGAAGCTCATTGGATATTTCACAAGGTCCTTTGCAGCAAGATTGCCAAGAATAACAACAACAATGGCACCAATATCAATAATCATATACCACCGACCGCCGAAGGACGAGTGGGACTCAACAATATGGGAAATACTTGCTTTATGAATTCCGCACTCCAGTCATTGTCACACGCCACACCCCTGACAAGACATTTCCTTTCCAATCAGTTTCAAAAAGATCTCAATCCGCAAAATCCATTAGGTACCGGGGGAAAGCTCGCCAATGCCTACGGCACGGTCGTCAAGGAACTCTGGTGGGCTTCGGCTTCCACCGGAGGGGGTGTGGCCACCAGTCCCACGGCTCTCAAACGAGCCATTGCGCTGTTTGCACCGCGATTTGCCGGATGTCTACAGCACGATTCACAGGAATTCCTGGCATACTTGCTCGATGGACTGCACGAAGATTTGAATCGAATCCGAAAGGCACCTTACGTGGAAATGCCCGATTTTGACAATATCCGAAACAATGCACATACGCGTGTGGCGGCGTCCCAGGCATGGGAATGTCACCAGCGGCGGAATGACAGTCTCGTCATGGATACCTTTTACGGACAGTTCAAAAGTACTTGCGTGTGTCCGTCCTGTAACCGAGTCAGTGTCAGTTTTGATGCCTTTAATCATGTGAGTCTGGAGATTCCCACTCCGCTCAACCAATCGACCACCTGGCTAAGTCTGTGGGTCTTTCCGGATCGGGGCAGCAGCAACAACAAAAACAACAGCAACAATAATGTTTCACCCAAGGGGGCTGCGGCCGTTAGATATGCCTTTGCGTTTCGGAGGAACAATCTCGTGGCCGATTTGCGACAGGCATTGAGTGAAGTGACTGGAATTCCACCCACTCACTTGGTGATTTGCGAAGTGAGCGATCACACCATTGTGGAAATATTGCACGACAACAAGTCCCTTGGGACTATCCGACAGGACGAGATCGTGACGGCTTATCAAGTCGATCCTTACACCTCGACGTCCATTCATATTATTGTGTCCCATTCGCTCGTGGAAGCAGCAACGGATCAAGACGGGTCACCAACCAGCATCCCTCTTCGTGATAACTTTGGGTTTCCCTTTTTGACTTCCTGCAGCGCATTGATGACCTGTCGTCAATTATGGGAGCATACGTGGCTGCGAGTCCGCCATATGGTCATGCCCCTCACGGAGGAAGGCGACGAAGAAGACCTAGACATGGAACTCGAGGATGCGTACCGTCAATTGCTCAAGATTCGAGTGACGGATGCCGACGGCAACCTCGATCCGATCTTTCCGTTGAATGCTCCAGACCGCGATGCCAAAAGTGATGATGACGAAGAGGAGGAAGCGCGTACGGCTTACATGCCGCAAGATCTGGACGAGAAAATATCGTCCTTTCTAGGCGAGGACTGCACTTCTCGTTTTCTGTTCTTGTCCCTTGAATGGACCGAAACAATGGACACCCCACCAGAGTGTTTGAAACAAGCTGGCTCCGCGCAAGGTGGAAACACCAACAACAAGAAGAAAAAGAAATCAAAAAAGAACAACAAGCCAAAGGCTGTGCCCAAGACAATCAGCGTCAACGAGAAACGTTTCGTCACGTATACGGACCACCCTTGCTACGCCGAGTGCGTTAAGAAGAAGCGCGAGATGGATGGGATTCGGGGTGTGTCGCTCGACCAGTGCTTTGAGACGTTCACAAAGCCAGAACGCCTGGACGAAAACAACATGTGGTACTGCTCCAACTGCAAAGAGCATGTTCGTGCACTGAAAACGATGGAACTCTGGAGGCTTCCCAACGTACTCGTTGTGCATTTGAAACGTTTTGAGTTCCGCCATGGCTTTCGGCGGGACAAGCTTGCCACTTTTGTTGACTTCCCGCTTGAAGGCTTGGATATGAGCAAGCACTGTGCGCAGTGGAAGACCGATGGCGATCCTCCTGGACAGCTCTATGTGAATGACCACATTCCTGCCGTCTATGATTTGTTCGCCGTTGTCAACCACTTCGGGCGCATGGGATTTGGCCACTACACTGCTTACGCCAGAAAGTGGGACGAAGAGGAGCTATCGATGGATTGGGCTCTCTTTGACGATTCTAGTGTGCGACCGATCGGAGACGGGCAGGGTGGGGGCGTGGAACAGGTTGTCTCGCCGGCAGCGTATGTGCTGTTCTATCGCCGCCGCAACTTCAACTAGCTAATTGGAATCGAACCTTCAATGCGCACCAGCAGGTCGCAGCCGACCTCTAGATACAATTCCGTCAGGTTCTTTGCCTTTGCCTTAGGCTTAGAATAGATGGCTAGCAGCATAGTAGATGAATTTTGGTACTCTGGAATCTCTTCGTCTTGTCGGCCGTGTTACCGGTGGTATCAGGACCAGTTCATCCGTATCGGAAAGCAACGGCAATCTCTGATCCCTGGTCTAAGGCTTCATAGGCCTTCTGCGCGTGTTCCAAACCAGTTTGCATTGTTATCAGTCGAGACGGCCGTATCTGCTTTACCAGTTCCCATGTCAGCGCAAAACGTCGTTGCTTCGTCCACAGACCAGACAGTTCAGCCTTTATTTCGCTTACTTGAGATGTCACAATTGTCTTGTGGCTTCGATGAAAATCAATTCCGAGCTTGAGCGTAACATCGGCGTTGCCGTACCATGATGCTATCACTACGCGGCCATTGTTACTAGTGTGTTCTATTGACGACTGAAGTGCCCTGGCGTTGCCACTGACCTCAATGGCAACATCAAAGGGGCCACTTGCTGGGACTTCCGACGGCAACAAGGCTTGTGAAGCGCCCATAGCTGCAGAAGCCCCAAGCCGTGCTGGAATTGCATCAATCGTCGTAACTGTACCCACTTTTGTCCCGAGATCACTGCAGCAGGGAGCTTGCAAGACCATGTCCTGCTGCTGTGAATTGCATAAGATTGACGTAACAAGCAACCCAATCAGCCCTTGCCCGAAAACCGCAACCTTTTCCCCCAACCGCACGTGTGCGTCATGCACAATAGAAAGTGCAGTTTCCACCGACGGCATGAAGATTGCATCTTCAGCTGCAATGCCTTCAGGAACGAGTTGGATGGCATCCCGATCCGCAATGACATGTGTTGCGTGAGCCGAGAATGTAAAGACCAGCCTCCCCAACAGCTGATCTGCGTCTTCTACTTGTGAACCGCACTGTACCACCCGTCCAACGAGGCTGTACCCGTAGGCTAGTGGGTACGCCATTCGTTCTTCTTCCATACCCTTGATGTTTACGTCAAGGGCAGCATCATCGAACATACCTTTAAATACCTTCAGCTCGGTACCAGAGCTGATCAGCGAGTACTCAGATTTTACTTGGGCAAATAGAATAGAAGCGAGATGTAAGAGCCAAACCTGCCGGACCAAAGAGTAGACCAACAAGGAGACGACGACACTCACTTTGCACCTGATGAGGTTGTAAGTCAGCACCCAGCTTTGTCACTGTTGTCACTTTGTACGGAGCTGTAAACTGTATCTCCTCCATCCCAGTCTCTTGCTGCTCCAATGAATCATCCAGGTGTTCATCCCCGTTGGCATCAACAGACGCAATCTTTGCATTGCCCATGCGTGGCAACCGAAACAACAGGTCCACATTGGACACCAAGATGCTTGGCTGCCCTGGGCTGCGGGCACGCTGAAGCCATCCAGCGGCATCCCACCCCGTTTTAATCAATTCTGGTCCAGCCACACGCTCAAAAAAGTAGAGGAGTGTCTGCCACAAATAGGGGTGTTGCTGAGGATCGATGTCCCATTTGGAAGCCCCGGAGGAGAGCAGGCTTCCTCCAAATGCTTTCATTGCATCCTCGAGCTTGTGAGGATCCAAGTTGTGCCCATGAATCTCCTCCAATGCCTTGGAGTACAGGGCAAACGCTACCGTGTCCGAGGGAACACTCTGTGCCCTGCCTGCATGGATTTCAAACGGTTTTGGCGGAACAAACTGTGTAACGCCTTGAAAGGTGATGGGAAAATAACACAAGCACGAGTCGGGGCGATTCTCCTGTGTCCTGGAAAGAAACCTCAGGAGTAGCGATGCTACTAGCTGATTTGGGTCCAATAGGTCTGCAAAACAACACCCAGCAACAATGTGCGGAGTGGGGTGGATTATTGTCAATTTGCTGTTTTGTTCTTGGTTGTAATCGTACAGCCGTAAATGCACAGTTATGGTGCACCCCTTGCGGGATCCTACAAAGACGGTTTCCTCTTCATCTTGCTCTTGACCTGTTTGTCTGGTGAAGCCCATATCTTGCAGTACCTGCATACATTGCGACTGAAGCCCTTGATTTGGTTCGTATGCAAAGTATCGGATTCCTTTGAATATGGCATTCTCGCCGTTGGAGACTTGATCTACAAGCGACGGCAGTTGATTGTCATTGCCACCTTCTACGACAAGCTTGAACATGGAAAGGAGTCCTGCTCCTACATCCACGATTTCAAGCTCGGCGGTGGGTGTCGTTTGCAACATAGCTCGCAGTTCGTCAGCCACACGTAGCCAGGTGGGACGATGTATCGATCTGGCATCCACAACATTTTTTGACTGCAAGTACTGAACCTGTGAAAATTCGTAGCTTTCCGTGTTCATATCGATGACTCCTACAGCTTGTAAAAGCGCCGTAGACAGAGGATTGTCCGAAGAGACTCGTATCCCTGTCATTAGTTGTGGGGGCAAGCATTCAATGTTCTTTTTGGAGTCATCCAGCAAGAGTAACTTGGATTGATCCGATTTTTCTTGATTGTGTTGCTTCAAAATGTCCCGGAAAAAGATGGATGGAGAGTGTTTCGTCGTGTAGATTGTGTACGTGGTGTCGCCGTCTACCCCTCTTCTGCTTTGATCCGGCGTTGTCAGGCCACTCCAAGGTACGTTGAGCATCCCGAGAGCTTGTAGGACGGTTCGAACATGCCAACTAGGCGAGTTGGAAGCCAAGTAAAGAGGATACGGTATCCTCTGCAAGAGAGAGCGAAGCTGTGCCAATTGACGGGCAGAATCATCGCTATGAGAATACCCAGTAGTCAATGATTGGGAAGAAGGCTGATGCAGCTGAAGAAGGGCAGTATAGTCCATACTCGGAGGCCATATTGCTTGGTAACACTGCTTCATGTTATCTTCCAGAGTTTTCAAATTGCCGGCCCAGAGAGTCCGTAAGCCTTCAATGGTGGATCCATACTCATGGTGGAACCGGTCAGCTTCGTCTTTGGACATTCCCACGTGCTCTCGGCAGTAAGAGTGAATGTTCTGGACAATTTGTTCCTCAATGCCAAGAGGGGACAACGAAAGCTTTCGAAGAGCGCCTTCGTCGTACAACGTGTTGTCGACATCCAATACCAGGAGCACATCTCCCTTGCTTGGGCCGCCTCTGCTGATGCCGCTGCTCCTGAGAAGCAACGTAGCAAGAACTAGACCTTGCAGCAGGCAAGATTGGCACCTTGCACAGAGACTCATTCTCAACGGTATGTATACTGGACTAATGACGTGATATGTTCGGAACTAGCCAGCTATGATAGACAGAACTGGGAGCCGGGAGCAAACAAAGAGGGGATGTGGTGGGTTTTGGGGATTGGCCGTTTTGATGGAGGCAATTCGCGATCTTTCTTGGGCGGTTTGGATCTTTGGTGGTTCCTTGTGACGCCATAGTCGCAGATACTGGTATGACGTCAGTGAACGAGTCGAGTCACTCCGGTACCGGTACCATGGCACCGTACTGGTACCTTTGCGTACCTACAGTACTGAAATGCACAAGAACTCAAAGAACCCGCAGAACGCTGGAAAGAAGAGAGAGGAGACTTCAGGATGATGCTGAACTGTCTATGATATCTCTATGATGGACTGTTCCATCCTAACTAAGCAGACAACAGGCTGCGCTGTTGAGTTGCGTCAGCATCCCAGGTTTCATTCTTCTGTGTGGCGAGCAAGGAGAGACCCATTTCAAAAGGCTCCAGCAATTCATCATTACAAGCAACTGTTCTGATTCCCTCCATGGCAAAACCCCCCAGATTCCACTATCGAAACAAGCGCAGATAAACCCAAGAGTTGGCCCCTTACGTTGTTAGTTAGCTAGCTAAGGCACGGATTATGGTCAAAATCTTGCAGCAAAACGCGGCACCGTCGCACCCTCAACTGCTGCAGTTGCTTGACCGAAATGTAGTGGTGCACTCCCGATGAGTGCACTTCCGAAGACTTGCTTGTTCCGTTTGAGTAGAATGCATTATGTATTGTGCACTGCATTGAGGATGTCCGTTGATATGGAGACCAACCCACAAACACTCTCATCGGCGGTCGTTCAGGGCCAAGATCTAAGGCCAGCTTCCCGGGATGCATTGGAAATTTTACGCGATCGGCTGAGTCTTGCATTATCATGTGGGATGACCATCGGTTTTGCCCGGAGGAGGATGGTAACTAGGATCATGTTGGTGATGGTGCAGTGAAGTTTCTCCTCGGTGCAAGGATATCGACCCTCCTGACTGAGATGATGACGCACTTCGTCCTGGGTCGTTGTTGCCAGTTGCATTGGCCTGGTTACCAGCAGCATTACCGTCGCTTACAGTCCCTCCACCATCGTTCCCAAGGATCTCCTGAAGTCGCTCACATTCTTGTTTCCAAGCATTGAACGCAAACTGCCGAAAGAGGGGACTTCGGTTGGTCGTGTCATCGGGCGTATATCCTGCTGCCAGCATGCTGCGACAGTAGAGAGTCTTGAGTTCTGACTGGAACAAGGACAGTGCCATGCGTTCCTTGGCTTGGTTTTCATTGGACAGAGCGGCTGGATCGTTTTGCGGCTGGAGTTGTTGCTGCTGAGCAGATTCAGCGAAACCGTGATGTAATTGGCCGGGATGATGATGAGGAGGGACTTCTTGGGCAGCCGGCTGAGGAGCTGGAAACAACTGAACCCCCAAGAGGGGCTGCGACGGAGCCTCATGCGAAGAGTGGGCCTTCTCTTCTGAGCATGCCATGTTGGTACCACCCTGCTGCTGCCCTTGTGGCATGTTGCGCAGAATGGGCACGTCAGTCAGCTGAATGATTGGATACATTTGCGTTGGCAACATGATCTGGTTGCGGATGGTTTGGTTTGGGGACGAGGATGACTGGCGGTTACTGCTTCCTGCGGCACTGCCTTGTTCTGATTGCTGATGTCCCTGTTGACCTGACGAGGGCAAATTTAGTTGGGTGAATGACCGCAGGGGCTCCACATCCTGTTGGGACAAGGCCATCCGCTTTTCTTGCCCCTGTTGACTTGCAATAGAATCACCCACTGGACCTGTCCCTCCGTCCGGCGCCTGCCTTTTGACCCCAGATGATTCGGCAGTGGGAAGATAATTGAAGTTGGGCTGACCCGACGGCAGCTGCTGACCCACCGCAGGAACTGCTAGCTGTGTTGCTTGCAGGGGCCCATGCGGATGCTGTGGCTGAAGCTGCTGGTAGATGCATGAAAAACATGTGAGTGGCATGCCTTCATGATGTGATTGGGATGGGTGTAACCCGCAGTTCCTTCACTTACCTGGAGCTGCACTTGGTGTTGCTGGTGGGGTACCTGCCCTTGTTGCTGTAACTGATAGATCAGATGGGTAGCCCTCTCCACTGCAGTTGGCGACGTAGGCGTATCCGCAGCGGGGAGGGCAGCCTGACGTTGAATCTGCTGCGCCATTTGCAGTTGTTGGAACTGCTGTTGCTGCTGCTGTTGTTGTTGCTGCTGCCTTTGTTGTTGTTCAGATTGTTGCTGCTGGAGCTGTTGGAATTGCTGGAATGAAAGCAAGATGTGAGTGGGATGCCTCCATCATCATGCCATAGTGATGCGCTTCTTTGCTTACCTGTTGCATCTGTTCGTTCTGATGCTTCTTAGCCAGCTGTCTGAGGCGCCTCAAAAGTTGATTCTTTCGCTGGCCCAGGGTAACTTGGTCATTGTCCAACGTAGATGAATCCTCGTTGGCAGGGAAGTTGAAGCCCCCCATTCGCAATGCATGAAAGAGGGGGACTTCTGGGTTTTCAAGTCGCACAGCTACGGCTCGATTCATTCTGGGATCCCCTTTGCATCCCGGTCTCCCCGATGCCGAGATGGGCTTGCCGCCTTCATTGTTACGCTTCATGACTGTCTGATGACAAGACGGAAATCTACGTAGCCATTGGTTTCTTGGACCCTGGCTGATGGATACAGTAGTTGGACCTGATGGCAGCAACGGCTACGTGAGGGTGCCTCTGGGCCAAACCCTTAAAGACAATCGCATGTACGAGGAATGGGATCAGGTCTTATCACTCTTCTTTTCGCTTTGGCTTCTTTTTTTTATTGTGCTGATGTCTGAAGCTTTTGCTAAGCTTGGGAGGGGATTGTAGCAGCATGTGTGAAAGCTGAAACACTTCCAGTCCCCAAGTTGCCTGCTCAAAGAAGGTTGCTCTGCAGTGGGTTTTAGTGGTGAGGTAATCGTCAAGAAGGAAAATAGAGCCTGTACACGAGGCTCCAATCCAAGGGCATCGTGATGTTTATACCAGTGGCAAGACGCCATCCGAAAAGAAAACTCAGATAAAGGCAGTTTGCCGCTGAAGAACAAGGAGAATGGGCGGCATGGACACTTACAAGGACGAATACTGGGGAATCCAGCTGGAATCCCACAGAAGGACTCCGTCCAATGCGACAGCTGGATGCAGCGATGAAGCGTTACAGAGGGCACTGGAAGATGCGTGACTGGTACAGCTTTGGTACTGTAGCTTTTTGGCTACTGAAAAACAAAACTGGGAAGTCGCTCACCATTTTAATTAAGAAAGCGAAAAAGAACACCCCCGGATCTCAGAACAGGAAGTGTAGCAGTGAGACAACAAGCAACAAGTCAATAAGTGTCCACGTTCAAAAGCTCGAAGCTACCCCGAAAATTCGGATGCAATGGCCCCCTCACAACACATTGTGAGCGAAAAAGAACCTCGCCTTCACATCTTTTGGCTCATCTTTTGGAGTCCCTGAAGGTCCTCCCCAAACTTGAACTCTTGCGCAGAAGCGTATGAGAGTGTATGAGAGCTGTAAGGTACCGGTATGAGCATGGGGTGAGTTTAGTTGTCTACTGAGAGCATGCAATACCAGGGTACCCCAAATCACAAATCCCATACAGGCGAAAGCTTGACATCCTCGGTGCCCGGCTATGCTTGCGCGACAAAGAGAACCTCAACGCTCCTATTGTGATGTTAGAATGACGTCATTGCCGATGTGGCACTTCTTCTCCTTAAGTAAATTTGGATCCAATGAGTCAAATGGGTTTGGGTCGGCTGTTGGGCCTGCGCATACAGTTCCGATTTGCATTGGAGCATACTCAACCCAAATCGCATTTGACGCATTTGACTCACTGGACTCAATGACACATGGTTGGCTGGCGATAATAGATTGCTTACGTCACATAGTTTGTGATTTGGGGTACCCGGGTATTGCATGCTCTGAAATGCGAAGATTTGCAACAGTTTTTTCTTGGATAGCCCAGACTGGTTTGGCAGGAGCCCAGGCTTTGCTTCTACTGTACTCATTTGATAGTTGGTGGATGATGATGATGCTTCGCAACAACCGAATGGGTACATGGGCTTGGGCAGTGGGCAGGTCTAAGCTTCTTTACATTGACCACTTACCATCAGATAGGATCGAGCAGACAGCACCCAGACCACCAAACAAGTTCATCATCTTACTACTAGTATGCTGTGGCCACGCTATTTTCCCGTACAGAGCCTGCAGCCAGAGCGGCACTGTGTGTGAGCAATGAGGGCAGATCTTGGAGCTCTCTCAGATCCTGGCACCAGCTGCTCACGGCTGACGCCATGTTGATGTTGCAGTTGGAGGCAGTTTGGGCAGGCAGTACGGCTGGATATTATGTCAAGAGGGAGCAGGATCAGGAGCAAATTCCCAGTCATGAACCCGAAGACGCTGATGCTGCTGAGAGGGTCAACAATGCCCATAAAGGCTAATCCCAACACAAAATCCTTTTCGTGTACTCTGTATGCATTATACTATTATACTGGACCCAAAGCTCTAGCTAGAGCAATTTATAGCGGTGGCTCGGCACACACTTTCTCTAAGCAACGACTTCGCCACTTCACCCTACTTGGCTTGTGGCGAGCACAGAGCACTGAACTCAAATTTTGACATGCAGTAGGAGCACAGGAGCACAACATCAGCACTTGACCCTTCATTCACAGCTTCTTCAGAAGCTGCAAACTTGGTCTGGTACTATTGTATTCTGCCAGGCTACTAGCTAGCGAGCTACAGTTGTGAGCCAACGCTCCTTTGAGAGTGGAGGTCCAAGTCCAGGCAAAGAGAGGTAGGTGATGCTGCTTCCAAGTGTTAAAAAAGAAAGCAACAGCAGCTGTTGACTTTCACCCAAGCAAGGCAGTTGAGATCAAGAAGTTGGAAGTTGGAACAGGATACAGCGAGACCTACTAGTAGACTACCCAAAGAGAGTCACACTGAGTAGAACATAAAAAGGCGGGGAAGATGCGTATGCGAAGAGTCAAGTACATCTACATGTACATGTACATGTACATGTGCACCAGCTGCTCAGTTTTGTGGAGGCAATTGCCTAAATCGTTGAAACTCGCACATGAGACATGAGAACGGAGCGACTTTTACTACCAAGAAATAATGAAATAGGAAATAGGTCCCAGCCCAAATCACATGTAATAACACTCAGTCTTGATGTCGCTCTTGGTGGAGTGAGTTGCTACCTGCACCACAGCTGCGACCTTGGTCAGCAATGGAAGTGACGGCGTCAACTAGCTCGTCTGTCGAAATGTCTAGCTAGCTACCAGGTAGCCTCCACTTGCAAGAGAGATAGGTTGTATCAGCAACTTGAGTTTTGCAGCTGGAAAACAACTATCTTTCGAACCTCTTTCAACTTTTAAAAGGTTTTCGAGCCCGTCAGTCTCAGGTCTCAGCGTCTCAGCAGCTTGAGTTTTGTACTTCGAACGCGGAGCTGCACAGCTCCCTTTCAACTTCAATGGAGGGTGATAAATGCAGCCAGTTCAGCCAAATATCTTTACTAGCTCTTTACTACATGTACTACAGTATGCATCTATGCATAGTAGCTCTTTACTTCATCTCTTCCACGAAAACTCGAACACCGCGGTTGGGGCTTGGGGCATCAAAACTCATGCCCATTGCCCAACGTACCGGTACCTTTTCCCTTTTTGTTTGTAGGTAACCAGGTACGGTACCAGTTCACCTACCGTGCATGGACCGTATGTACGAATGTATTTCAGCGTGGTGAATTTTTGTGTTCTCCTTACGCAGCAGAGAAGTTTGATTGCTTTGTTAAATAATTTTCTGTTCTTCAACCCGGCAATGATGTTCTCTGAAGAACATCGCAAAAGCAAAATAGGTAATTATTACGGGTCCATGTGTCCATGTCTTCCTCGTGAGGACGTGCGCAATGTGCAGCGTGCCGAGCTGTACATAGGGTGAAGATGTGCATAATATTAATATTACTCCATCATCGTCATCAGAAAGAGCATGCATGATTATTAGCCCGCAAAAGAAAGCTGTGTTGTGGCCGGATTGAGGCCGGAGGCCGGAGGACAAAGTGCCATCGTAGATCCAGAAGTCTTTTTCAAATAAATAGACTACAGTAGCTAATAAAAAAATGGAGAGGAGTTGGACCCTCGACTTTTAGCAGCATGATGAGGACGCACTTCCTACCAGAACACTCTTGGTGCCATTGGACCAATGGCGTGGTTGGGCTGGTGGGACAATTGAGCTTGTTGTCAGTCGACCACTGAAGTGTAGATAATCCATATGCATACTAGTACTAGTAGAGCTCAAAGAAGCCGTGCCATTGTAAAGATCCGTCGAAGATCAGGAAGGAAAGAACCTCCAAAGGGAAAAGATCCGTCCCGGACAAATTGTACCGGTATGCAGCTTGGCTGGATTACCGATCATCCGAGAGCCCTCGGATCTTTGCAAGGCCAGGAGCATGTTGGCGGCCTAGCCGGCTAAATTGTTTGAACCGACTTGGAGCCCAACATCTACGGTTTTCCTCTAAAGTCTAAACCAAACAACTCGAGTTATACGGGGGTTTAGAGTAGGGAAAATATCTACGGAATCCAGCCGGGGCCAGGCTTAAGCAAAGAACAGTCGAAATTCAAAACTAGGTTCTGTGGGATCAGGGGCAAGAAACTGAGGACCATTACAGGGGGCAAAGGGTTTGGCTTTGCGGGATCCACGGAGACATAAATGGGTAGCTTTCACAAGGGCAATTGAGATACGGGTCTGCATGAAGAACATCATTTGAGAGTAGGAAAATTGAGTTTTGGAGGCAGTAGCAGAAGCAAGGCGTTGTAAGAGAGTCTTGGCTTGGGGGGCAAGCATGCCATCCACAGAAACAACAAAGGGATGGAAGGAAGCGCGATTGGAGTCGCACGCTTCTTTATATTTGGAAATTTTGTCGCGTTCTTGTTGGGTTAAAACTTTGATGGGATCTTTGTTTCGGTAAGAGGCACAGTCCAAATCAGTGACACGTACGTCAATAATAGCTGTAGTACCACGTTCGAACAAGCCGCGAATGGAAAGATCACCACGTAAGAGCTAGGGGGCTGAGGGGGATTGAGAGGGGGGGAGGAAGGGGAGGTAAGGTGGAAATTTGGTGACCGCCAGGGATAGTAGGGGCGGGAAGGGGTGGTTCGACTGGACGGTAGAGGAATTTTGTTGCCCTTTACTTTTCTACCAATGAGGCCTTCACTGGAAAGATTTTATGTTCCTAAACTTTATCACTTTATACTATGCAATCTAACACTCAAATTCGTTGCGACGAACCCTCAGACTAATGTAGCCGTGTTCATCCTCACTTTCATAAGAATTGTCGCTGTATTCAGAATCACAGGAAGAACTTGATGGGCTTGAATTGGTCCAGCTCGATATGGAATTCAAGTCGCTGTGTTGCAGCTGAGAACGAGCACCAAAGCGAGTTTGGGCACGCTTGGCACTCCCTTGAGAAGATGAGACACTTCCCGCAGCGCTATTGCGGCGCATTCGTTCCTGCTGCTGCCTTCGACCACTCTTGGTGTGAGTCGAGGCGCGTTTCGTAGCTTCCGACACATAAGCGGGTGGCCCGCTGCCGCCTACGATGGGCCCAGGGACTGGCACTCGAGTGGGAGGCTGAACATGCCCGTCCAACTCTCGGCCAGTAACTGGGTCCCGGCCAGACAGGGAAATTGCAGGGCCGCCGTTTGAGGCTGAGGAGAGGGGGTTGTCTCGCATGTGAGCAATGTACTTCGACACGGCGTCCCAATCGTTTTCTGAAATGAATCGATCTAATTCGGTCTGTGTCCACTCTCGTTGCTGGGGTTTGCCGTACAGAGACTCCTTCACTTGCTTCATTCCTTCTGAGAGGGCAGCTGCCAGGTCCCAATCTTCACGCTCAACTGCAACGTCAAGAGCGCGACGCCTTGCACGTTCAAAGTTCTCCTTTTGGGCTTGATAGTCGACATCGGCTTCACTTAGAGCTGAAATGGAATCTGTATTCTTTTCGGAGGCGGTATCAGTACCGCGCTCATCCACTGTTTCTTCGTAGTCTCCGTTATAACTGTCATCATCATCGTCATCCAATGACGACATGGCCACAAGCTGTTCCGCGACAACCTTGGGGGTTCCCTTTTGCATATCTGCAGGAGGAGGGCCTCCTTTTGCCACCGGGCTTTCACTGCGAATGGCGCTACCACCGGCAGCGGTGGATCCAATGGCGTTTGGTACAACACCATCGCCGTTAAAGGTCTCCTTCGCGATCCTGTTGTTGCCGAATTCTTCCACCTTCAACTCTCGAGATCGCGGCACTGCTGGAATCTTGCTCGGCACTCGTCCGCTTGGTGGGAACCCAAGACTCTCGCTTCGAAGCGGCATGCCCCCCGAGGCGCTCGAAATACTGCCTGTTGAAACGGTTCCTCCTTGGGCGCCTTCGCGGATTGGTGCAATGCCTTGTCCTTGGTGCTCCGAAGTATTTCGGACTTTTTCAGTCTTCTCTGTAATGGAAGTCTTCTCCGAGATGCGAGTGGAGGAACTGACAGCCGTCCTGATTCTATGCTGAACATCCACCGCATTCAAGTTGTTTGATGAGGAGTTCACACTAATGGACGAAGCGTGTGAAATATTCAAAGGGTTGGATTCAATCACCGTAGGATGATCAGCTAAAGGGGCTTGCGGCTTGGAAGGTTCCGACTTGGTTTTGGAGGGTGTGCTCGGTGCTTGGAAGGGTTCATCAAAAGGCTTCGACTCTACCAAGTCGCGCAGATTTGCTAGCAGTTGTTCTTCTCTACCATCGTATTGAACCAGGAGCCTCTCAATGTTGGTGCCCTGAGGCAATGGCATCGTCTTGACAATATCCAGGATTTCTTGCTTCGTCTGCCATACTTCGGGATCAAAGTCTCTCTGAGTCTTTTTGCGAAGCTTGTTCTGAATGGCTTCAACACTCTTGTATCCATCAATGACCTGTTGGGTCTCGGATTCCTTTTTTAGAGCTTCCATATCTTCCTTGTACTTTTTGATGGCAGCCACTTGTGCATCAAACTCCTTCGGCTTCACCCAACTTGTTGCACGTGATTCTCGGTGATAGTAATAAGTCCTTCCTTGCGCATCGGTGGCTGCCTTCCAAGTCAATTTGGGTGCCTTCTTCCGCATCGACTCGACGGCATCCAGTCCGTCATCTTCATCCAAAACTGCCTTGGTTTCTTCCTTTACGCTGGTTGTTTCACTGCTAGACTTGCGTATCTTTTGCTCGTGCAGAGCCTTGTCCTTCTTCAGGTCCTTTTCTCGTTGCTGCAATGCATCTGACGAAGACAACCTGACTGGCGCCGAGCGAAGTCGGTTCATGGATACTCCTTGTTCCAATTGTTCGGGTACCGCTTCCATGTCGGATTTGGGTTTTTCGGCCGCAGCAGAGTCACGGCGAGCGGTATCTCCAAACGAGTTGCTTGCTTTAATGGGCAAAACAGGCTTAGACGATAGCCCCTTTATTTCTGGGTGACTGGGTCTTCGTCCTTCTGCCTTGGTTTCGTTTCGGGCTGGATCTGGTGCGGACGTAGTGGTTGGATCTGTATCCCGTTGTTCTTCTCTAGCCCTAGTGTCGTAAGGTTCAATCTCCTTCTTTTCCTCTTCGAGAGTCAAAGGAGACGCAGGAGACGCAGGCATGGCCGATGCTTTGGATGAGAAAGCCGGAGGATCTTTGGTGGGCGTCGAATACATGGGTCCCTTGGGAGGCGGTGGCACGGAATTTCCTCTGGGCTTGACTTGATTGCCATTGGCCTTTTTCTCGCTGTTCACCTTCGCCGCAACGGTCTTGTTGCTGTACGTTCCTGTCACCCGCTTTGGTGGTGGAACTGACGAGGTCGATTTCGTACGGCGTACCTTGCCAAATCGTAGTCGTTTCACCAATCCTGACAGTCCCTTGCGAGACGTAGGCGATAGGGTTGACTTGGCTCTGGCCAAGTCTTGCCGTTGCTGCAGCTCTTGCATTTCTCGTTGTTGCTGCTTCACTATGCGACTCGATTGAATCTCAACTCCAACATCGCGGCTGGGTGAATCGGGTGCATCTCGTCTGCTTGTTTCTCTTTCCAGAACGGATTGGAAAAGAGCTTCACGTTGTTCTTGCTTGGATAGCTTATTGACAGTAGGAGGACTTCGGGGAGTTTCCGGTTCAGTTGGAGGAGTGGCATTATGGAATAGTGCCTTGACGGGTGAAGGTGTTTGAGGAGCGGCCTTGTAGTGGGCGGGAGGTCCTGGTCGCTGCTCGACTTTCCTCTCTTCGTCCTTGTTGTTGCCCTTGCGACTGTCGTTGCGAAGGATGCGTGCCCCCCAAGCTCGTTTCTTGGCGGGTTCTTGAGGTACCATACTTGACGGCAGCTGACCCAACACCAATTCAAAGTTCTCGTGTAGATCAGAGTCATTAAAGTCGGAGGCTTGTCGCACCAGAGGTATGGGTCTGTTGGTACTGCTACGATGTTGTTGTTCCGAATCTGCAGCCGCCATTGTTGCCGGATCAAATTGAGCCGGTTCTTCGGGTACTGTATCGCAGTTGGCAACTGCAGCTGCTGCTTTGGGAATTCGCTGGAAGCAATTGGGGCTCTCTCGTGTGAAGCAAGTGGTAGTATCTCCCGTTATAAATGTAGCAGTATCCAAGTTTGTGGACTCATCATCATCCGAAGGAGCAATGCCCCACTGAATGTTTGCTTGGTCTCCAGCAGCAGTAGACTGCTGTGATCTCTGTCGTGTCCACTGGCTGCCTAATGTGATATCCATGGTTCGATGACAGGCCCCATCTACCACACCCAAGACTTGATCGAGGACAGAGGACTTGCAAAAGTTTCTAGTGGCAGTTCTAGATTCGTCTGTTGTGGTACCTTCTTCACCATTATCTTCTTGAATGTCGTCATTGGCGTCGTCATCGTTGTTGTCGTCTTCCGCAAAGTCACCCAAACCAGGCGAATAAGCTGAATAGAAGGATTGCTGTGTAGTTCGCTCGGGTGTCGCCGCAGCAAAGGCGACACCAGATAGTTGCTGTTGAGCACCATTGGAGGGAGGCGGAGTTTCTGCAATGCTGTTGGTAGCATGTGTGAGACTGGCACTAAGGGGATGTCCAGGAGGATGAGGAGATACAGTGCCGGTTAGATCTGACATGACAGTTCCTTCGTCTTGATTGCTACTGCCATTCAGACTGCTGTTGGGTTGCTTGGCATGACGTCTACTGTTCAAGACTACTTGACCGGGAGTGGGTTGCTGCTGCTGCTGCTGCATGCTACGGTTGTTCATGATACGACCGTTCATCCGAGGCTTGTGGTCCCCAAAGAGCTGTAGCTGAATGGCGGGAGAACCATCGACAGGAGACTTGTCATCATCGTCGTCATCGCCGTTCTTGCGGCTACTTTTAAAGACACTCGTCACTAATCGACGGGCTGACATGGCCTTGGGTTTCTCGGGATCTTCCGACCGAACGCCATTGTTACGCTTTCCAAAGAAACCGTTCTTGCGTGGAGTCAACAACTGCTCGGCGTCAGGAGATTTCCTGGTTCCGCGGAGGAGCTTGCCCATGGTTGGATGCAATCGAAACTCTCTTTCTCAATGATCGATACCGCTTGGATAACTAACCAGTACTGTTGGGCCCTGATCCTTAACACTTGCTTTTCGCCCACTGATCAGCTCACGACATGGGTGAGGCGATGGCTCTGTTTCTGGCAACAAGAATCAAGCACCAATGCAAAGAAAAATGTTATGTGAGAGAGAAATTTGGGAGTATTGCCGTTTCCTACCAACCTGAAGATCGATATACCCATGTTAACCGCTGCCGCGCCGACGGGACGAAAACCTCCAAAGGAGAGGGACTGCGCGCGAGCTACCCTTAAATTCGGCGTGTTGAAATTCTTTGTGTTTTCGAGGGAAGCTCATGGGAGTCAACCCCAAGCCATACGGAATGAAGGCAGCAACGTAGCAGACAGATAATGGGACACACTGTCAACTTTGTCTATCCCGGGGAGCCAAGCTATGGCGATGTTGGACGAAATCTACTAGTCTCTTTCTCGACGGGATGTCACCTAACCCCACGTCGGAGGCAGGGATCCCGCTACCGGCACATCGGCAAGCACCGCCGCCCATATTGAGGGTATACAATCGTGGAAATATGCCTCCGCCAATGTAGCAACATTTTTGGGCGGATTGCCTCGGAAGGCAGCAGTTCATCCGTCAACCTGTCATAGTGGCAATTGCGGTTGGCAGCTTTTGCCTGCCTGCATTTCTTCCTTCGCCCGGATAGGTCGTAAGCAGCCAAGAACTGCCTCTTTGCTTGTTGTTGCTTCCATCTCATGCGCCCGGCCAACGTGGTGTTATGTGTTTCACTCTTGATGCCAATGAATGTATCTGTCTACTGGGTGCTCAGACAATGTCACATACATCGTGCATCTCGTACCAGAACACACTCTCTGCACCACGTCCTGCAGTGTAATGCCGTGTCCCAAAACAAAAGGCCACTCTAGCTAGCTACCAAACCTTCTCTATTCTTGCATTCTCCCGTTTCTCTTCCATTTTCTGTTTTCTTTTACACTCGTTATTGTTGTGCTGCTATACTAGTACCTCCTTTGACAAAGAGAGCACCACCGTGCCCATTTCGATCCTTACCCTTCCAGAACTCGTATCCTTGTTCGGTCAACCAGCTCATGACGGCAGATTCCAAGATTCCTCCACCCTTCTGATGAGTCTTGTTGCCGACGTGATGTCCAGTTCCCGTGACAATCCAAACTCCATTATTATTTCTGGATTCGGCCAGCTTTTCAGGGAGTACATGTTCGAGCACGGCCGCATAGGTTTTGGTCGATTGAAAGTGCAAGTCAATGACATCGGTGCGCGGAGTATGACCTGTTTCTTGGTGAATGCGTGATACTTCTCGGTATCGTTCCATCGGATCGGCAATGTGAAAGGCCGAAGCATCGCGACGTTCGTGCGGATTCCAGACATCTTGTGGAATTCGAATGGTGGGGACGGCCCCCACGGAGAATTTGGTTTCCTCGTAGTAATCTTGTTGTAGACTGCGTTGTTGTTGCTGTTGCTGCTGAAAACAAGTCTGATCGTTGTAACCTTGCGAAGCTATATTGGCAAAACTACCAGTGGCTTCAGTCGTCTGCTGCTGCTGTTGTTCCCACGAGGATCCATCGTGAGGATAATACGGTGCCGCGGCGGCAGCGTACTCCTGCTGCTGATGATGATATTGCTGTTGTTCCATTTCGGCGGCGGCTTGTTGCTGCTGTTCTTCCAATTGCACCAACCACTTGTCATTGTATCCGTGCAAAAAGGAACACGCACTTTTTTTGGTGCACCGCCCGCGAACCCAAAAGACACACGTATGCCCCTCCAAATCGTGGGAGAATTGACAGTCGCTGCGGTAGCACCCGGAATGCAACAAATGACGACACACGGGGGGTGCCGTCATGGCACAATCCATAAGGTACTGCGCTACACCGACATCGGAATTGGCCATGGTGGCCGCGTGGAAAATGGCGTCCTGTCCCATGTCGGGGTTCATGTGTGTGAGCATGTCACAGGCCATTTGCAACATGGTGGCAGGATCTTGATGATGATCGAGTTGGTAATAGTAAGGTTGTTGTTGGGGCGCCGCCGTGGGCTGCAAATTCGGAGATACCTTTTTGGAGGAATGGTCCGATTTGAGCGACGATTCGTCAATGCTGCCCTGACGAGATCGTGAAGATCTCGATGATTTTTTGGAAATTTTGGCCGCCACGGCCAGTGAGGGAAACTCGTCGTCGTCCTCCTCGAGTAGGGAATCATCGGCGCTAGTAGTGGTGGTGGATGGACCCGGAATGGGCACTCCGACGGCATCTTCATCGTCAATGGCTCCCAGTAAATCCAAGGGAATCAGATTGTCGGGTTGTACGGGTGAAATGAGTGCCGTGGCTACCAATTCGTTCGCTGTAGTGATATTGTTGCTGGTGTTGTTGTTGGCATTTGTGGTTTGATTGGTTATTGTCGTCGTATCGATTTGCAGATGTATTGCTGTGAATTCGGCACTATTATGAGATTCTTCCACGGCTTCTTCGACATTGACCGATTCGAGCAACTGCAAGGCACTGAGCGCATTTCCACCCGAACTAGGAGGCGATCCAAACGGAGCATGATAGCGAGGAACAATGCCCGTCACGACGGCTTGTGTGATTTTTTGGAGCGTAATCTTGGCATCGACTTGGGTCATGCTGCAATGCTCCTGCAGCAGCTCCACCACGTTCTCATAGTCGGGCAATGCTTCCACTTGAGAGGCTCCCTCGGCCCGCAGCACTCCCGTAATGTAGGCTCCCAAGTACTCGGCATCCACTGCCACATCGGGGGGACTCGCGTCCTCCAACACTTTCACGGCGTAGGCATCCACGGTAGCTTCATCCGCCTGCTGGTGACTACTGGAATTATTCATGGAAGCATTGCCCCAGCTACCGTCGTTGGTAAAGGCGGGGACGGCAGACGCCATGGTTCGTCGTACGGTAGCGTGGAGGTAGACAACAAGCTCTAGTGGCACATGGCTTGATTCACTTTTCTTCCAATACCGGTACTGACCGAGATGAGGCAATGCTAATAGGGGAAGAATCGAATCTAACCATGAATCTGGAGGGAGCGGAACTCTATACTTCTTTTTCGGCCACTACCGTACCAATATCAATGGCCAAAGCGATCGATGCTATCACAGAGGCAAAACTCCTGCTCTGCTACAGCACAACTAACTAAAAGGGTACTGGTACTATTAATAGTAGTTCGGAGGTTGACAACGGCTGCGTCAATGACAATGAATGAAGAGAAGGCGTTGATTGCTACCTTGGACTAATTCGATTGAATTCTATTCTTTTGCGGCAATGCTGCTTCAAAGAAGAGAACCTCCTGTCACGGATTCGATTCCGGCCCGAACAAATCTGCCGTGTTGCACTTCAACTCAAGGTCAAAAGCCAGCAAGCCTACTGACATTCATTAAGATGAAACAGAAGGCTCTCTCTGAACCAGGTCTTTGGCTTTTGCACTCTGCAACGAGGACAAGAGCAGCTTGCCAGCTAGCAAATGGCATGTGTTGCCTTGCTACTACCAGTACCTACAACCGAGCCCATCAATCGTTCTCGTTCAATCTTGCCCGCAATCCAAACTGTGGGCTCTCAAGCCTGCCTACGCTTACAAACAAATGTGACAGGCAATGCATTGGTACGATTTGACTCGACTCGACTCGACTCTGTCCACTTGGTCTAACAACTGCTGCTATAATCATCACGAACAACTCATAGAAATTAGGGGCTACAATATATAGTTTTTCCTAGAGACGAGCATGCAAGCCAATATACCTACACATCGTCCTCAGTGTCCTCGTCATCCGTGTCTTCATCCTTGTCGCTGGAGTGCTTAAGGAGGACAGTCATTGGCAATGCACCATTCTAGAACTTCCTGGTGTCCTCCACCCACAGCAGCAGTTCGTGTGTTTCCATCCCAAGGGCAACTGTTTTCACGTGCCCATTTCAATACATTCAAGTGACCATTTGCTGCAGCTGCACTGCATGTAGTTCCATGCCATGGGCAACCATTCTCATGCAGGAATTTCAATACATCCAAGTGGCCATTTGCAGCAGCTGCAGTGCATGTGACACCATTCCATGGGCAACCATTCTCATGCAGGAATTTCAATATGCCAAGTGGCCATTTTCGGCAGCTGCGAGGCCTGTAGTTCCATCCCATGGGCAACCATTCTCATGCAGGAATTTCAATACATCCAAATGGCCGTTGCAATGCAGCTGATGTAGCAACGGAACCAACTTTTGCCTCGGTGCAAAAATCTGCACCTCGAAGGTTCACACAGCTTCAGGATTTACGGTACTCTATCAGCCTTCCAACGACAAACGATCCGTGACAATAGTCTCCAACAATCTCCGCCAGTATGGCTCTTCATTCTTGTCACGCGATGGCGTGTAGCTCCATAGTGGTTCTACTAGAATGGGTTGTTCGCTCTCTTTGTTGTTGTCAACGAGCCCTGCCTCGTCATATCTTGGAACCAACAGTTGCTGGACGGGTACAATGATTCGTACCGCTGACGTGATGAAAACCTCCTGCCATTCCTGACAGTCCCCAAGAGTCACGGGATTGTTGTCTAGCTGGACAGTGAGCCCGCACGAACGGGCATGGAGGAGTACCAAATGTCGTGCCGATCCAGGCAAGACATTCGATGCGGCGGTTCGTAGGATTCCTCCCTTGTAAACGAAAAAGGCGTTGGATGTGATGCCTTCCAAAATCTCCCACTGAATGTTGTTGTTTGTGTGATTGTGGATGTCGTTGTAATAGGATGATGGTTGTACCATCAAGACTTCACCGATACCTTCCTTTTTGAACGAATCTTCCAGGGGCTTGCGCTGACGACACCAGGACGACAACTTGGCTGTAGGGTGGAAGGCGGTACGTGTAGGCCACGGAATTTGTGTTCCCGACACCATGGATGGTGTTGGAAGAGCTATTACGACATTGGTGGGATGTGGAAGATTGTAGCACTGGGATGGAGTGCAAGTGGAGAAAATGTGGCCCTTGACAAGTGGTTTGAATGTGTCTTCGCGATGATTGATTGTTTGCCACAAAAGGGTCAGCATGGCGGTAACTGTGGAATTTGTGACGTTATCGCTGGTGGTAACTTGCTCCGAAAACACACTTTCTGCCTTGGAAAGGAGTGCCTTCATGATCTGGCTGGTTTCATTGACAAGCACATCAAAATCAACCAATTCATCATTGACACCTTGAGAAGATCTCTGTGATGATGATTGCAGCAAAGATTGATAAGATTCTCGCAATCGCTGCAAATGAAAGTCCCAACCCCAAATCATCCAAGGAAAGTCGTTCAAATTATTTGTATTGTTCTCTGATGCCCATGCTCTCGGGACAAAGTCGCAGCGCACCACCGTGTAGGCGCCTGGCTGTTGGTACTGGTCTTCCCAGAACTCGAGCCATTCTCTGGGAGACGCCAAATTATACGCAGATTCAACATGTTTGGGATGCTTGGAACTCGTCACTTTTGTGTTGTCACATTCTTGGAGGCAGATTTGGCAACTATTAGCAGTACCGCTAGCGAGACTTGCTTGTTGGCTCCACCCCATATTGAGTGCAACAGATTCTGTGGATGCCAAAGAATGTCTTCGTCCAGTCTGCCAACGTCTTGTGAGAACAAGAGGAGTAAAAGACTCCACAAAATGAATTGGGCGATTCACAGAACCATCATTGTGAGTAAGGATAACTAGCAGAAAGAAGGGAAGAGAAAGGCGATGCCGACAGCAGAATGTCGCTATTGCTCGCATAACTGAGCGAAAACCTCGACGCCAATTGCCCATCTCCCAAGGGAATGCAACACTTTCACTCAAACCTAGAACTACCAAGTTGTCAGGGTATGAATGGGATGCAACATGCTACCCACATCCAGGCACATGCATGATGGCGGTGTTGTGTGGTGGGGTACATGTAGTTGATGCTTGATGCGCCCATTTTGAGTCCTGAGTGAGTCAACAGTCACGACCTCGATGGGGGCAGGCCGGCCTCGCCTTGCATCGGCATGGTGCCACCCCCACCCCCTTTGGACCGAAACCTTTTACTCAATCTCTCTACCGGTATGGGCTGGACATGTTGTTGGGAGATGAAGATACTCCATGCTAGCTAACTACGGTGGCACTAGCTAGCTAGTAGACTGCCTTTAGCTAATAGCTAGCTACACTTGCTCAATTTGCCAGAATCGAATCGTCCATATTATTACAGAACTGTGCTAAATACAGATCGAAATCCCTCGTAGGCACCAAAAAAGACAAATCCACCAATGGAGATCCACATGACACGAGGTTGTACCCCACTCCAAAACTTCATGGGAGATTCTGCCATGGTTTTCTGGACGACATCCATGGCATTTCTATAGTGATTGCCGTGTTGGTCCACTCCCAACATGAGTCTCGTTTTGACTACATCCAGTGGTGTCGTTGCTCCTGCAGCAATCGCCCCCGCAAATGATCCACAGGCCGCTGCTTGCACGGGTGACACGGCGACACCTTGATAGTCGCTCCAGCTTAGTTTGAACTGTTCGTAGAGTGGAAACTGGATCATGGCAAAGGGGATTTCTCTCATCAATGTAATGGCGTAACCACGGTACAGACCACCAAAAATGGGAGCCAAAATGTTGTGTTGCGTGCCGTGTGTTTCCTTTAATACCATTTGGATTGTCGTTTTGAGTCCTCCACCAGTGCCTCCTGTGCCAGTTTGCATCTTGGCTTTGATCACTTCGGTTGGGACGCGGACCAAACAAGCGGCTGATTCCCCCACACTGGCAGCTGCCATGTGTGAAATGGCACCTTGATCAGGTTGAATATTGTAACGTTCTTGCAAGTCAGAAAATACTGGTTTTAGTGTCTGTTTCACGCATCAATTAAAAGCGAAGAAAGTGAGTGAGTGAGTGGATTGGCAAAATTGGTCGGGATATGAGGTGCACTTTTTCTTCACAGACAGCCGATGGGACAACCACTCACTTCATAAGTAGAAAAGAAGAGTGCAGCACCTGGAGCAGAACCAATCGCTGCTGCCCCCAAGCCATTGTAGATACCACGAAACCCTCCCGCCTTGGCAAATCCCTGAGGAGATTGAAGTCTTGTCTTGAGGGTATCAATGGGAAACAAAGCCACATCCACACTTGTCCCGGCTAAGCCTCCACATATCAGTGCCGATAAGAAATTGCTGGCGTCGTTGGTACTCTGAATGCTGTCTTCTGCCATTTTGACTCTATTACCAGCATGGCGATGGAGTTGGAGGGTTGTGTGTGGACGACAGCTTCGGCATCTTTCGCGGTTGTTCTCACTTGGATAGTATCCGTGACTCTCAAGTCATGGATCTCGACCAATGTCGTCAGACTAGCTACCAGACGAGACGCCTCGACGCTAGACTACCGTAGTCGACTAACGTACCGTGGACCTGGCCGTAGTTGACTAACGTAGACCCCCCAAGTTCGTTTTTGGGGGGTCTACTAGCTAGCTAGAGCTGGCTAGTCGAGGGGGTCACGGCGTCACGGCGTCACGGCTTCTGAAGGAAAGAAAAGGCGGAAGAGGACAACACCGGGCAACGTTGACGATGAACAACAGCAGCGCGAAAGAAATCTCTCGTGATGAGATGCTTGCGAGCTTCTTGACAGACGAAGCTCTGAATGATGTGACACTAAAGGGAAACGATGGAGTGGAAGTCTTTGCCAACCGGTTCTTGCTGTCGGCACGCAGCCCTGTCTTTCGTGCCATGTTCCTTGGCAAATTTCGAGAGGCGTCCTCCCCAGTGGTGGAGATTGACTTTCGAGGATGCGTCTTGCAAGCTGTTGTGGAGTACATCTACACAGATCGTGCAGGGATGACGAGCTGCAAAAAGCGCAAGAACGAGGATGGCCAGGTTTTTGATTCCCAGCGCATCCAGTCGCTGGTGTCATTGGCGGCTGCTGCGTCTTTCTTTGAACTTTCTGGCTTGGGAGAGTCTGTTCTCAAGAAGTTCGAACATATTTGGGGAATGTACCCCCTGTCATCGTTTGAAATCTTCCAGGCGTGTCGAATGGCGGGTCCTTCTATTCCAACTGCCATGCTGGGAAAAGCAAGAACTCGTGTGCGAAGGACTCCAGCAGATTGCATCACAAAGGATCGTATCCATTGTTTGAGCCCTGATGTCCTGGAAGAAATTCTCAAAGATCCCGAGATGCAAATGTCTGAATGCCAGCTCTTTCGAATCCTAAGCCTTTGGGCTCAAGGCACTTTGCAGGGTGAAGACCGCAAGGGCATTGCGAAGGATCTGTCAAAGCACATTCGCTTTGAAAAAATGGACCCACAGATATTGTCAACGACAATCACCGCATCAGGTCTAGTCGCTTCTGAACAGCTATTGGAAGCGTACAAGCATCAAGCCTTGGAAGCTAGAACGAAGTCAAAACCCCCAACCTTCTCGGCGAGTAGAGGAATTCCTGAGACTACGACATGGGCTGTTCAACCTCGACTTTCGTCTGGAAATCCAGTAGAGATTTTGGTACAAGGAGCAGGCTCCGAGGCTGTCAATGGCATTTTTGTTCGCGATGGGACCTTCAATGGACACTGTCGGTACATCAAGCCAGGCACCTACGGAGAGGCCTCTTGCCTTTTTTGGCTATACAGATGGAACAGTGGCAGAAAGGAATTCTGGGTTATTTCCATCATCGCAGTTGGGGAGATGCCAGGATCTTGTCCTCGAGAAGAGAAAGACTTCTACAAGTAAGTGCAGCATGAGTCGAGTCGAGTTCTGTGAGCCTGTATCTGCTGTCAACCTGACCCTTTGTGCTCCCGCATCTCACAAGGATGGAAGGCTACGGTTCTGATCCACCTTCGTCGGGGTGGGAAAAGGCGGACCCGAAATATGGGGTTGAACCATCTCCAAATTTGCTTAGCAGATACTACAAGAAGTAGAGCAACATCATCGAATGATGATGCTACTTTAAGTACAGTTACTGCACACCCAACCTGATGAATGCAAATTGAGGCCGACATGTCCTCGCAAGTACATGGAATGAGAGAGAAGAAACTACTGGTGTCGACAGCTAGCTAGACTAGTGGATTAGTTGAGATGTCTACAAAACGTAAAGGTAACCGGGATCTACTTTAGACGCTTCAGGCTCATTGTCGTAGTGCTTGTTCCGGCAATTCGTACATGTGTATTGGCACACTATAGTTTGAATGCAATCGAGACTGTAGATGGTCAGTCAGCAGCTGCGTTGCACTGCCAGGTTGATTCTGTTTGGTACCAGAGGGACCCACCTTTTCCAGCGCGTTGCTGCCCTGGAAACAATCATTGGGATCTGAGGATGATTCTGTTTGCAGTGCTCAATGGCAATACCGCTTCTAAAAGGGGGCAAGTGATCCGAGCTGTACTGGTCAAACCAAGACAAATGAGGAGGAGCAAGCTACCCGTATGAATGCAAGGAGAAGGGAGGTGATGAGGACGAGGTGGTGGTTGGAGCATCTCAGGAAACGCAAGTTCCAGTGGTGAGGTTGCTTCAAAGGCTTGACCGCCTTGTGTCCAGTCCGGGATTGCCACCGGACAACAAGTTCTCCAAGGAACCATGACACCACCGCTGCAGCATCCTGGAAATACATTGTGGCTCGGTCGTACCATAGGGAGCCACCTTTTCCAGCGCATTGCTGCCCTGGAAGCAATCGTTGGAATTCAATCTGAATGCGTTTCATCGTGGTGTACCGGCACGGGTACCTTCAGGCAGATCTCCATTATAGAGCTATCGAATCACATACAGGAGAGGCTAACTCATTCAGTTATTCTACAGTATTTTCTTGAGCCGCAAGCCTCAACACGGACATCCACATACATTACCAGGAGGCATTGCCTCTCCTGGCTGATGCAATTGTGGGCGCTGCGAACCAGAGGAGTTTGTTTGGTACCGGTTGCTGCTACAGCTATTGGCAAAGCCCTTTTAAGAAGCGTACTCGTAGTCTCCACCGTAGCTCGAGATCGCTCCCGTGCTCCCAATGGCTCGCTTCAGCGAGAACATGTTGTTGTTTTGATTGTGGCGACGTTGCCGGGTCTTGTGTTCAATGCGACGGCTGAACTCTTTCATCATGGCGTAGTGCACGTTTCCATCAATGTAGTGGCGCTTTTCGGCCCAATCAAGTAAATTGGCTACTTCGGTCTCGACCCCATTCTTATCTTCCGACTTGTGCAACATGATAGCTCTGTCAGGCTTTCGCTTCACTCGTAGGGTGCAGATATTCTGACGCCAGGGTTCGCCGTCAATCTGAACAGCAACCTTCCGTTTGATGTGAATTGTAGCTTCACGACATTGACACAGGCGCTGCGCACTAGACAAGCCGACCCGAATTTGGCCCAAATGAAAGGCGCCGCGAACCGAGACAATGTCCAGGATTCCGTCCTGACAGCTACTTGGGTTGTCGCATGCCGTCACGTGTTGCCAGCGTTGGTGATCGTCCGTCAAGATTTGGCTCAAATCCTCCACGCTGTCGATGCGAGGCATTTGACCGTGCTCCGAACGACGCAGATCCCTGCATTGAAAGAGAGACTGTGTGAGCAAGGGGAAGCGCGTCGACGAAGAACAGAGAAGACAAACTCGAGTAAGTGCAATTCTCGACTTACTCGAGACTTCGTGTCCGCCTCAAATGTCGGGGTTGCGTCCTGGCCGCCCCCAGTGTTGGACTGCCATTCCCAACTTCCGAAGACGAATGGCCAAAACCATGGCGAGGATCCTGCTTTACACCTGTGGCCCAAAAAGGAGCACCACCCGAGTACGAATCGATATTTAGCAAAATGATTCCTTGAGAATCTGGAGGCAGAGGCACCTCCACTCCATCCGCAATAAGAGTGATTTCGTTGGGTAGGTTCATCGAGGTGGCCTGCGAAAAATGATTCAATCACAACGTCAAAAGTCAGGTTCAACCCTTCGGACAACTTGATACATTATGTGCTTGCTCTTGCTCACCTTGATGATATCCTCCGCTCCAAAGACACCATACCATGCTTTGTTTACAACCCTCGAGAAGAAGAGCTGGGGCCTGCTTTCTCTCAACTAATCGGGTGGTCAGAAAGGAGCCACGAGGTGAGAGATTGGCCCCGCAGCATACAAAATACTTCAGAGAGATTCAACAAACGTACCATATGAACTTGCAAGGCGGCTTGGGCATCAGCGCCCACTCCCAAGTAATTGAAGAATGATTTAACTTCTTTCACCTTGCCCTTTCGGTTTTCGATGGACAACTCCCACTGGTCCAGCAACGAAATGTACGAGTCGGCGACATCTTCCAGAATACCAATCAACGATTCATTGTTGTATCCGCCACCCCATCCATGAATTCGTGCTAGATCATTGCCCGTTCCCAACGGCAAAATGGCAATGGGAGGCCACTTTCGTTTGAGGTTGAGTTTTTCCAGAGCCGCAATGATCCAACTGACAGTTCCATCACCGCCACAGACCAGGATTCGTAGATTGCGAAAGGCGCTGCTGAATGAATCCAAGACAGTCTCGGGGCTTCCGTCTTCTCCGAGATCCCATACTTGAATGGGATTGAGCAATCGCCGCAGCTGCATGATCAGGAGGTGTCCTTGTTGAGGTCCGGAACGCGAATTGACAAAGACCAATAGAGGTGTGCAACTCGAGTCTGGCAGGAATTCATCTCCGACAATATAACCATTCTTGTCGGGTAGCGGCGCATCCAATTTCATTTGCCTCAAGGATTCTTGGTTATTGGCCGTCTCAAAAAAGAAGCCCGAGAAATCAGAATCAAATCGTTGGACTCGCCCCGGAGGATTGTCAGGGTCGTCGGAAGAATCTTCAAACGATCCGCTATCGTCTTCCCGACTATCCACTTTTTGGATTGTGCCGTCTTGTTGTCCACTGGTATGATTTTCATCGTAATGATTGCGCTGAATCGTGGTAGCCTCCCCGGAACTATTACTAGAAGCCGAATGATATGGAGGAGACAAGGGGTTCGCTGTGGATTGTGGTGGCAGCGCATTGCGGCTTGTGATGGTAGACCGATAGTTTTGAAGCAAATCCTTCTTTTTGCCACCGCCAATGGATGGCCTCAAGGCGTTTGTTTTGGTCGTGGTAACAGACAATGGTAGTCGTAGCGCCGGAATATCGTCCGGTTCTCCAATTACTCTGTCCTCTTGGGACTGTGTAGGCGTCGAATAAGTCAACAAACTCGTCTCACTAGGACGTCTTTGTTTTGGATTGTCACTACTATCCAGTTTCAGAGGAGGCGGAGATGACTGGGGTTTATTGCTGGTGCTCTCGACCAACGGAGACTCTTTCTTTTCTTCGGATGCGTCCATCATGCCTGTGTATGATTGAGAAAAGGAGTTCTCCCATGCTAATACCGGTTGACTGTCTGGTCGTTCCGGCGTTGGTGCTTGTTGTTGTTGTTGCTGTGTGACCACGGAGGGTTGACGATGTGATGTGGACGTCACACTGGCGCTGGCTTTGCTTTCATCATCATCGTCATCATCTTCGTCTTGCAGATCTGCCTGCGATTTGGACCGTCGGATTTGTCGTATTCGCAGCACTAGCACAATCCACCGGATGAGTGCCATTCCCGCACCCATGTAATCATAAGTCAGAAAAGACTTGACGAGTGCTAGAAAATTGTTGGCATAGAGCTCCAATCGCCTGGCTGGTTGGTCTTCATCGCTTTCTCGCTCTCGCTTTTTGCGGCGTCGTTTCTTTTGCTTCTTCTTACTACTATTGCTGGAAGTAGTACTAGTAGTAGCAGCTTCAGTGGCGGCTTTTTTGGCGGCAGCCGTTCGCTTTGGTTTTTCGACGAGTTTGCAGTCGGGCGGCAATAGGAGTCGATTGTATCGTGACATGCGGATTTCATCATAGTTCTTTTCAAATCGTTCGGCATCGGTTTCTTCCTTTTCTACCATGACGCGGCCCGTGCAAATTGTCGAGTGGCGACGATCAAAGAGAGACGACGAAGAGGAGGGTCTTGTATTCTTGACTTGAACAGAAGGATGGAGGGATATGGAAGAATGGCGTCTGACAAAGTTGGGAGAACGGAAACTGTGTCGCGTGGATCCCATCATGGATCGTCGACGGCGATCGTTCTTGCTGTTGCTTCGTGGATTGGATGGTGCGAGGAGGAAGAATGACACGAGCAGCAAGACTCCACTAATGGCGAGATTGTGAATCAACTCCCAAAAGAGCGGTTTGTCGTCTCGATAAGCAACCCAAAGAGGGAACAACCACTCCAGCCAATCAATGGTTTTGCGCCACATGTCGACGATATCTGTTTCAATCTCCTTCTTGATGGTACCAGCGGCTGTCTCCACAAAACTCTCGACAGCTTCAATCAGCTCTTCCTCTTCTTGGATCGCCTCGGCGGTCGTTTCCACGTCCAACAGACTCATGGTGGAACTTAACTCTTCTCTCCACACACAAACAACCCAAACTTTCAATGTTTTGGAAACTCGCTAGATAGAGCCGGCCTTGCAGAACACCAAAAGTTTTGGAAGAAGTTCTGTCTCTTCCCCGCTTAGTCGGAAGCTTTCACGGTATGGATAATCGAAAAAGCCTCGTTTTCGGCCAATGGCATTGTCGTGTGTCTCCCTCCAAAACCCCGATCGACTTGATATGCTTTGTTAGACAAGGTAGATAGATAGATAGACAAGCTGCAACTCTCAACTCGGACGCAATTGCAAGACAAAGGATGGAAGAAGAAGAATGAGGGTACGCCGATGGGAGCAGAAGCTTTGGAAGACCAATTGCCCCAATGAGAAGGAAGCGGCAACAGTCAATTTTAGCAGTGGCTTCTTGATGAGTGAGTGAGTGAGTGAGGCAAAAAAGGACAAGAATTCTTCTTTTAAACCCTACTTTTAAGGTTAAAGGTCCGCGGTCGCGACGTTGGCTCGTGCAACTTTTCAACCGTGCCAATGCTGAGGCGCGGTCCTCAGCCCACAATTTGGATCTGCTCCAAGCCAGCAAGCTGCCACGCACAGAAACCTTGGCCCAACATCATACCGGCACCGCGTAGACTGGTGCTTGTCAGGGATTGGGTGTCTGATAGTGTAGTGATTCGATGCCGTAATGATCCTCAGTGGATCCTCTCGTTGTTTCCCTTGCTTGTCCTCCCCATTTCCTTTCATTATCGAAAGAGCTCTCGAGCAGGGCGCATTACATATTAAAAGTCTCCCAGTCTCTAATCTCTCATCACTCCTACTAGCTATCTAGATCTAGTCCCTTTGCAGGTAGCTTCTACAACACTGCTGTCAATGGTGGTGAGCTGTGCAAAACCATTGACACGCCAAAAAGTGGATCTACACTCTACACTACCTAGCTATAAGCTTGAGTTCCATTTGCTTGATACACAGCACACCATCCATTACGTACGGTAGAGAGAAAAGCTACCAGTACTGTAATGTAGACAAGCTCGTTGCTTGCTGAAGGCTTTCACAGAGGGGCGTAGATTCTTAAACACAAGGGATGGTCATTAGCGTTAGAATTCACGGCGAAAAGTCCCAAAAGTTTTCAGCCACAGCTGCGACGTTCCTTTGTTGCGAAGGTTCACATGCATCTATTCATCCCCACTGGATCTATAGCTCCTTGCTAAGGTAGCTAACTGGCTAGTCGAACCTATCGAAGACACTGCATCAAGTAAGCCAGACCTGGAGACGCTGAACGGCTGAAAATTGGAACGATGAGATACCCACATCCGACCAGATATCGTTACATCGGCAATTTTGTTGGCTCTCGGGGCCTGCCAATAATTCGACCAGGGACGAGGCGACTGGTTTCGCCTTCACCATTCTTGATAGGATTAGAAGAAAGAACTGGTGGTTTCCGTCATTATTTGTCGTCTACTGCCACTACAAGCCAGACGAATCTCCAATCGATCCGAGGCGTGCATACACAAGAACCTTTTCTGGCCACCCGATACTACACAACCATCTCTGGTAGTGACCTGGAAGAACAGGAGAGACAGGATGTGCGATTATCATCCTCTGCTCCAAACAATGGGGACGATTTTTCTAATTCTCTGAAATTGCACCAGAAGAATCCATCTCAGACCCAAGTGGATGAGCTGCATCCTCAAGTGCAAGAATTCATTGAAAAAATCAAAGCCATCAATCCACAATCTGTTCGTGACGAAAAAATTGTGGTGCAAGTATTGGAAGAATCCTGGAATTGGTTGGAAGAACAGCAACAGGTTGGCAATATGGCTGCTACGGTCACATTGACCGAATCGATGCAGCATTTGCTGGATTTATGGATTGCCATGCACCTGCAAAACTCCACTCGTCCCCGTACTTGTCGACCCTTTGAAATTCTGCTCGCAACATGGTCGTTGGCGGCGGATGCCCAGATCGCCTTGTTGGAAACAACGGATGATAGCACCACGTTTCATCCAGCCAATCAAGCCATGAACGTATTGGTGCGTTGGTACGAACTGTTGGGAGGGCATGTCGAATTGAAACCGGTCATAAACGACTACAACCTGGTATTGGGAGTTTTTTCCACGGTTTCCACCCATCTGGCACAACAAGAAGGACAGCAAGATCAGGTGGTCTTTTTGGCGTCAGAGGCATACGACACGGTTCAGAATCTCAATACGTGGGGATATACTAGCACACCCACCGTGGAAACCAACGCACACCTCATTCGCTGTTTGACCAATGTCGTGACGGCATTGGCACCCGTGGCTGCTCGATCCCAATATTACGATGAACACGACAAAAGTGTGATTGTCATTGACAAGCTCAAGACAGCTTGGACACAACTGCAAGACACAATGAAGGATGGCGTACAGGCCGAAGCAACTAAACAGTTTGGTGATCCCAACAACTCAAAATTGTCAATTTTTGACTTTGATACCACCCGAAAACAAAATCCAGAAGCACTCTTTTTCTTTTGCCAAGCTCTTTGCGATGCACTGGTAGCTTCCAAGGAGGTAATACAAGCCAACCGACGAATACCCGCGCAATACGGGTTGCCAGTGTCATCCAAAAAGGACGAAGAGCCATGGCATAGTTGGGGCCGGGCACTCGTGGAGTACATCATGGATCATCCCGAACGATCGGCGTCCATTCTCCAATACGCACAACGGGACAGCAGTGTGTCACCGGCAATCTACCAAACCTTAATAGACGGCTGCGGAGCATGGCAGTCGTTGCTGTTCAATTCTGTAAGGGATTCTCCTGGAGCAGTTGCTGCGTCTGAAGTCCACAATATCTTGGAACGCATCAACGCCTTGACTCGAAGGTTTGGTGGTGACAGTGAGCTAGAAAACTATGTTGCTCTTATCCCCATGTATTTTGTGACCATCCAAGCGTGGGAATCTGTAATATCCAACACGGCAACAAGCCATGACGACAAAGAGACTGCCATGCGCATCCAAAATGAAGTCTTGCGCCAATGGTGGGATCAACATGAGCGTTTGACAGCTCGATATGACATGGAGGTGCAATCAATGGTGGGAGAAGGCATCATGGGGGGCAATCCAGGCTTGTCCAAGGCAAAATTCCAGCAGTTGCGACAGGAAACCGCACTATCTTCCAGTTTTCTCATGAATGCGCTGTTTGAGGTGGGCCATGTAGAGAAGGTCAACGACATGTGGAAGGGAATGACATCACGCGAACTTCCCCTCGATGCAACCTCCTATGGTATTATCCTCAAGGCTCTCGCGGATAGCAAGCGACGGGATGCGGCACCAACAGCTCATAAGATATTGCAGCAAATGAGAGCTGATGGCAAGGCAATTCACTCCAATCACTATGCCTCTGTTTTGGTGGCGTGGTCACGAAGCCGTGACAGCAAAGCGCCTCAACGGGCACTTAAAGTTTTCAGTCAGCTTTGCAAAGACTACAGCTCTGTGCTGCAACGCGACGACAGCGATGCAGGCGCATTGAAACCCAGGGCAGTGCACTATGGTTCTCTGCTGTCAACCTTGGCAAGATGCCGCGAGCGACATGATGATGTGGATTCTGCTACCTTGGACGTGGTACACGATATGTTGGAACACTCTCCCCCAGAGCAACGGAGTGAGGTGGCTTGCAATGCTGCCTTTAATGCTCTTGCAAGAGTGGCTACACTCGACGCAGCGTTGTTGTCGCAGCGCCTTCTCGATGACATGCATTCTGTCTACGATAGATTCAAAGACCCTACCATGCGTCCGCAGATGTTTGACTACGGGAATTGCATGCACACATGGGCACGGGCAGCAGCAAAGGGGCAAGCAGGAGACGCTTACTTGAAGATCAAAGAGATCCTCGTGCGTGTGGAATCAGAGTTTCTGGCTTCTGGCAAAGACCCGGCGCTTCTCCCAAGTAACGTTCAGTATCTTGCACTTGTCAACTCGATTCTGAGCACAGGGCGAGTGGATGTCGGGGATCAGGCAGAAGCGGTCTGGCGGGAAATGCTGGAAAAGGCGGCCCAGGGGAATGCCGAGCCACCGCATGAATGGGTTTGCAACAAAGTGATCGAAGCACTCTCAAAATCAGGTGGACAACACATCGGTGAAAGAGCGGAAGCGATTCTAGAAACCATGAAGGTAGCATTCGACGTCGAGGGCATCGTTGAAGCCAAACCTAAAATGTATGCTTACCGCGGTGTCGTTCAAGCCTGGAGCAGGAGCACGAATGCCAATAAAGCTGCTCGCGCCGAGCGTCTTTTGGCAGAAATGCACAATTTGTTCGATAATGAAGGGAATCTGGACGTGAAACCAGACCCCTGGACCTATTCTGAAGTTTTGAATGCTTGTGTTCACACACCCGTATCTGCCAATGCAAGCCAACGTGAAAAGGCCGTGCACGTCGCGCTGCAGACAATCGTCGACATGCACAAGCGGCAAGATGTTGTGTATCCTTTCGCCTACAGGTTGGCATTTGATGCCATCAGTCGCAACGTTGAGGATCCAAAAGAAAGACAAAGAATGGCGTCCGCCTTGTTTGAACGGTGCTGCAAGGAAGGATTAGTGGCATCCAACGTCGCTCAGGCACTCAAGCGTTGCTCTCCAACCCTCTACAAGAGACTTCCGACGGCTTTACCTGACCAATGGAAACGCAATGTAAAAGAGACTATGGCTGCCGTCGCCAATAGACCTCACCGTAGACATAGAGCATAGACAAGTTAAATTCGAATAGAGCGTTACTATAGCTTTGAATTTTGTTTTAATTTATGACAGGAGGATTCTTCTCTTATTGGTCGGGAGTTCCAGGTCTTGGAGCTCGGTTTCTCACGAAAACCAGCACTCGGGATTCTTGATCTGACTTGAGGCTGATCAATTTCGAAACTTGGACAGCGGTCTGGGAGTGATGATATCAAATCAAGCAAGAAGAAGTAAGAAAATATGGTTGAAGACCGCAGACTTCAAAGTATGACAGGGCAAGCTTACCATGGTTGTACAATCCTGTCCATCCACAGAAACAAGACGATCACCCACTACCACTCTGTCAGCAAGTATGCTTGTGTCCTTGATAGCATGGACAATTGGAAAGCCACCATTGGGAGTATCAATCACCATTCCCAGCTTTCCTGCCGGGACAGTGATTTCAAACGGCACCTGTTGCTCAGATTCAATATATTGCTCCTCGAACGAAGCATCATCTGAAAAGAGGGATTCGCCCATTTGTGAAAACCCAAGTTTGGATTGGCTACCCGTCTTATTGGACGATTCACGTGTCATAGATTCTTCCGAGTGTAACCTAGACCTTGTTTCTTCCGACAACATCCGCGACCGATCTCCTTCAGACATCATACGATCTCTGGGTGCTTCGTTGGTGCCGAAGTTATGGTGCTTGAGATATTTGTAATCGTAATCATCGGCAACACTGAAAAGGCAGAACGGGACCCACTGTTGGCGATGCTGGTACGGGCGGCATCAACGAGGAAAACATATCAACAAGTGCGTACCTTGCCGTGCGTTCGTCCCTTTCCATTGTATTAGTCATCATACCCATCATGGGAGTGTAAACCGGGTCACCCAGGGTGCTTACATCATCTGGGTTGTGCTCCACGACAATCTCGCTGGAAACAGAAAAGAAAGAGAATTAGCTCATTGTGACAAACTACCAGCAACCGCAAAACAAGCACAGGCGAAGCAATTACTCACGTTGTCACTCCATTTGCGTTGGACTCGGTGTTACCAGTGACCGGGTCGCTTTTGCCAAGTGAACTTGGCTGCTTGCTCATATAGTGCCTCCAGAGGAAGAAGATGATAAGGAGCAATAGAGCCCCACCTCCAGCGACAGCACCAATAATGATAAAGACTGTCATGTCGCGAGTTTCTACTTCCTGGCCGCTCTTGTCCGTGTTGGTTTCTTCTTCGGGAATGATTACTCCACCAACGGAGACGGATGCCACTTCATTCAAGTTTTGAAAGGCTCCATCGTTGGTACGTTTCAGGCTGTTTACGTATTCTTCCCGATCCTCTTCCGTGTTGAAAGCACCGGCAATCAAGGCTTGAATATCGTGATCCGTTTTCTCTGACCGGAACGATACAGCTGTATCAAAGGCAATCTTGAGTGGTGCTGGCTCTTCAGCTGCAGTTGCTGCTTCTTGTGCTCTCCGTCGTAGTAGTCTGTTACCAGGCTCTGCCTGCAGTGCTGTAGCTGCTGGTGTCGCGGAATCCACGTTCACTTCGGGTGCTTGTCGGATAATGTTAGTCCACACTCGCAAGTCATCCATGGGAGGATCCACACCAGCTGAAACAATGGACTGGCGAATGTGCGTGGCAGTGATTTGTTCCCACGTAATAATGGAAAGTCCTTCAAAGACATCCGCGTATTTCAGCGTCATGACAACACGATCTCCCTCGTTCTGCAATGACAGCGATGGTGCTTGAGATGGAGGATTGGAGGGCAACCTGCTGGGTGAAATAGATGGAGACCAGCTGGGAAGATCTGTCGGCGATACCGATGGCAGATTCGTAGGACTGACCGAAGGATCAAAGGAAGGGAGCGAAGAGACAGTGGGGCGTGGTGTTTTCGTGGTAGGAGCAGGGGACACTGTTGGAGTGGAGGAAGGCAAAAGTGAAGGACTGGCGGATGGCGTCTGGCTCGTTGGTTCTGGTGTCGATGCAGACGGTGCACTGCTTGGTTCAAGACTAGGACTCCCAGTGGGGCTTGGTGTAGGTGGAGTCGAAGGAAAAGGCGTTGGCAACGGTGTTGGTCCCACTACAGGCTGCATGGTTGGGTAAGCAGATGGCGACGACGTTGGCTCTGGGCTTGGTTGCACGGAAGGTTCCGAAGTGGGACCCTTCGTGGGCGTTTCCGTGGGTCCACTTGTTGGACTCGAGGTGGTTGGTCCAGCTGATGGAGGGGGAGATGGTGAGGGTGTTCCAGCGTTTGTGGGAGGAGAAGTCGTTGGCTGGACCGTGAGCGGCCGCCGCGATGGACTTGGTGATGGCGGCCCAGTTGTTGGTCTTGGGGTAGGACGGGAAGAAGGGTTGCGCGTGGGATTGGGTGTTTCAATGGGAACTGGAATTGGATTTGTCTGTGTGCTCGTAGGTGCATCTGTGGGTGGATCCACAGGTTGACCACCGGTAGGTGGACTTGTGCTGGTGGTAGGAGTGATCGTTGATGGTTCTTCTGTAGTGCTGTTTGTGGAATTGGAGCTGATAATCGTTGGAGTTGTTGTTTGAATGGGCACCCCGCCGGCTGGTCCAGGAGTATCCTGTCGATTGTTAGTGTCCAAAGCTGTTGGTGCCAGAGTCACAGGGTTCGCCGGATCTGAGGTTGGAAGCGCGGTCTTTGGGTACAACGTGGGCTTCCCTGTCGGCGATGGCGTCGCGACAAAGGTATTGTCAAAGGTTGGCGGAATTGTCATCGTGTCCATCAATGTGGGAGAAAATGTAATGGAGTTGACAGAATCAGGCTCATCGCCTGTAAATTGAAACTCGGTTGGCTCCATAGTAGGCAGTTCGTCGTCGCCAACGGGAACTTCCAGCCCATCAGCGTCTTGTCGATCTCCTGCTTCTTCTGTGGGTGTTTCCGTGAGTTCTCCCGTTGGTTCCAGTGTAGACACCATGAGAGTTGATTCCAAAGTGGAATCCAACGTTGGTTCGTAAGAAGGCCTTCGACTAGGGAAGTCTGTGGGCGGGGGCGGGGCGTTTGAGGGTGGAACAGGTAGGGCATTTAGAGGGGGCAGAATTTTCGTTGGCGGTGGAGGACGGATTGTTGGTGAAGGGGTCAGTTCTTCCATTAATTCTGTATCTATTGCTGTTTCGAAGAACGTTGAACCAAGCGTGTCCTCCAGGGTAGATTCTACTGTCGGTACAAGTGTACCGAGTGGACCAGAGGATGGAGCAGGAGGAAAGGATGGAGCCACTGTCGCCATACTAACTCCTCCCCTTCGATGATTGGATGCCAATACTAGCAGTAGCAGTATGGATTCTGGAGACAGATTGATAAAGGACAGCCTTTGTCCATGATGCGTCGCCCGTCGTCGTCGGCGTCTCTGTCTGTTTCTCGTGACACAATCGTCAGTTTCAATATCGTGGATTATTGCTTGCGCCATGGTGCTCTCTATCTATCTGGCAAATGCAATGGTAGTTCTAGATCGAGAATCACAAAAGAGTAAGGGGATTCTTTCTTTCTTAGCGAAGATAAAATAAATTAGATGGTGTAGAGGACCAGCTTTTCAATCGCCTTAGCTCAAAGAAGACCTGCAGAGTATAGCACAACGGAAGGACAACAGTATGAGACAACATACCAGAACAGGTTCATCCGATCACCAACATGTGTAACACACTCGGCACTCGGCACGGTACACGGCACACCGAACCCACCGAGCGAATAGGTTTTTGGCCCGAACTACTCAGCCTCAACCAGTGCCGAATTGACGGGCAAGGCAAGCAATGATCAATCTATGCATCTACAACACATCTACACCTCCTTACCTGCTGTATGTGGTAGACCAAGTCCAAAGCCCTTCAGAAGCAACAACAGTTGGATATGATGATCCTTCCGAGTTGGTTTCGTCCCTGTACCATTGTTGGCAATGGCAACGATCGAGAAATCGGTGATCGCCAAGGCAAAGCAGGCGAACTGACAAGGTGCGAAGACTCAAAGAGTTAAGGCGTCATGTTTCAACGGATTAAATAAATCGGTATGAGTTTGCGTTTTTAGGGACGGCTCCGAGCGCGCCTTCAGAGGTGAATCGTGCAACCAAGATCCAGTGCCGTAAGATGCCGTACCGGTATCACGTGATGCTACACACCCAATCCAGAAGCCTTCCAGGTTTAGAGCTACTAGCTAGCTAGCACTACTAGCTAGTAGTACGGTGGAGGAGTGCAGTCTACCAGGTATTGTTTGACTGGAGCTGCGGTACCGGTATGGTCTGACTGCAGCTCAGAGCTCCAGAGACACAGCCAGAACGGGAGCTGCAAGCGGAACAGGTCCTATTTCTCCAGGACGGCGTCGTGCAAGTTCGGAATCGGTCTCGATTGTTGTTGGCAGCTGCAAAGATTCGGCAGATTTACCCACTACTAGCTAGCTAGGAGCTTCAGAACGTCATCGCAAACCTTCGGAACAGGCCAATAGTACCGTACGGATAGCTCCATTTCCTTTTCCGGATGCATGGCTGATCTGCACCCGACTTCGGGCCATTGCCCACCAATCCCAGAGCTTAAAAGTCTTCTTCTTGCCAGCCACATATGCATGCGTACATGTAAGAATCCAATGATACGCATTGCTAAATGAAACGCTGGCCTGCTGGAGCTCCTATCGCAGAAGAACAGGGTATGATGAAGGAAGAGGAAAATCTTCCATCACGACAGCAGTTGACACCAACTCGACGCAGCCACGCACCAACACCATTGTCCTCCCTCCCTCCAATTGCAAGGCTCGCATCTATTGTGCTGCACCCAGCTTTTTGGAGGTTGCTTGTCAACCTTCCCAATAGGTGCCGAGAAATGATGCTAAGGTACAACGAGCGAACAAGATGAACAGCCCAGCCCGTCCCGACCCAGTCGTATGCTTGCAGCAATCTTCTCCCCGACAGCCACCGCAATGGATATGGCTGATCGTCGAGTTTCTACCTACCAGTCACCAGCGCATGGGTGTTAGTGCTGCTGAGCCAAAGTGCGCACATCTCGCAGAAAGGAAGCCAAGAGGCAAGCACCGCAACTGTCTGGTTGCAAGCACTGACTGGATGACCACAGTGAACCTCAAGCAAGGCGACCTGCCTTGAGTGCGGTACATGTAGGAAATGGATTCAAAAGTAAACTACTGCTAGCTAGGACCAAAGAAATCGTGAGATGGCCTGCCTAACTAACACCATTGAGTAGATTTATTTGTAGTTCCGTTCCGTTTTGTTGTGTTTTGGGTGCGCGTTGACGCTTCCGCTTCATGTATGTTTGCTAGCCAACTGCACCTTCACGACTTCCAAATCTGGGATTTATGAAGGCGGTAATGCGTATAGTGGCTAGCCAAGTCTACTAGCTATTCCTTCTCTACTTACTTGAAGCTACCTTCGCAGATCAAGTCTTGCTCTACTGTACGGTACCGGTAGCTGTTAGGTCACTGCCACGCAAACACTGCCCGTCATCAAATCGTGAGGAAACAACGGCCAAAGCTCCACTGTGGCCAGTGCAGCTGGCCGAGCCGCCGCGCTCTCCTAAGAAGCTCGGAAGGTTGGAAACTGATTTTTGGCAGCGGCCAACGACTTCATTTCTTTCTCTCTTGTCACACAACAGTTTACGGTACAACTACCACTGCCCATGGCGTCAATCAGAGCTTGCTTGTCTATTACCGTATCCTCCCCTGCTAGCTATCATAGACTCTAGTATAGAGCAATAGCCTTCACATCAATAAGAGCATTGTCTTCCTTTGGAGTCGCCAGCACCTCCATTGACACTCGATTTCGCTCTCATTCTGCCGAACTTCTCCGTTGAGACCAGACGATCATAACACGGTAACAATCCAAAGATGGCCGAAGACGACTACTACGTTGGAAATGACGACGGCAATGGTGGCGGCGGCCGATGGTCATCTTATCAAAAGGACGACCGGAATTGTCGCGTCTACGATCACAATGACTTTTTCACAGTCTTTGTTCAACTGTTACTAGCCGCTGGTGCATTGGCGTCTCTCTATCTGAAACGCATGAAGGAGGTCCCTCGTCGAACCTTCACTACGTGGGCTCTGGATGTTTCCAAACAGGGGGTGGGGGCGTGTTATGCGCATGTGTGCAATATGGTAAGTGACACGAAACAGCAACAGCAGCTGGCCTCTTTTGCATTGAAGTGGCTGTTGGGCTAACACTCCCCTCGATGATCTCTCTTGGTCTCTCTTAACTATTTGGCTACACCAGGCCATTGCTGCTATTTTGTCTCAAAGCCTGGAGGGCGAAACAGCGCTAGAAGATGAATGCGCGTGGTACGGATTGAGCTACTTGATTGACACTACATTGGGACTGGTGTTGGCCATTATGTTCCTTCGGATACAGGACACCTTGGCCGAAAAGTACAACTTGACAACCATCTTGCACACTGGCGTATACACTGGCCCAACGGCTTGCAAACACTGGACCCATCAAACCATATGCTGGGTCATCATTCTCACCATTGTCAAGATTATGATTTATTACTTTATGATCATCTGCAAAGACATGCTTGCCTTCTTTGGAAGCATCCTCTTTGCACCCCTCCAAATCAACATTCGCTTTGAACTACTCTTTGTCATGATCTTCTTTCCTGGATTCTTGAATGTCATTTACTTTTGGATTGCCGATTCGTATCTCAAGGCAAAGGATGATTCCTGTGGAGCCTTTGAAGAAGCGCCTCCGAAATCAGACAGGGAAATGTCCCTCATTTCCAAGGAAGAAAAGGAGGCACAAGAAAGGGCTGATAATGACATGTCATCCATGACAGAGCTGCAAAAACATCAGCAACACGTTCTAGAAGAGTCCGGCTGGGGCAGACACACAGAATTTATTGCAACATACCTGCCTTCCTGGTCTGTGTTTGGTGTAGAGGCCAAACCAGAAGAAGAGGCAACGACAACCAACAACAACACGGGTTCCATGGCATAAAGGAAAGAGGGTGGCTCTGGAAGTAACGAATAGAATAATTGATTGTATCTTGTTCTGATTCAAAAAGCAACAACAACAACATCTGATCAACATCCCAACGAGGATCTTTGTCTTGTGGTTGAGCTAGCATGTAGTGTAAAAAGGTTTATGGTAGCTAGCTCTTATATTGACACTTCCTACTTGTATGATTCTGTACGGTAGCGGCGGCAGAAATGGGTGGAGACAACCGGTCAGCATTTGGGGAACCTCCAGAGTCGCATCGAGACTGTCAACGGCTAGCGAGAACCCCAAAACACGGTCTGGAGCATGTCTTTACATCTGATATAAAGAAGATCTTAGTAGTTAGCCAAGTCTTTTGCAAATACAGGTTTTCTTGGTCTGATAGTATCTCAAGTGTGTTGACCCTTTACGTGTACAGGCCTGCAGTAAAGCCAAGTTCGTCTTCAATTCTCTGGTGCATTGGTGCTTGCTTGACCAGCCTCTATAGAAGACGTTTAGGTAGTCGATTTGCTTCATCGGTAGTGCCCTTGCTGATGTTTTGTTTTGCAAGCTTTGGTTGACACTTTTAGCTGGCCCGGGTTGTCGTTTACTTTCACAATTACAATAGTGTACAGAAGGGGTTCATCATTTTGCGCTTGATATCGAGGAATGAATCCCTCGCGGTGGCCCTCTGTAATCTGCCGTCTCCTCCCCTCTCCCTCATCTTTAAAGCTCTTGCAGTTCGAAGGGGTATATCGACCCATCTTAGATTCCTCCTCCTCCAACAACGGTTGCTGGAAGACCATTGGCTACGGTTGCTTGAAGGGCCTTCACAAACGAGGACTGAGAAAACTTCTTTGTCAACCCTTCGTCCTCGTCGTCCTCTTCTTCGACCCCTTGAGCTTCGTCGTGTACGTCTTCATCGCCTTCCACGAGTTTGCTTTCTTTTTCCAACAAACTCTTCGTGTACTTGTCTTGCGCCGACACGGGGCCACCACCCAGGACCAAACGAATGATGTCACCCTTGGGTCCCTTGCCCAACTCATTGAAGAACCAAGCAATGCGTTCGTCCCGTTTGCTCAAACCAAGCTCTTCACGTTCTCGAGCTTCCTTCCAAGTCACAGCAGACGCATCCAAGAACCGATCCGTTGCAGCCTCCCAGGTGAATTCATGCGCCAGTTCTGGCGTCAATGGTTCCGGCTCATGTGTCAGCGCCCACTGCAGATTGGCGGCAAACTCGAGCTTATTGCGATACGCCAAGCAGTTGGGGAACTTCAGGAAGAAGGCGTTCGAGGGATGCACAGGGACAATGGCGAACTTGCCCATGGCCAATGCTTCTGCCGTTGTCGTGCACAAAACTTCCGATACGGATGGATTCACAAAGATTTTGTATTGAGCATTCTGCCCAAGACTGGCATGATCCACCCGTCCTGGAAACGTGGCGGGTATCGGCTGGCGGCGCCATTCATGAAAGGTTTGCGGTAACTCCGAGAAGGTGAAGGATTCTTTGAAATTGCGCCAGGGGTCTTCCTTGCGGATGGACTCTTTGATTTTGTCAATATGCTCCCGAAAGGCTGCTTTGGAGGTGAAGATCTTGGTGGCATTAGCATATGATCTTTTCAAGTTGTTGTTGTCCCTGCTGGATTTTTGTAGGAGTGAACGCCGTGCTCTTTGCCGTCGGTGACGTCGATGTGTAGAATTGCCGGATTGAGCACTGGTGTGGTTGCGTCGTCCCAGGTACGCTCGTTTAATGGGCTTTTGCTCGGGGCCCGAGCCGTAGATATCAATTTCAAAGTAAGATCCAGTGACGTGTTTGTAGTAGTCCTGCATCTCCAGGAGTAGATCCAAGCCCTTTGCCCATAACAGCTTTCCAATAAAGTACACTGCCGTTGTCGAGTTTTGAGGATTGGCCGGACAGGACTCGTCGCTGTCAGTTGTTGATGTCGTGGTTGCTGCCCTTGCCAATCCAATTTCCAAAAAGGCGGATCGCACACCATGCACGTTGGATGTTGCTTCCTTCTCTGGAGCAAACGTCTGCAGAACATCACTCAGCTTGATGACTTGATGACAATAGGCTCTAACCATGGCGCTACTGACCATGGCAATTGCGGGCGCCGTCCACAAACCACTGTAATGAGCCGACGCGTATTCCTTGTAGTTGGTATGGACGATACCGACCACATAATGAAACTTTTGCGTCCATCCATCCCCGGGTGCTCTGTACCAGTTGCAGTGCTCGGGTTCTTCCAGGACACAGACATCGGCTGTTTCGGGGGGAATGAGTTTGCAAATATCACCCATGGCAAAGATGCTGCGCAATCCTGAGTGGTATCGCGCAGGGTAGAATAATAGTTTCAGGCCAGTCTCTTTGTCGGCTACATCCGGCATTCCCGCATTGTCTGCCAACCATGCTCGAATGTAGTCTTCTTGTGCTTGCGGAGATTCAAAGACTTGTCCGTATAGCTCCACCTGGTCTTCTTCCAGTTCTAGCCATGGGATAACTAGTGTGACCCACTGTTGCTGGGGTGATGCGTTTCTGCTGGTCCCTCCAATTGTTGCCTGGGCAATGGCTCTAGAAGTAACATTGTTGTTTGTGGAGGTGGTTGTGTAGTTGACAGATTCTTCATCCGAGTCTCCCAAAATGATTTCCACATGTTGTTGTTGCTTGTGTTGGGGTGGATTGTTGATGCGTTGTGTTCTCCGGTGTAGATAGGCAGCTCGAAGAAGAGGATTGACGGCAGTTCCCGTCATCCATGGCAACGCCGCTGTTGTGACAATATGAAAGTGTCTTCCCGGCAAAGAAAGGTCTGTTTGTGGAGTGACCTCATTGTCATTGTGGACTATCGTGTTGTTGTTGGTGGTGTCATCGCTAAGAAGAGATGCAGCTGATTCCTTCTTGACAAAAGAAGATGAGATGAGGGCAATATGATCCAAGAACTTGCGCCTCTGTTCCTTGAGTGAATTGAGCTGTTTGCGTGCCATTTCTTCCATTTTCTCACTCCAATCGTCATACCCGGCATAGTCTTCTCGGGCTAGTTCATCCTCTTCATCTTCGTCATCACTAAACGAATCGGAAGACACAACTTCATCAAACATTTCTGCATCTTCTTCATCTTCCTCTGCTGGAGCCACAGTGGGAGCTTCATACTCATTCCGAAGACGTTGTTGGCCATTAAGGCTTGACCCTTTTTGTTTGGTTCTTCTAAAACGTCCAAACATGAATCGGAGTGGATTGGGGCGTCTCCTTGTGCTACCAGAAGTTGGCTTTCTAAAGCCCCCATCTGGAACCTTCACTTCAGAAGAAGCAGCTTTTGTTTTTCTCGGTGGAAACAGAGTCTTCAAGATACCTCTTCGACGTCTTTGCTCTCTCTGATTCCGATCAAGGGGTTCGTGTTCCTCGCCCTCTTCTTCCTCATCATCTCCAACATTCTGAATGGTATTGCTCTGGATTCTTCTCCAAAACCGTCTATTGCCGTTATTGCTGCTTGCTGCTGTGGCGGCAATGCCCTGTGGACTGGAAGATTCGACTTGTCCCGTTAAGACAAACACCAGTAGAATCAGCAGGGAGATCCAACTGCCAAGATTGCACCGTGGAATCGTGCGCGCCATTGTGTCAATTCAATTATCACTAGATACCTGGTAGTGATGACTTTCAAATCTCTCTCTCTGACTTGCTTCTACCGGTATACCCTTCCTTTCTTCTTTCAATTCCAATGCCTGCTGCATCCATCAATGATGGAACAAACGAATCGAATCAAACGGACGAATGGATCTACTCTGGCTAAAATGGTTGTCTTTGGCGCTCTTTTCTTCTCCTTGCAGTTGCGTTCTCTCGGAACGCAATATCAGAATTTTGAATTGCCCACCATGGTCGATGTTGATTGTTGATTGGTCAAAGTCAGCTTTCAATAAAAAGAGAGCTAAATTTGTCGACACTCTTTAAATCTTTGAGATGCCAGCAACGTCAGCAGGAGACGTACTATGAGAACACGTACCACCGGCAACCTACCAGTGGCAAAAGCTACCAGCTGCAGGTCAACTCTTCTGCTTCAAACTAATACCATCCTGGTGCTCGTATCGTATGTCTTTTTTGGCTGCAAGTCTATTATTACTGGAGTTGTCGTTTGGGCTTCAGCCTTTCCTACAGTCTAATTTCAAAGCCTGTGTGGATTTCAGCGCTCTACCGGTATGGTAGCCAGTCAGCGTGAACGAAAGCTGGCCACTGGATAGAGCAGAGAAGCAAAGACCAACACAGTGCGGCATGTCTCACCTAAACCTATCCCCGTACCCATGATCTTCCCATACATAACTCCTGACTTAGTAGGAAGAAAACTGATATCTTATTACTCGTAGACCATGCTGATCTGCATTCATAGACCTCCGGGGTCAGCACGGATGCGTGCCCTCGAAAGTATCCTCAACTCTAATGGTGTAAGAATCCGTTCGAATTGCCAACCGTTATCGACTGCCAAAGGGCGGGCAAACAATCGAATGTCGCCCCGTGCACTGTGGGGATTTCTGTACCGTGCCACCAAGGACAACATTTTGACCTCCCTCCACTCGGCATCACCAGCACAACATCATCAGGCAGCACCACCTTGACGACGACAACAGAGGTCCATTTGCCATCCGAACATCTACCAGTTGGCCACACTCTACTAGACTTCAAGTAAAAGCCGCTATAGTCTCGCGACAAGATTTCCAGTTGATTAGTCCATTCGGTTTCCATTAGAATCGACTTGACTTTTGCGTCGGTGGAAGTGGTGGTGGCATTGGTTTCTGGCCTTTTCCAACCTCCAGTTTTAGTTAGTTGTTCGGACCCATTAGTTGCTTTTGTTCTTTCCACTCGGCAAACAGAACGCATCCATCATGGGGGCGGCACTATCCAATTACACGACAATTCTGGCAAATACGCTGTGCGGTGGATCGTCTCGCAAGCTGATTGCAGGGTGGTGGTACGTTTTTTTTCATGGCCAAAAAGCAGTTTGTTGTTGTACATGACTTGGTCTCATCAAAACCACAACGTTTATTTCCTCCCCTTATTATTATCTCTCTACTAGGTACTCTATTCTGGGTATAACGGGTAGCCTCATGCTAATGTCCATCTTTGTCATGGGCACCCGATCACTTGCTGAAGGTTTTGCGTCGATATGGTCCGCATTGATGCTGCTGATGCTCAGTATTGGTGGAACCATGATTATGCGAAAATTTCACAACTCCATGGCGGTGGGTTTCTTTATGGGATCCGTCGTCGCCATGTCACAAATGTTCTTTTTACTCTTTCTAATGTAAGTTCTGCCACGACGAGTGCTGTGAGTGAATAGTGATGTGAGTTGGCTCGGATGCTCACCTACAAGGTGCTTCTCTCCCATGTCATCCATACCACACTCTGGAACCCAATCTATTTCTATACACAACAATCATCATCATCACCAACGACGCTACTACTAGATACATTGGATACGGCAAAGATCAATCGACACAAGGGAAGTCCTACAAGGGAGAATCCGTCATGAGCCTACTGTGTTTAGCCCAGTCCATCTTATTGGGTAGCTTTGCCGCCATTTTGGGCGCCCATCGATCCGAAATTCTAGACAAGCCAACATCCTACGAAGAGATGCAAGACTTTCCTTCGGTCAATCCCAACCGACCGGCAGATTCCTACGATCCACCCACCCGTGCTTCGACAGACAGTGGACAATCATAATACAGGCAGTATAGTATGATATGACACGACACCACACGACAAAATGTTCGCAGCACACACACACACAAGATGACATAGCCTTACTTGGTATCACTACTATAACTCATTCATATGCTTTCGGTATAGTATAGTACCAATGGTAGTTCCTGCTTCTGCGAACTTCAGTACTACAATGTAACGCTGTTTGTAATCAAGTTTTGGTTTGATAAGAGAGCTCCTTGCTGTTGGTGGCTTTGGACCTACCGGTAGATCACTCGCTCGGCTACTTCAGCCGTAGCAACCTTTCTCCTGGTAGCAACGAATCTACAATGCTTGGAGAAAAGTAGGTTCCAAGCGGCCATGTATTGAGTCGGCTGCATGTACCGGTATTCTTGCTCAATAGAGAAGAGGTGCGTGCTACCGGTATGGAGGGAATATACCGGTACATTACCGATTGTTCACTTTGGCTTGTTCGGTTCCATCCACCTGGATTGCTTTGGCTGGCCATTCTTGTGTAGTATATACTATTTCTCCGTGCCTTGAAACATCGCAACAATCGCTGTCGTCCTCTTCAGACAGTAGGGAGTACAAATACTCACTTGGAGGCTCAACGACTAGGCACCATCAGGCATCTATCAGGAACGCATCAGTAATATGCAAGCAGAGTTGCGGATTCTGGACAATCCAAGGGTTGCGCCTCCCTCAGACCGATCCATCCACAGGTAACCCTTGAACAGGGAACGATACGATAGCGAAGCACAGCTGAAGACTTGGCCGATTTGCTCTACTAGCAAGGCCTATATACCGATAGAATACGGTATGTCCCGGGGCTCGGCTAACCAAACTATACATCTTCATCTAGCCAATGACAAACAGTTACTAAGAAGGCTGCATGTGAAGACCAACTTCCAGCCGTCTCAACGGGTCGAAATATCTTGACTCTAGGGGATCCAACTGTCACAGGACTCGACTGTCCTCCGTGGAGCTAGCACTCCTGAGAGTCTGCCATCCGTGCACAAACTAAAGCTCATCCATCTCCACTTTCTGATAAGAATATTGTCTAAACGAGGACGCTTGAACACGTACCGGTTGCCTCTTTTTGAACGTCCACTAAGGTACATCTTTCTGTTATGTTTCTTTCTCTGGTCGAAACCAACTGACTGGCTAATGGGCTAATGCTATATACAAAAGATCTACATGGAAGTAAAGATAAGGTATTCCGTGTGATCCTTTTACTCACTAGTGTCCGTTTCCACGCAGTCTCCTTCCAAAGGGTTCTGATCTCGTCGAACAAAACCTGATGTTTTTGAAAGCAGTTCCAGTTTTTCATTGCTTGGCAAACTCTGAGATGGCAACATCGCAGACTTCACCGCTGGCCTTCTGGATGCAAAGGTTGGAGGGGTGTCCCAACTGACCGTAGCTCACAGTGATTAATCATTCGATTCATCATTCTCAATTTTTTGGCATTGATTTACAGTGTATGCACACCGTGGGCAAGGGAGCCCCGGCTTACACGTGGAAGATGTCGCATTGTGCGTCAGAGCTGCTGTCAGAGCTGCTTCCGAGAAAATCCAACATGCAAAACGGAGTGATGCAGAATGAAGAGCCGAAGAGGAGAGCATCATCTCATCTAACCTAACTATTGACCATGACCATGCTAGCGGCTCCCAAAACAGCCATGAGGCCCCGCACCTGCAGAACGACACCATTCTTGATGGCGCCAATTTCCTGTTTCATTCTTGTGAACGTTTGGTTGCGCCCATCTTCTGCGTTTGTGTCGCGACCTCCACTTCCGAAGTTGGGACTTGTCAGGAGATTGGACGGCATTACGACGTCTCTACACGCTCGACGCAAAAAGCCCAACACCAATATTCGTCCGGGAGGAGATAGTGGAAATGATGTCGAAGAAGGTGAAGTGGGAAAGGGTCCCAACTGGATTGAACGATCCTTTCCCGTAGACGTGGGTGGTGTTGACAGTGATGGCTCCTCTGCCAGCGAGTTGAAAAAGGTGGAAGATTACAACATAGGAATCAGTGGAGTGTCCTTCCAAACGGGAAGCTTGAGTGAGCGTAAGTAGTTTTGTTATCATTCGAAGAGAAAACGCAATTGGGGATATCTTTTGGATTCGGAACTAATAAATTCGGCATGGTATGAACGGCAGGCATGTTTGATGCTATCATGACCAAGTCACAATTCGCGGCCAATCCAGATGCAGAAATTCGCCGAGCATTTATGTTGTATGCCATGGACTTTACAGCCAAAGAAGCCACCAAGGCGGCCCTCAAACAGAACGGTTTGGAAATTGCATTGCAAGAAGACGAAGAAGATGAAGGCATGTGGGGAGACATGGATAGCATTCGATTATTAGACGACAATGGAGTGCCTCTGCCAGGGATGATTTACCAATCCACAGAAGATGCAATTGACCAAGGGGGATGGCAGCCAGGACAGGCGTTTGACTTTGTCGTGAGGCAGGTCCCCTCCAAGGTCCGAGAACTCTCTCTAGACGAGCTGTTGCAAGCATTGGATCCTGAAGGGAAACTACGAGAAGAAGCCAAAGCCAATAACATGACATTGCCCGATGAAGAGATTCAAACTTTAGGAGACCTGGCCAATGACAGTATCCGTCGAACCGAGAACGCACCCAGGGGCGCCACCACCGAAGAACAAGCCTTTGCGGGAATTCCTGGCAAGCGGGGATACAGACCCATCCCCATTGGTGATTTGTTGGCACCCTTATCAGACGATGGAACTGAGAATCAGTATAGTAAGTCTCGTGCGTCTTTTTCATTTGGAAGTTGCAGTTCAGTCCTCTTGCCAACCATAGCCATTCGTTTTCTGCCTGATGAAACCATTGCCCCGATCTAATCAAAACTTTGAAACATGACATACTCACCTTGCCAGCGATGATGCATGTCAGTAAGTCTAAGTTATCTATTTGTGAGAGCCGTTCCCGGATGAAGTTGCATTTCAGTGCTCTGACAATCACATTCAATCGCTTTGCTTGACAATACTATTGCATCACTCCGATGCATGGATAAAAACTTCAAAACTTGACAACTCACAATGACCAGTGAATTCGTTTGTGGCACATGGAGCCCTATTGTTGGACGTGTCAGATGGAGGAAAGAATTTGGATAAGGCACAACAATTGGCAGATATGTGGAAGGCCATTGAACAGTTTTATGATCAAGTTGACAAGTCTTCCACCGACTTGCCGCCAATGCAAACAGCCATGGAAACAGGTTCACAAACGGCCAAAGTAGGCTATGCTAGTTACGACAATGATTCTTTGCAGTTCTTAGAAACACGTCGGGATCGAACATCCGGAGCACTCTTACCAGAAGAGGCCAATGCCATTCTGGGAGAAGCCGCAGTCAAGGCACTAGATGAAGCATTTGCCTTGGTTACTGGGGCAGGCAAGGTCGCCGTCAGGATAGCTGTGGCCGCAAGCAGTTTGGAACGAAGCGATGCATTTCTGGACGACCCTGCCGCAGCATCGAAGGCTGCGGGACTTATGGCAGAGGAATTGCTAGACGATGGAACCCCTGATGGAAGTGGCACTGAGTTTCCTGTCTGCATGAGCCCTCACCGGCTTTGCCGGTACTCCAACAATGTGAAGCAACAAGCTACAGTTGATGAGAACGAGAATGATGAATCAAATCTACAGTCTTCATCCAGGGAAGTCTTTGGGGCGCATGTTGATTCTACTTGGGTAACCATTGTCCCGGTTGCCTCGGTCAGTGGGCTCGAGGTCTTTGATGAAGAACAAGAAGAATGGTACCGACCAGAGCTGGCGGCACGTCAACACTGGAAAGACCTGCAAAGTCAACGAGGATTGGATCCTGAGGCTCTTTTCGACCCGGATTCATCCCTGCCGTGGCACTCTCGGTATGTCGTTCTAATGCCAGGTGAGTTGCTGCAATTGGCCACTCGCAACGAAGTTCCCGCAGCTGTGCACCGCGTGGTAGCCACGCAAGACAGCCCGTCACGGCTCAGTGCTCCCATTTTGTTGAGATGTCGACCGGGCGTGAAAATGGACGTAAACAGGTACTTGGGAGGTGCAGGAGGATACCCCTTGCTGGAGAGCGTCGATGGGATGACCATTGAACAAATCCACGAAGGCTTACAACCAACCTACTTTCAATAGCGTGGACTATGCAGCAATAATGATTGTGAGTAGCTCTACTACCCTAGTAGGCCCTTGTCAATTCATTCAAAAAACCTTCTGAAGTACCACAGTGATATGGATACCGGTAGACTAAGCTTAGATTACTCCACTTTGCGCGAACCTTGCTTGTTAAATTCCTGGAACCACCCTTCTGATGTACCATAGTTGAATGTCTCTCAGGCGCCTAAAGTCATGTGTGTAGATTGGATCCAGGAACTCGGCATGATCCACATCTTTGTATGCCTGGGTCACCTCCTCCACTGCATTCTTGCCGTGCTTTTCCACAGCCCCTCTCCACATTTCGCCATCCGGAAACCAAGACCACGTCCAAGAGGATGGTGGTGGCACTTGTCCGTAGATGTGAATCCATTTGTAAAGGTTTCCCCCCAAGAGTGAGAACTCTCGAATGCGTTTGGATTCGCGATGTCGTTGTGCTTTGGCGAATTCTAAAACGTGCCACCAACGATGCTCCCTGATCTCAACGGGCAGAACCATTGGCAAACTGGGTGACATTGTCCACTCCAGTGTTTTCCATGTGGTCTGAAAGGGATCCCAGATACCCAAGACGAATTCAAAAAAGGGATCACCGTGTCCAAATCCAAAGTTGGATTTTTTGTGGAGTGACCAATCACAGGGCTGAATGGACGGATGACTGCCGATCCACAATTCGTCGGCATACCTGTTGACTCCGTAGTTGTCTGGGACAAAGTTGAAGAGATCCATTTCGAAACGATGCTCAAGATGCATTAAAAGGGCATCTTTCACAACTTCTGTGGACCGTTTTCCAAATTCGAGTGGGGGCAATAGGCGGGAAACATAATCGCACTGAGCAGTCCAAATGTTACCCGGCATGAACAGCCCTCGTTCGGCAATGAAATAAAGACCACAAAGGTTGCACTGCTCTGGACTGGTCCCATTGTTGAAAATTGAGGGTATCTCTGGGGTTGGCGGATTGAGGCATTGTTCAGTAGTGACAGCGTAGGTCATTAGTCGCCTCCATTGCTCGTTGATTGGGTTTTCATGAAAGCTTCCTTTGTTGTGCAAGTACACTACTCTTCTTGTGTCCAATCCGGCTGCACCTTCCTCGGATGCTTGTGGCTGTTGACAAAAGTCGTGCACATTTTCGAGAGTCTTCGTCTCCATGCCTTCATCATAGTGCTGTAAGTGTATGCAGTCCAGATTGTAGAGCCCATTGGGTCCACAGAAGGTATCCATATATTCATCGGTAACGATATTCGGAACTCCCAGTGTATTGTAGTATAGTTTAGCAGGCTGCAGAGGGTCTGCAGCAGCATAGGAAATGCCGATCTGATGCATCTGTTCGTCAATGATGCGTAATGCATTGGCTTGTGGGTCATCTTGGTAATCTCCAAACATAAAGGAGCCGCTTGGTTCCTCCTTTTCGGGAACATAAATGTGATAGAAGAGGGCAAAGTCGGCTTGATTCTTTTGATTGTGAGAAGTTGTGGGTGCTGCCCTATCAGTCACTTTGGCCGTCCTCATTCGATATCGAAAGAAAACTGGCATCATATACTTTGCACAAAAGTAGAGTTGCATCACGAAGATGGCTGCTACTAGAATGCAAACTCGACGTCTCGTATTGGTAAGGGGCCCCACGCGAAAACGGAGAGGAAGCTTGCCCAACAATCCACCTCCGTGAAGGTGGCGGCGACGTCGACCAAAAAGAGGATCCAACCATGGTTGCTTGAATTTCATGCGGCCTCCTGGGCTACCGATATTGGGCGCCATTGCTGCGCACTCAAACTGTCCTAACAAGAGAGGATCAAAAAGTTGACGCAAAAGTACTGGTACGGTCGTAACTGGCAACTCTTCGGCGAAAGGAAAGAGAACGATCGCCAAGAAAAAGTGACAGTGCTTTTCGAAGTTGACCTCCCCCCGCTGCCTTTAGAAAAGTTGATTTGAGACGTTGGTGGTGACGTCAAATAAGTAAAGCAAATTGGAGCATTTAATAGTCGCGGGTCGCCTTTCTTGTTACTTATTACTATGATACGGTAGTATAAATTGTCTACAATATTGGATGATTAATTTTGTATTTTCGTCGCCATTCGGTTAGTCCCAGATGACGACTTTTTTCAATTTTTAATCGCGTCGTCATTTCGTGAGTCCCAGATGACGACTTTTTTCGATTTTTAATCGCGTCGTCATTTCGTGAGTCCCAGATGACGACTTTTTTCGATTTTTAATCGCGTCGTCATTTCGTGAGTCCCAGGTGACGACTTTTTTCGATTTTTAATCGCGTCGTCATTCTGGTTCCAACTTTGGTGTTGTCGCCATTCTACACGATGGTATCCACCATGACGCGATGGTCGGCAGATGACGGCAACACCTATGCCGAGGGCACACCAGAGCCGGATTTTCGAGGAGGACGTTGTTTGGGCTATTATCTTCCTGCGGAATAGCCGTGGCAAACAAGAAAAATCGAAGGAAAAAGAAGAGCCGACTTCAACAGCTGACCGAGCCAGGAAAATGGCCAAGGACGATAATTCCAAGGAATGAGAGAAGCATCGGAAGGCGTTGGAGAGAATGGAGAAGGGCCTGGTCAAGTGAAATGAGCGAATCAGCAAGTTATCAGATCCAAAAATCGAAAAGGAAAACTCGATCGTGCCACGCTCACAGCTCACAACACAACTCATTTCGCTACGACGGATATATAGTCGACCATGACGAACAACAACAAAGACGAAAGCAAAGACGCAAACGGCTTGCCGCTACGGTACCACCGATCCGACGGTTGCATGTGATAGAGGCGCCATTGTGGAAGTGTTGTTTCGGTCATTGTCGAGGAGAGGAAAGAAAAGAGCATAGCTTTGGCTGTTTCGGTTGGCTGAATTTATGGAACTGACTGCTTCGACTGACTGACTGACTGGAGAGGATCGACGGATCGACACCTTGTTTCGTGCGTCGAGTCGGAGAGGTTCCGACTGTTGGTTCTCTCTCAACCTTCCGCTTGCCAACAACAAGTTGACCAGCAACAAGTCCACTTTTCCATCTTCTGGTGAAACAAATAGCCCATGAGAATGTGGAAAAATGGTCTTTGCGCATTCATTCCCACAAACCATAACACATAATAGTATGTATGCACGGGTTGACAACACACACAGTGTTTTGGAGGCATGCGGCATAGGTCTAGTGATCCCTTATGGCCTCCAACAGCAAAGACGAAGAAAATTTCCAGCCAAGACCGTTGCCGGGGCAGCGGAGCAATGGCGGGAGGTTGTTGGTCTTCTTTGGCACTGATCGATGGCCATATTGATAGCAACGCCTCCTCTAGACTATGATATCTACCTACTCGGCATGTACTTGCGTTTGCATGGGCGATCGTTTCTAGAATACCGGTAGCAGCAGGCCAGCACACTATTAGCTATAAATTCACGTAGACAAGAAGCCGTAGCAACGAAGGATTAGATCTTTATCAACGGACTACGCTCCGAACTGGTTCTGGAAGGCATCAGCAGCCAAGAAATTCATCTGGACAAATGGGTTCCCCTCCGTCGTTTGGTTCTGCCTTCTACAAAGACCAGCCACGCTCGGCTCCAGACAAGTCCGTCTTTTTCGTAGCACAGGCTCGAGATCTACGCCCACCGAAGCAACCGTCGCGATGTACAAGAGCTTGCCTTTGATCCGAACAGGACGGGAGAAGGGCCGTAGCGCAGACGCGTCTCCCAATTCTCTTTCCAACGCCACCATCGCCTGCAACATTTGACAAGCAGCCCAGGCCTTCACCTCAGGCAGGCACGCTCCCTGAGCGACAAGCCTTCCGATCGATACCTCCAAGAAGAAGACTGATGTCTGCTCCTGCAGCACTTCAGTTTGACTCAGTGGATAGAACAAGTCTTCGAAACTGCCGGTTTTGATCAAGGCATTGGCCCTTTGAAGTTCCTTCAACATAGTAGCCGTGGTTGATCTGGTGGCATTGCGAGCAAAGTTCTCTCCACTGCAAGGGGCCAGCACGGCAATGGTGCCACGCGAAATGACAGTGTCCTTGGCAGCGTCGCTGGCGGTAGTTGCTTCTTCGCGTAGATTGAAAATGGCATGTTCCCACGACCGAAGCATTTCTGCAAAGAAATAGGACAAAACATCCTGGCATGCGTCTCCGATGCTTCCACCCTCGTCAACTGCAAGCACAAGACCGCCAGTGTTCAACCCTATGCACATGGCACGAGCAAGGAGCAATGCCCAGCCTCCACCACCAATGAATCCCACTGAAGCGCCGTAGATCTGGCGTCGGAAGGCCCACAACTTGAGCAGACGAAGGGCTCCTTCGAAGACGACGACGACAGCGTTCCCACGTTCCTGGGCCCTGAGCTCGTTCAAAATTTGTCGGCTGTCTTCAATGCTGTCACTCGCCGCCGACCCCATCAGGGGCTCTCCGTTGGCATCTCTCAGATTCAATACAAGATCGACGGAGGGCGCCTGAGGGCAAACTTTCACAGTGAGGAACTGAATGGCCGTGCCATTGGCTCCCGCGATGCGCAATCGGATCTTCGCGTTTTTGTGGATTGATTGCAAACGAGCTGCGACGAGCTGCCAAAAGGCACTGCCGCTGAGATTCGGCAAGCCAGAAGCAACACCGGCACGAGGTGCCACATCGACGACGGCATCGATATCCGAGATCGTGGGCAAAGATGCGTGGAAGTTACAGGAACCGTACTTGCGGAGGCTGGCTTCCAACTGGCGGCCGGACATCTCACGAATACAGTCCCGGCAAACGCGTTCGATGGTGGAGAAAAAGGGCGTCGAGCTTTTCAAGTAATACGAAGAGAGAGACGCCCCAGCATCATTCATGAACTCACGGGGTGGACAAGCCTGAAGATTCCGGGGCTTCCTCTCCAACGGAACAGTCGCCACGGCGTAGAATTTGCGGTCGCGTGGGTCGCGTTGGTAAATGACAACTGCCTCTGCCGGCACAGAGCGGGTGCCTTGGAACCAGAGACCCTCCGAAACCCAGCCGTTCGCTTGGTTCCGGGCCTCAGCTTCCGTTCCATACTTGCCCAAGGTCACGTGCGGAGTCCAACCATCGACAAAGCGACTTTCTTGTTCATCACAGAGGGGAAACACAGCGCGAAGGGATTGATACAGAGACTCAAGCCATTTGCATCCCGCTTTGGCCACCAAAGAAGCAGACGACCGATGCTCGAAGACAGTCAAAGAATCCTTATCAAACGGGATTTCACATTGTTGTGTGGCTTCCAGAAACCTTTCAACGGCATCGGTCACAGCCTTCGTCGCGAGCTCGCGGCTTTCCATTGAGAGCAGCTCCGCAAACCCGTTCAATAGTGTGATGTGAGGCACTGGAAGACTCGATTCGGTGTCGAACAGAGGCATGTCGGGCTGGCTCAATGTGACAGCTAGAAGTGTATCAGTCGACGGCAACACAGTCCCAGCCCAGCCATTATGCCCAGCAAGACAACGACGATCTCTTCTTGCAAGCGCCTTCGTTTGCCAACCGAACGAGACGGAGAGCCCATAGTGGTCGGATGGCGGGGGGACGCCCTCAATGCCGGATTCGGCCCCGAGCAGCTTTCCGTCGGAAGGATTCAACATGGGCGCATTCCCACGACACCCAACCAACACTCTGTCGATCCTGCGCTTGCCTCTAACGGAATGCCTTGCTCGTTCATTTTCATCGGGATCGTAGGTGAATCCGTCACGGCCGTTGCTTACGAGAGGCCAGGAATCGACCAGGAAACCCCTTTGATTCTTCCAAATGAACCCGCCTTCCTCAAGCTCTTGCACCGCTGCATCCGAATTGAAATCCCCCAATACGATGGGAACAACAGCGCGGGCGGGCGACGACGCTAGTTGTTGTTCTACCGACTGGAGCTTTGCGGCGATGGCATTGAGTTCTCGTCGTCGCGCAGTTGCGCGTGAAAGGCGCACTTCGTCTGCTCCGGTGGCGTCGCATGGCAGATGAACGCAAGCGCAGACGAACACCGCCGTGGGATCTTGGACGCTTTGAAGGCACGAAACCACAGCTCGTTTGCGCGGTCCATCGGAAAGCACCGAGACACCCAAAGCGGGGGAAAACGCTTTCAGCGAGTCCCGCCTCCACAAGAGCAAGTTACCAAAAGGCTCAACACAACTTGTGGCTCCAGGCGCGACAGAGACAGCATATTCCTCGCGCACCCAAGAAGCCCCGCACAGAAGCTCCACAAACTCTGGTGTGACTTCTTGGAGGGCGATTAAGTCAGCCTTGGCTGCCCCCAGGATCACGATTGCCAGTGCCCAACGTTCGTTCGCGTTGTCACCGTCGAACAGCCGAGTTTCTTTGAATTCATCAAAGAGGACGTTCCAAGCCACACAGGTCAGATTCCGTTCTGGTCCACTATTTGGCGCGACTTTTGATTTCTCAAAGCCACCAGCAGTCCACGAAGATTCGTCGCCTGAGAATGTGAACCAACTTTCGTTGGACCACACGTGCCTATCGCCGGTTGTCTCGGTGGTGTGGATGGGTGATTGAGCCACGCCGCCTGGCTGCTGTTGCAACGGTATTCTTGCCCTCCGCTGTCGTCTGGCTCGTTGCTTGGCCTTTTCCTGTCTTCGGATCTCCTGCTCTTCAGCAATCCGCTGCATATTGATAATAGCATCAAACGCTTGTTGAATTGTTTTCTCGGAAGCTGGGGCATCCCGACCCATGCCTGACCCAAAGATGCGATCTATTCGGCCTTCCTTTTCCCACAGAATCATCATATTCATTTCGCTCGGGCGGATTCGGGCGCCCTCCTCCGCAGCCCTCCTGAAGTACTGTATCCGATGCTGCGGGATATCTCCTCCCTCATCCATGGACTTGAAGTCCGCGACGCTTTTCTCCATTGGGCCCTTGATCCTGTCATCATAGCCAATCAAGACGCGCCCACAATCTTCCTCTTCTGACCACCTAAGGCGAGAAATGCAGTCGCCTGCAGTGCGCAGCTTAATCTTTCCTCCCTCCGACATGCCTTCTTTCTCTCCTTCGTGTTTGTTCCTCTACTTTACTTTTTGAATCGATTCTTTTAATTTGTGGTCTTGTTGCTTTTCGATGTTATTTTGTTGTGTGTGTTGCCTGATGCTTGGGAGGATGGTTATTACCAAAAAGGCAAACAGGCACATGCATCCGATGCATGCAGGTTTCATTCTCTCCCAAGATCTATCAACGATTGGACACAATAACCTTAACCCTCTGATTCCATAAAAGCCTGCAAGGTTGCAAGAACCCCCTCAAACATCCTTCTCCAAGATTCGGCTTTTTTTCTGCGTTCATCTCCTGTTTCCTCAGTTTGCACTTGTGCAATCCAGCCATTGTAGCCAGCTACGGTACCGGTACCATAGGCAGAGAGTTACATGGTCCGTGACAGTGGCAACAGTACCGAACACACTCAGGTTCCGCTTTATTGGCTACACTCCGTTTACCGGTACCTTGCATTGGATCCTTATGACGAGGGGTGTAAAATACTCGTTAGTTTAACAAACTATGGCCACGGAGTGGCTTTAGTGACGCGGGCAATGGGTGGGGAAGCCCCCACCTAGCTGAGTCGTCATCCACATAAATTCTGCGCAGTGCGTGTCAGTTCATTCTCAAGGGGCCCGGATGGGCCCCCCATTAGTGGACAATGCTGCACTCTCGTGCAGGAGAAGCTGGCAAGGGCAGCACCTGGAGCGCAAGGCAATACCCAGGATTTGAAAGCATGTTACTCATTTGTAGTGGTTCGGCCAGTTTGGAGTAGGTGTGCATTGATCGTTGAAGTTGTTGTTGTGTTCGGCGGTGGTAGTTGTGCGAGTCGTCCATGGGCAGCCCTAGCCAGGTTGATGGTTTCGAGCCAGCGAAGGGTTTTTGGGAGTGACAGGTTGAGGTTGATTCTCTGTAGTCAAATCGAGGCGCCAGCGGTCGTGTGAGGTAATGTGGCATCACCTTTGGAGTACTCTTTCAGGATTTCCTGTCGGAGGTTGGAGAGGTGGGAAGTTGGTGGGGTGGTTTGCATGTGGCATCGTTCCTGTGCTCCATGCGAATGAATCCACGTTATTTGCCAAGGATTGCCCGTGGTGCCTCCTGTTTTCCATGGTAAGTGAGCTCGTGGGCAGCAAAGTGGGATTGCGATATGCCAAGTAGAAAATTCCATACATCCCAGTTTGGCCTGTGCACGGAGTCCGTTTACAGTGCTAGGAGTTCCAGATCCCATCCAGAGAGAGGTGTTGTGTCCCTTTTGCCAGTGATGGAGTTGGGTCAGGATCTGTTGGTCATCTATGGGGGTCTGTGTGGCGCTTGTGCAAACAAGTTTTCAACTTGGAAAACTCCTGGTTCCACTTTTGGGATGGATGCTGGTCTTGGCACCGTAGCAAATGGAGGGTGCTTCGTCAGCTGTTCCACACCGTGGGAATCGCTGTGAGCCTGCCATCGGTTGGCGTTGCAGCTGGCGATCCTACACCACAGTGGCCGTTGCATGTTTGGTGACGAACTTTGGATGCCAAGTCTGTCCGTTCCTCATTGCCCACCCATTGCCTCCCAGTTTATAGTGTCCCAGCGCTCTGTCCAATCCGCCTTCGGAATAGTCGACTGTTAAGAACTCTTTCACTCGCGCTGCTTCTCAGTGTAGCCTTGATTTTGTCTTTCCACAAAGGGCCTCGTGCATCTCACGGGGGTGAGAACGGCTAGTTTACTTACCATTGTGCCGGAAGATGACGCGCCGTTGGTGAAGGGTAAATTAGTGGCACGGGATGGAGTGATCACTGAGTCCACTGGGATTTGCAGCAGTATCCATTTCCAGTTCAGGATTGCCCAGCGGTACGAGGGCAGCCGTGGTACAGGTCGGGTTCCCTGTAACATGTCCTGGGGAGGATGCGGAGGGCTCCGAGGGCTGTCGTCCTGGTGGCCTTTAACCAATCGGAACTGAACGTCGATCCCCAGTTCCCTGATCTCATCGATACAGCTCGGCCCTCAACACGGAGGTCAAAGTCTTTGCTATTGCACTGCGGGTTGAAGAGGGTTTCAAGGGCATGGGGCTGCTTGGCCATCACAAACAATGTAATGCATCCCATAGTTATTTCATGGAGAATACAGATGGTGCGCATCACGATTAGTGCCCCAATAGATACCTGCCAGTTCACTTCGAAGTGAAGAATGGGTCACCCGGGGAACCTGGACAGAGAACTGGCCGTTGATCGTCCCTGTGGTCGGGCTCCTTCAAGAACGAAAGCTGCAGTGCCAAAAGAATCTTTGTAGGAGCCGTCACTAACCTGAATGCCGGAGCCAGTCAAGATGGATTTTGCAATCTGGGAGCCATCATCGGTAAAGCGAAGGAGTCCTAGCGCCCATTGGTCCGACTGTGGGAGCTGATCCAGGGCATCTTGGAGGGATTTGGAGCACAGGGGGGGTGGATGGTCCGAGGCAGATGTCTTCACTGTAGAATCGTCACTGACGGAGAGTCCAGAGGTGGAGTCGCCACTGTCAGAGTAATTCATTGGCTCCGAGTCGCACGAGGAAGTGGTTGAAAGTAGGACCAGTTCGGGTTCGTTGGGCGAGGCTTGCACATCGTTACGGACCACTGATGTTGTTCTGTAACCAATTGATTTGTGGGTAGGTGCCGAGGGGAGACTGGTGATGGGAGTTGAAGCTTCCATGTTGGGTTGATGTGGGACTGTCCATGTGCGAGGAACTGTTGATCGCCGATAGTGTGCACGGCGTCTGCCAGGGTGGATGCGTTCGTAGGGGGTCCAGATCAATCCTTCCCTTTGATACAGGGTATCAGATTATGGGTTCCACATCCATGGACAGAAAGAGATGGGGTCTTCCTTCCAAAGGCCGGGTATAAGGTGCGGCCGAATGCGTAGATTCTGTGGGCTGCCATATTGCTCAATGAGACACTCTCTTAAGGCACCCTGCCAGACGAGGATCAACGACGGGGGTAGGGAATTGGGTTGACGGGGCCATCCCATTCGGTGAAGGTGGGATTCGACTTTGGTTCCATTGAAGGATTGGGTGCGAAGTTGTTTGCCATCCTCTGTTGCAATATCTGCCACGGTGTTGACATTCAGGAACATTCGTATGACATTCAGCTGCTTGGGAGTGTGGGCACTGTATCCGTGCTGAGAGAACAGATCCATTAGGAATCGGTCATTGGTGCGCTGTGTGGAGAATCTAGCAGTGGTGTCCTCCATATTAATGCCAAAATCATCCATCTCTCTCTCCTTTCCC